GTCATAGTCATAGTCATAACAATAAACAAGGCTTATAAATATGTTATTGGTCAGTCTTTTGGGTCTTGGTCTATTAGCTCCAGTATTTGTTTTAGACTTCCTCCCAAGAAGTTATTGGCTTCATTTTTCAATTTTATGTTTAAACACTGAAAGTTTTACTATAAAATAAATGGGGTTTATCTTTAAAGATTCATTTAATTTCCCTAATAGTCCCTTTGCTTTAAAGAATCAAAACAAATATCCCCACGAAGGGATAACAGAAGTGTCCTTGTCTGGGTTTTAATACCCACTACAAAGGGTAAAATAATTAATTATTTCAATGCCCCTAAAAGAGTGTAAAATATTAATTGCTTTAATGAAATAAAACGCCAATAATTTGCCGTATTTCCATTTCGTTTTGACGCCACCCGCTTAATCATTTATTCAGTATCTCTCCGGTGAACTTTGGCCCAGAAATCATTAATTCAAAGGGGTTATCGTTGTTTGTGTTTCTGTGTGTGTGTCTGTTTCTGTGTTTGTGTCTGTGCCGTGGAGTGCCTGTCTGTCGAGTGAAGTGAAATCTAAAACTAGACCTAAAAGTTTCCTTGGCAGAAGGAGATTTGTAATCCTACTCCCCAAGCCAGCCGTGGAAAGAAAAATCCACTCTCGCAAGTTCCGCCACTTTGGAAACTAAGAATTTATTTTATTTGATTTGATGGTTACATTGCGTGACAGTAATTACAAAATAAATGCAAACATCTGCAGCAGATCACAGGCAGAGTCACAGGAGGAAAGTGTTTTATTTTTTTCCCCTTCGAGGGGTTGAAGATTTCCGATGGGTGGGTGAACCGAATCATCGAAGTGAGCTGAGTGAATTCTTTTGGGTGATGGGATGGGTGGTGGTTGCGTTCAGTGTATCATTACTATTGTTTGGTAATTCGAGTGGCGATGCACACGCGACTACTTCCTCTTTGATGGATTGGCTTACCCAGATGCAGTCGGAGGCAAAGTATTCGATTACATGTGTAAGTTGCGCTTAATTTTTCTCCTTTTGACAAATTTTTTTTCGACACAGCTGAGACCATGTCTTCATGTTTCCATATCCCTGCACTTTCGATGCTGTCCACCTTGTGGAGCGATCTATCAATCAAAACTTGACAACGGCAGGAACAGTCATCTATTTAGCATTATAGTCTCAAACTTTAATCGTAAATCTTGGTATAAGCTCTGCCACGCTTGAGAGAGTATAGAACTGCCCTTATTTTGTATAAAAGTACGCTTATTTTCATATTTATCTTTTGGTTAAAGTGGAAAATGCGCGATGGCCCACTTCAATGGCACAAGAGGTTACATATTAATATTAATACCAAGTGTGTATTTAGCCGGGCTGTGGCTATTGCCCAAGAGCCGCTCTTAGGAATGTTTTCCGAGCCCCTCCAATAAATCAAAGAGCCATATAGCGTCGAAGGCTGCCCCCAATCAACACCCAACAATACTTCAAGACACCGAGTTGGCCCTTTACGGGTGAGGATGTGTGAAGTAGGACTTGAGGGAATATATTTGAGTACGACTGGAGTGTATGTGTTGGACATTTTGATTAGCTTTGTGATTGGATATCTTCCAAATATACAATCACTGTTGTTAAAGACAAAAAGTGTCTTGTATTCTTAATACATTTTATTGAAAATATTCTAAAGTACGTAAGTAGGGTTCATATTACCTCGTAAGTACCGGGTATTACATAGCCCACTTTCAATTGTCACTGTTAAATAGGACAATCGTCATTAAAGTTCCTTTATCGATGCAAACTACTCACGTGCTGGAACAGGGGACCATCCAACACCAAAATCACATCACAGTGTTCGACTTGTGAAGGGTCCTATCGACCAAAGGTGACGAAGCATAGGGCGGGAGTGGCCTTCCCCACTGACTACTCTGACGGGTACCAGGTGCTGTTTGGGCCAGAGCTGCATGGCCTGACTTCCAATCCAGCTCACCCTATATCCGTCTCTCCATATTTCAAATTGGAAAAAAAAAACAACAATAAATGACGCACCACACACTCACTCCTGGACGCTCCCCCATCAGCCACCCCTTTCACACACGACGCAAATTGCTTAGCATACTTTACGGCTTCAGTTGGCAATTGGCAGCCTTTGAATTTCCTTCCCCAGCCGACAGCTCCACGCCCTCCAGTCCTCCAGCCGTCGGTTCCCTTTCTTACTGGAACCCCTTTTGAAAAGGTAGGGAGTTTGGAATTTCTGCGGCAAGTCGAACCAAAGAGTGGCGCCTACCTGTTAACTGACAAGTTTACAACTTCTGTCGTTGCAGTTGCTGTCGGTTCTTGGATATTCCGTTCTAGTCTTAACACAAAAACTTGACGGCTTACCATTTCTAATGGATTGCATTTTAACAAGAAGAACGGTTCGATTTTTTTTTTTAAATTAATTTCTTAATCATGGGTTTAAGCTAGAAGGGAGTGACGGAGCTTTAAGTCTCTAACAAATATTGACAGTAATTCATAAAGCCATATCAGATATTCTCACTCTTTAAATGAGACAGGTGAAAACAGGTGGGGTGCTGGGGTGCTGGTCTGGGCTTTCATTGGGTTTTGCCATCGACCTTTTCTATCGACTACCAACAGCTTATGGCAGGCTGCTTATTATGACTGTCATGGCTGTCAAAAGGAGCAACGTGTTTCCCCATTCCCTTCTCGAATATCTTCATTACGCTGCAAAGTTCATATTGTATATACATTTTCTGGCTTCGAATTTTTAAGCGATTTTCTATTTGTTTTTCCCCCAGTGCCTTCCTAAACCTCGCCTCGGCAGTCTCGTCTGGGCCCGCTTTTGACAGGTCAGACAGTTCAGGTGTAAAATAGTTTGCCACGTCAGGCGGCTGCGTTTTAAGTTACCCGTCCGACCCCGATCCCTTTCTTCTCTTAGCCGCTTATTGATTTTCCGGCACCTTCTGTTCCTTGATAAGTGTCAGACCAATCAGCTTGACATCTTGACTCTGGAGCGGACTGCCCACACATGGCTCAGAGTGTCTAGGTACGAAATCATAATAGAGAAGTCCAGTCATTTTTCCAATATTTTTCATCTTTTCCCACCCATACCTGGCTGGCCTACGCGCTCCCAATTCCGTCGAGTCATGGATTTTAAAGATCAGACTAGAAGATTTTCATTTTACCAGCCATTATGTCTAATTGTTTTCAGATCTGTGAAAATCTTCTTAGGATTACAACTTTTCTTGAGTAATAGTTACCATAAAGGATTTATGGCTTAAGATTTTGATGTGAGATTGCAAAAATCATTATAATTTTTAAGGAAAAGGATAAGTAATGCCTATACCCTATTGATATCAAAAGTAAATCCCCAGAGTACCCTGCTTTAAATCCTCTTACTGATAGCAACAATTTGCAAAACTTTTCAGACATTATACCCCGGCTAAAACGTTGCAAAAATTTGATAAGCAAAAGATCCAAAAAAAAAAAAAGCCAACAGCCAACAGTTAAACGCAAAATTTTCAAGTCCAATCCCCAGTGACAAAAAAAGTTTGGTTTTCAGGGTGATAGACGAAGCCAAAGACGAAACCCTTGGCTCATGCCTGATACCGCATTGTTTTCCCCTACTTCATTAAGTCAACAATTTGATATGTATTTCTGTTTGTTTTTCTTTAAAATATATATAAGTATATCTTTATATATAAGTATACAATTTTTCTCTGTCGCCGATTGGGCTTAGGAATTTTCAACGTGGGGCTAAGCTTTTGGCGCTGAAACTTTTGACAGCGTTTGATTGAATGTTTGGCAACGACATCGGGGATTAACTATGGTATGCCATGTAGTTATCTACCAAACAAATTCCGGCGGGGCCACCGAGACAGTCGTTAGACGGAGGTGGTGGCCCTAATTGGAGTTTCGACTTGGTCGAGAGGCAGGGGGCGTCGTCGGGTTGCAATGCTCGGATTTGGTTACAGACTTTAAAAAGCAAACAACATTTTTTGTGTTTATATTATTTTTTATTAAAAATATTAAACTTGATTTTGGACTTTAAGCTGTCGGTCTTAAGCCAAAATTTTTACTTGATGTTGGGTATTTTGTAGTGTCTTGGAATAGATGTTGGAGATTCTTACAAGTTTTTTTAATACAATATATTAATACATACATATTTCTAAATAAATTTAAAATAATTTAAAAATTATTTTTAAAAATTATAACACTTCCCTAAAAATTTAATATGATTTTTAGAAACTTTTTTTTAGAAACTCTGATAAACCCCCTAGAGTACTAATTACATTAGTGACTAATACTAAACAAATAGTTATATAGTCATAATTCCCTTACCTGAGAAACCACCCTGCAGAAAGAAAGTACTTTTGTTTTAAAAACTTATCAACAGGCAGACGCCGGCTCTCTTTCGCCGCTCTCTTCTCGAAAGAAGCAACAATGTGTGTTCCATTGCCAAGCCGTTTCAGTCTTATACGCCTTTTGAAGAGAGAGAAAGCAGCCAAAAGAGCAGCCTGCTCCACTATCTGCTCCATTTTAAGTTAATACAAAGTAACGGCTCTGGTGGGGGCGTTGTGGGGGCGGTGGGAGGAAGGTGAAAAGGTGAAGCGGGAGCCAGACATGAAATCAATAATTTTAAATAATTAATGCGTCAGAAGAGAATTTCTTAAAAGAATCAACTCTGTAATTGGTTTTCTGTTTGGAATGCGTTTACACGAGATTTTCAGGGCCCTGTAACCGGTTTTGTTTGGCTAAAATTGCATTAAATAAATCGAATTGTGACCCTAGGTCCACACAGCTTCCACTACGATCCACATTTTGTGATTGCTCAGCGGAATCGTCTCTCTTGTAAACAGAAAGAGAGCGCAGGATTTTCCCAAGCGAGAGAATAATAGGGCGCCAGGTTATCCTGGATCCTGTTTTCGCCATACAAAAAAGGACACATAACAGAGTGTTAACACGAGACGAGGGCTTAACAGAGTGGCAGCTCATAGCAGCGAAGTGGCTCGGCTCGGACGATTGTGCACTCAGGGCGGATGGTTAATCAGCGAAAATATTTAGAGTCCTTGCGAAACTTTTGCTGAAGTAACGTGTCGTCGCGCGTTTGGCAGCGACTGTGTATTCGTTCTCTCGACTCCGTAATCGATTGCCGGCTATCGTCGTCGGTTATCGTGTGGGTGGGATTGGGATTCTTCAATGATTCTTCGCATGGGAGCCAAAAAGTACAGGTGACTCTGCCGGATCCCCGCCGCAACCCCATCGCATCGTAGTCGCAGTCTTAATCGCAACTCGAGTTAGCTTAACCCGGGCATCTCCAAAAGTTTTGCCTAAATTCAGTTAGATAAAGTTAAACGACTCCTAATGTCAATTTAATTATGTGAAAACAAAAGTCGCGAGCGAGTTTATTGTGTTTTCGTGATTTTTTTCGGTTACCCGATTATCTCGGTTCCCCGATGCGGTAAATGGATTTGGGGGGTAGGTTGAGGTAAATTTAATAAAAACTTTGCCCTCAAATTGCAAACTAATTGAAACAGATGACGATTATAACTGTGGGAATCGGCTGATAGCTACAAAAAAGAATAAAAATAATGGATTGTTTTAGATGGTAAATGGGTATTAATCCATTACTTGATAAAGTAATTAAAAGTTTCTACTACCCTACCATTATGGTTATACCCCTGAATTAAAAAAAAAAAAAAAAACCGTTTTCTAAAAAAAACTTTATAGAAAACCAATTAGGATTATGTTGAAAGTATAAAGCCATTTTTCCTAAAAAAAAAACTTTTTAAGCCAAAAATAAATTTTATAAAAACAAAAATTATAGTCTGGAAACCGTGAACGTGGGAAATTAATTTCCAGTAGGTAGCTGCTATTAGCCACTCCCAATACCCTCAAGTGCAAGCCATTTTAATTAGTGGAGCGAGTGGCCCGATAGACGGCCAAAAGTGACTTTTGAAATGGTCAAGCAGATAAAACCGTAATAACTACAAAGCCAAATGGGATAAGGCCAAGTGAGTGAGTGAATGAGTGGGTGTGTGTATGTTTGGGGGTTGGTCCGTGGACCTGGCGGGACCTAAGCACGCACAAATTTGTTAAACCGGTCACGTATCCCAGAGACCCCAGAGCCACCATGCGCCACCCACTTCAAGCCATAGCGCGGGCCGGGTTGTCAGCGACTGGAAAATAAAAATCGAAAATTAAACTTAAAACGCGAAAAATGGATACAAATGGATACCTACTCCTCTTACCAGCTCGGTTGCCGCTCCGAAATCGATTTCAATAAACGTTAATTCGTTTTCCCTCTGAAGTCACAAATTTGAAACCTTTCAAAATGACGCAACAAATTAAACGCCAATAATTTTAAACAATTTCCCAGTCAAAAATAGCAAAATAAAAAAGGCAGTCAGAGGGAGACACTCGGGACAGGGTTTTTATTTTTTTCTTTTTTGGTTTTTATGGCTTTTTGATCTAATTAAATTCCCATAAAAAGAGCAACCGGCCCCGCAAAAGAGTGACGCAAATAAAAACAAATAAAACGAAAATTATTTTAAAGTTAGAGCAGCAAATGCCATAAACATTCTGATAAGACAACGAAGGTCAATAAATAAACAAAGTTGAATGGGCTGCAAAACGGCGAGCAGTAGGCGACAAAGGGTTAATGAGTGCGTGTGACTGAAGGCACAGTACAGGCAGCTGTGGCTGTGTGTGGCAGGGTCGAAGTGGGTTCGAGGAAGGGGCAAATTGCACTAATGGCCTGCATTTTGCATTGCGTGAATTGTGTGGGGGTGACTGTTAACAAGAGGGCTTGAGGTTGTGGCATGGCATGGCAACAGTGATCTTTCCAGTTGAGGCACGCAAATCACAAAGCTCTGTTTGACGAAAACCAGTTTCGAGTTGATTTCGATCAACCGACTTTTTATCTAATTAGACTTTTTATTCCCATCTGAATCATCCACCTGTTCTAATTTTATTTGGCAATCTTGATTTTATTTAACTAAGCTTTCTTTCAAGTCTAACCTTGGCAGTAAGCGATTGTTTTTATAAGGAAATTATAAAATAAATCTCTTTAGAAAGCAAAAAAAAAAAATATAGCTATAAGGTATACTAGAGTCTAGAGTCTAGAGTCTAGAGTCTAGAGTCTAGACTAGTCTAGAGGGGTTATTTTAGTAACTAAGATATATGCTCGATTAAGTAATTTCAGTTTAAGTGCAGACAGTTAGATCTTTATGAACTTGGCAGTCTTTTTTTATCACAAAAATATTTCTTTATGGACTGTGACTTTTATTTTAAGGACCTATTACTAACATACCCTCTGAGAGTGTACTATAATCCCCAATTACGATCTTTACTGGGGCCGGTATTTTACGCTCAGAAAGTTTGGAAAAAAGCTTCGTTTCTCAAAATGTACTAGGCATTTTGCCAGATACGACGCACATGTATTTGCATCCATATAATATTAGAAGAAAATAATTTAGATTTATATGAAGTATGTATATTCAGGCCTAAGAAGGTAAGAAAATAATTTATTATAAATTCTGACACTCAAAAAATGGAGACTCTATGGTAGACTCAAGACCTTTCTGTATTTAGTCCTAGATCTTCAACTAAATTAGAGAGTATGACAATGTTCGGTGTACTATTTTCCACCTCGGCAAAAACAAGTGAACAAAATTTCAACATCACTTGATAAGAACACTGCTTCGGTTGTGATCGGTGGGTGGTTTTTTGTATGAGGGGATGGAGGGGCAAAGGCCAAGGCACAATATTCGTGAAAAGCTCAAAAGTGAGTGAGAACAAGCTCGCCACATGCGTGTCGGCATCTATATAGCAAGTCAATTGCGCTAATTTCTCCCAGTTTGTGAGCGAGTCGCAGTTGAAAAGATGTCAGAGATCGCGATACGCGCCCTAAGGGTGGAGGACTACCCGGAGGTGGAGGCCTTTCTGGCCGAGCACTTCTTCAAGCACGAGCCACTGATGCTCATACCCCAGGAGGACCCGTCCCAGGCCGCCGTCATACCGACCGAGTCAGAGCTGCATCACCAGCTGCTCCAGCAGGGCCTCTCCCTGGCAGCCGTCGACAATGCTGGACGCATTGTGGGAGTAACCCTAAATGGGGCCATGGAGCCCTCAGACCTCGAGCGGGAGTACAAGGAAGCACATGAGAAGCCAGTCTCATGTCTGCTGGACAAGATTCATAAGCTCCTGGCCGGAATCGAGTGGCGGGCGAATGTCTTCAAGCACTACGGGGTGGAGCGGGTCCTCTACCTCTACATGCTGGGGGTGAGCACCACAGTGCGCCGCCAGGGCGTGGGCTCCCGCCTAGTGGCCGCCACCATTGAACTGGGCCGCACCCATGGATTTCCCGTCGTCTGCTCCACCTGCACTAACCTCAACTCCACACGCCTGATGACCGCCCTGCAAATGGAGTGCGTCCTGGCTCAGGAGTATGCGGAGTACAAGGACGAGCGGGGAGAGGTTATCCTCCAGCCGGCGGCTCCCCACACAAAGGCCAGTGTGGTGGGTATTCGACTCTAAAGGGATTCCCCCGAAAGCCAAAAAGCCTGAATTAAGATTAGTTAGTTAAAGTGTATGTGGAATAGTCACTAAGAAGAGTTTAAATTTTAAAGTAAATCATGGTTTAAAAGTTGATATTCTGTATTGTTTGTATCTTAATTGGTTTTATATTGAGTTTATTGCCGGCGCGATACGAGTATCTTTGAAGTACTCACATGCGTGCTTTTTATTGCCTTTTTTATTTTTCATATCTCACTCTCTCACAAAAACCTTGAAATGGCTATGATTACGTTACGGAAATGTTTATTTTCTGTTTGCTCTATAGAATGTTATGTCTATATATTCATATTATGGCATATTGGTCCAGATTCTAGAAAGCTTTTTGTTGACAAACACGACAGTGGTTTAAAGCTTATTTAAATGATAAATAAAACCAGAAGAAATGAGGTTCCTAACTATACGATACCCAGAACTTTGAACTCTAAAAACTCTCAATAAAGCTCACTAACCATAACAACAACGTTGAAAATACCCCAAAAGTTGTAAAACTACATTGCATAGATTTAAGCTGTTGACATTCGAAAATTTTAATAAAGTGAAAATAGTTTCCGGAAATTTTGTTTTCCAACTACTCAAAATTATGCGCCAAAAATGTGCGAAAAAAAATGACTGGATGGATGAAAACTATTTCCCAGCATGGCGGACAACCACAGTTTAGTACTTCGGGGCTATGTCAATCCGGAATATTTGCATAGTCTCGTAGAAATTTCGCCAAAGATTCACACAAGTGAGCTTGTGATTTATGTTGGCGTGACCTAAAAATTTGTTCGCACACCACTACGAAACTATTGTAATTAAAAGTGAAAAGTTGACAATATTTTCTAGTTGAATTTTTGATTTATTGCGCGCAATGCCAACCGCAGCAGTAGCAAAAAAATTTAATGAAAATTCAATGAAAGTTTGCGGCACTCGGCATGCGCAGATGCAGGGATTGGTTAGTTGCAACATATGGTTGCACTGTTAGAAAACGGAAAAAGATCTTTTCAACACAAAAATATATACTTTTTCTCCAATTCGTTGTGGGTGGTCTATATTCCTTAAGTGATCAATTAATTACTCTCCTTTCGTTTAGGATTGTATATATTTTTCAGATACGAAACGTATACCGAGAATTTTCCAATTTACCCCACTTTTGACAACAATTTCATAGATTTTTGAATGTGCACAGCTGGCCCAGCCGACCCGACCTCCGGTCGCTTTGTTATTGTCTAAGTGACCCTAATGAAGATTAATTTATAACAAGTGCTATGCTCCACTCTCAGCGTGAACAGAGGAAAAGCGAAAAAATAAGCTTGCCACTAAGTCTGACAGCCACAAAAATGAGAAAAATATAAAAGTTTTCATAAAAAAATGACCCAAAGACTTTTCATTCTTAATAATTTTGACATAAATGGGAATGTCAGTGACTGGAAAACAGACTTTCGTGATTATAATTTAAATCTACGACCTATTACTTCTATTAAGTCATTCACGTTGGTGACGACATGCAAGGGCAAAATAATTTCCAATAACTACGAGTAGAATAATAGTAAGCCCATTATTTATAGATTCCAACTTCCATCTCTTACTGCAATTTCGTCACAAACTTCCAATGCATTCGTCACTGACTTTCCAACTCCTTAAAAGGATTTCTTTTTGTGTTATAGTCCTATTAATGTCAGACAATGGCTAAAAAAAATGTTAAAGTCTTTTCCGCACTCTACATAAAATTTTATTTAGTTTATAAATAAATATGGAGAAGGCCTCCCCCCAGACCAAGAGACGAAGACACCTGAACTCGGTCGTAAAAAAAGGGAAACCCAAAATAGGAAGCTCCCTGCCCATTGTTACTTTTAGTTTTGGCTCGGCCATGTCCTTTTGCAATGGCGTTGCATTTGATAGGGGAAAACGGGATTTTCAAACATATCGCATATACAAAATGCAAACATGTCTGGCAAACACAAATCCCATAAATGTTTTGTGCCCCCATCGTGGGTGTTGGGGTGTCAGGGTGTTGGGTGGATGGGTGGTTGGGGTGAGAGGGAGGATGTGCCTGTGAGAAGGATAAAAACTTGCAAAAAATATTTTCATATGTGAATATGTGTAAAGTGCAAAAGTTGTTCTCCGCTCCTGTATGTTGGATCCCGGATCCTGGATACTGGCCTGATTCCTGCTCGTTTTGTTGCCTCCTATGCCATTCTGGTTGTGTGTGTGTTGTGTATGTGGCACGGTGTGCCCCAAACTCTTTGCCACTTTTTGTGTTCTGTGTTTGCACTATGTGAGCATCAGGTGCTGTGGCAAAAGAAATTACAACAAATCCATTTGTAAAATTGCAAACCGAGACCGAGGCATTTCCTCCGCTTATCTAGTTGCCTTTGATGGTTCTTTTCTCTTCTACTTTTTTTGGCCAGTCGGCAGAGATGTGTGTCTGGCTGGTCCGGATGGTTGGCCAAAAAGATACGATGAATATCGTAGGGATATAAGATTTCTAAACTATCCTTTTTCAGAAAATTTCAAAAAAAAAGTCTGTTTATTGTGTTTATTAGGAGCTTAAAGAACTGAAGCACTAAATACCCCTTGGCTGCCGCTGCCAAAAAACACAAAAGCCCTTTTAAACAATAAGGACTTGGCTACACTGCTCAGTCAATTCACTCAATTACAGGACCGTCTCCTGGTTCTGCCTTCTCGGTGAGCTGGCTCCTATCATTATGGACTCAAAAATCAAGATGAAGCCACTCACTCGCTGCCTGTCATTTGACTGGGAAAACATTCATCTTACTAAAGTTTGCAATGGCCGCCATTCGCAGAGTCGTTCCCCGGGCTCAGGTCCTGGGCTCAAGTCCTGGGCTGAGACATTCATCAATTTGTTAGAGCAAGCCGACCTACTCGAAAGGTAGAAACAAAAAGCGGAACATTAAGGAGAGTGTTACGACTTTAGATACCCAATACTTATAGAGGAAAGGGGCCTTTTTCTTAGGAATTATTATAGTTCTTTCTTAAAAACCTATAAGTGTAATCCCCTCCAGTTATACCCTCTTTAGTGGGCCAACAAATATACCCTTGGCACTTGCAGGATAACTGGGTACGAAAATGGCAACGAACATTTTTCGTACTCCTGCAGCACATTGCATATAAATTTTCAGAAGTAAGTGCAGGCAGCGCCTTGCTTTAGTCCAGTTTTGTCCTGCCAACAGGAGCTATAAGGTTGCACAGCTCCTGCCCTCAGCCAGCCACCATCCCACACGGCACGGCAGACCCCTCTAGGACATCAAGCTACACACGTCAAATTTCAAACAAGTTCGGCTGCCGGAGGGCCTGAAGCAAACGGGCAGCTTCCAGACACAGGTAGCCGAAAAAAAAATTCCGAAACAAAAAGAAGGAGTCCGGTTGCCAGACACCGGTAGAATTCGCAGGGAAAAGGGTGGCCAAAACTACGGCTCCGGCAACAGCTCCGGCTACGGCTCCAGCATCTGGCATCTTTTTTCCTTCATGGCAACAACAGCCCAGGTAGGGCAACAATGAAAATGGCTAACGGCTGACGTTGGGGCAAGGAATTTCGGAGCTCAGGTTTATGCATAGCTTGCACACAAGGGGCACAAAATGTTGCTGATTTACTTCGTCCTTAAAGAGCACCATGGTAGATTTAAAGGTTAACAGTGCTCCTCTGGCCCAAAACTAGTTACGGTTTTGTGGGATGTCTAGTCCAAATCAAAAATGATTTTCACACACTCCCGTAATGAAGCCCAAATATGTTACTAGCATTTAAGATTCAAGGCACCATGACTAACCAGTTAAAGTTTTAGGGATAATGGGTCCATCGGATGTGGGGTTCAATGTATTGAAGGGACTGTGAAAAATAAATAAAGTCCGCTTACATTTTAGCTCTGTGCTGTAACGTGTTGTGTCTGCAACTGCAACTTAAATATTTATTTGCCATTCCCCAGACCAACGAGTGCCTCAAAGTTGGACTGCCACCGAGAACAGGAGGCACAGGTGATTTCCAAGTTTTAGGGGAATCAAGAGGACAGCTGCTGTTTTTTATTTCCTTTCAACCAAGACAAAGAAACACTATTTTAAAGTTTTATAATTGGCGATAGTTGACATCTGCTGAGTTAAAGAATAAAAGAAGTGTCTCCTTTTTTGCGATTTCAAAAGTTAATTTATTTTCATTATAATTGTTAAGAAAACATAAAAGTTGGGAAAGTGTTTCTTAAAGGCATCTATGTATGTAGGTCTTACTTCCTGTTAAGATTGTAGTTCCTCAAGTAGATGCCCGCTAGCACCTCTTGAATTCTCCGACGGCGCTTGTCCTGCGTGAGAAGCGACACCTAGATGCTTGGGATTCAGTCCACGGCGTGTCTGGCGGTCAAGAGCTTCCACATCGTCCTCGGTGATCACATCCTGGTCATCCCGATCGTCATCTGCCTGAGCAGCCGATGCCACTCCGGGTGTTGCCAAAGAGTCCAAGATTCCCTCGTCGGCAGATTCAACCACCTCGGAGTCATCCTCAAACAGGTTGCCATCGGAGAGATCGTCCAGATTCAAACCTTGGAGGAGATCGGCGATGGTGGGCACAAAGGCGCTCCTCCTAGAGCTCGTCGAGTTGGAACTGTTGCCGCTGGAGGCGGGCGCGTAAATATTCTGGGCATTGCTGGGGTTGATGACGAGGAAGGTGGCACCGGATCCTCCAGGTAGCCCGCTGAGGTATTCAGCATAGGGATTTGGCCTGGAAGTTGGAGGTGGTGGTGGAGGTGGAGGGTAGTAGGGATAGTAGGGGTTGTGGTGGTGGTGATGGCGCCTGTCCGACTCGTAGTCGGAGTTGGAATTAGGTTGCTGGACTATGATGATGGGTTGTTGACTGCGGCGGTCGTCTTTGTCGCCTCTATGGAGATTCCACAACAAACGGGGGAGAATCTTGCTAAAGGCTGTAGGATATAAGGATAGAAAATGTCTGAGGATAAAGCGATAGTAATGCCTTGACTTACCATTATCTTTACTGTTCTTGCTGCCCGAACTCTGATCAGCTGAAGCCAAAGCTAAGCAGGCTGTGACCAAAAGCACGACACCTAATGTCTTCATGATATTGTTCATCTAGTTGGCCTACACCTTCGACTGAATACCCCCTCCAGAAGGCCAATGTCTTATATACCAACTTACAATTACTTTTGCTCCAATTTCGCCACGGTTCAGGTGCTCACTTTCCAGAGAATCCCATCATCTGTAGATGCTGGAAATGTATCTAAATCGTAAATCAATTTCTAATTCTAACGCCCCGATGCCCTCCGTTTATTGCACTCGTAAAACGCTCTCCTCATTGCTCGGTCTTGTGCTTTTTGTTTACTTTGGCCACTGGTCTGGGCTTTCATGATCTATCCAGTCAAACCATTCGATGTAAGTATTTCCAAACTCCACTGGGAGCTGCTAATGTGTTGTTTATAGTCGCGGGCTAAAGTGATTATGATCTGTGTACATTGATCTGAAGTTGCAGAGTGGTTTCCAGCGCAATGACCTCGTTTATACATTCGCTGATTCTTGTACGTTGAACTTATGGTGGAATGGTTTGGGCCTCTCTATAGGAAATACCAATTTTTACACTTTGTGTAAGTTCTTTGAATAAGTATGTCCATCACGCAAGTGTATAAAAACTACAAAATTGCGAGAAGCAAATATAAAACCCTCAAAAATAGATAAAATCTCCATGTATCCGTTTCATACTGTCCAATCAAAGTGAAACGAAAACAATAAGTCCTTGAGAGCACACATGGTTTAAAAAACCGAGACACGTAGGAAACACAAAGTACAAACCGCAGCACACAATCGAAATCACCTCCACTCCGCCTGCATGATATTCCATCCAAAGAGCCATAGCTTTCCAAATAAAATGCCACCTAACAGCCAGGATCTATTCGAAAAGCATGAGTAAAAATAAATAGGAGGAGCAACAGGAGCAGGGCTGGGCTGGATGGGAGAGGCCAGAGCCCAAAAAACCTTACCACACAAAAGTGTCATGTACGAGGACTTAACAGATTTAAATTCTATTTGTCAAAGAACGCTCGAGAGGCAACGCAATCGCTGAGCTGTGAATGAATATTGACCAGAGGCATTAGGAAAATGGATTTATTTGTTTCTCCGAACATCTTTTATCCCCAAAAAATACATCTTGCTTAAAAAGCAGAAAAATAGATGGCCAAAAAATAGAGCTGACCGATCGAAATGTGTAGTTTCAGACTTAACTACTCTAATAGAAATAGGTACTTACTATAACTAGAAGAAGAAAATAAAAACTATACATCTACAAAACCCATTCCAAAATGTAATGAGCAAAAAACCAATCCCCATAACAAATAAAAAATAATATCCATGAACGGAAGTTGAAATCAATTTTTAATATATGACCATTGAAAAAGCTCTCTATTTCTTCAGAAAGTTGTATTTTTTTTATAGAATTCTTTTAGTAAGCTTATTAAATTTTTGCCCCAGTAAATTAAGCGACACTTTTGGGGTCAAATGTTCCTCTGCTGTGCGATTTCTGATCCCACGTCGAAAAAGGCATTTCCGCCCGCCTTCCTGCATGTGCGTTTGCGTGCGTTAGCGTCGCGCTGCCATTTCACATCCGGTGCTCGACAGCGGTGCTTAGCTTCAGATACACTGCAAAAAAAAAGGATGTTCTACCCAAGAATGGCTATCGACAGCAGAGCTCATTGGGTCAAAATCGACACTAATTTTAGCAGTGAACTCCTTTTGGAGAAGAGCTGAACAGAGCACTCTCGGTGGCCATTAAGTAACACAAATTTTCGGCAGCATGCTTTTCCGGTTTTCCGACGCAACGGCAACAGCAACAGAAACAGCAGCAGAAGCAGAAGGAAAAGCAGAGGCAGAACTATAAGCCGCGGCACAAGGAGGTCCTGCCAACCCAACGCCCACATCCTCGGAGACTGTGCCTCTAGTCGCCTTAGTTCAATAAGGATTTCCGATTCAATTCGTGCGCAGCGACTCTGCCAGCCGCTGTCCATTTTCATTTATCGAATTTTTCACATTGACGACCTTTACACCAGGAGCTCAATTTTTTATACTTTTAGCAGCTATTTTATTCCCCGGCATTATTTATTTATTTTTGTGCTGATTTCATGCGTTTGCCTTGAGAGTTTTCGCTGTTGCTCGTCGGGCTATGTGGTTGTTGCTCTTTGTGCTTGATTTGCTTTCCAATTTTCAATGTGTCACATTATGCACACGACCATTAATCAAAAAAAAAAAAAAAAAAAGTGAAGTCAAAGGGGGTGGCACTCCGACCCGGGAAAGAGAAAAATTGAGGCAAGAAATTATTGCTTAAATAAGCGTGTTTTCGCTACTAAAGGACGAGCGGTTCGAAAGCGAAAGACTTTACAGAATAAATCAACCACAAAAATGGTCAGAGTGGGGTTTTTCCAGATCTCCGCCCACGGTCTTGGCCGATTTAAAAAATTTCCGTACCTTTCGGCAGTGCCCTTATTGATTTTGCCTTTATGCGCCATTTACGCGGACTCCGTTGGCCCCTGCGCCTTGCCATGCAAAGGACTTTCCATTCCATTCCATAATTTATAGAGATCAGCAAAAAGGGGACAATATTAAAGAGCTACAAATCAAATTATGATGAAGCAGAAAGTGCTAAGTGAAAATCGTTGAGATGAGAAATCGCTTTCCCCCCGATGGTTTACATGGAAATTTTCGAATTTTTGTGGCAGAAACAGCGATAAGCTTTTGCATATTTCTTTGGGGGATTTTCTCAAGTCATGGCTTTTCAAATAAGAAATAATTATGACCTGTAGTTTTTATGCTTAACGCAATACACTCACAAATAGTACATATAAGAAGGACAAGAGCAGACATTATGTTGAAGGTTACTCCGCAGGCATCGTAAACACACATCAGCTTTAGCTTTATTTTAGGAGAAAAGTGTCAACACCAAAATGATTTGATAGGCGTTGCCAACAACAACCTCCCCCTCATTTCCGTTCTGCCGAGTGGGCGTTTCCAAAAAAGACATAAGAATCCACATGAAGAAGCTGGAACGGGAAATGTGTCCGCCTCCATCGGGAAAATATATTCTTGATTGGCATCGTGAGGCGAAATCTATCACGACATGTCCGACTGTGCGTCTGCTTTTTAATACCCTTACAGGGGGAGTTATAGTTTTGTTCAAAGGCTTGCTATGCGCTATGGTAGTCCCTAAACATATCGGGTTTCTTTCAATCTGTAACAAAATCTAGAAACAAATTATTTTTGACATTTTTTGTGCAATTTTCTGGAGGGTCCCCTTCAAAAATCTACAAAAATGCATGGGGCCACAATATGGCCCACAGCGATGGCTATATCTTTGCCAATAATCATCAGATTCTTAAGCGGAATACCTTAAATGATTTGTACATCGATTTTCTATCAAATCTGCATCAAAATCTAGAAACAAATTGTTTTTTAGATTTTTTGTGAAATTTTCTGGAGGGTCCCTTTTAAAAATCAGCAAAAATCCATGGCCATGCACAGCGATGGCTATATCTTTCCCAATACTGATCCGATTCTTGAGCGGAATACCTTAAACGATTTGTACATCGGTTTTCTACAAGCCTGCATCAAAATCTAGAAACAAATTATTTTTTAGATTTTTTTTGAAATTTTCTGGAGGGTCCCCTTCAAAAATCTGCAAAAATGCATGGGGCCACAATATGGCCCACCGCGATGGCTATATCTTTGGCAGTAATCATCCGATACTTGACCATAATATCTAAGAAAATTTGTATGTCGATTGGTTACCTATTCACGTCAAAAGTAAAAAGTGTTTACTAAAAACTTATTGTTTCTTTTATTTTTTTTCTGGGGCTATATGCTGAGGTTACGGTTTAAATTGATCAAATGTGTGTATAGTTGTAGACCTGTAACTATATGTAGCCTATATATAACTATATATGTAACTATATGTAGCTATAACTATATAACTATAACTATATATGTAACTATATAGTTATATACCTCCTCCTAAAGATTAAATTTTAGTTCTTCATCCAATAAGTTGGAGTGTATACCCAGACCTGACCCTCAGCTTTCGTTCTCTTTTTATGCGGCCCCATAAAAATGTTTAGTAGCAACTGCTACTGGCTAAGATACATTTGGCTTGGGCCCTCCGGCCAAAAATAGACTTCAACTCGAACTTGTAACCAGCTGCATTTGCAACTAAAAGTGGCGGAGCTGCGGAAAGGGAACTCGTATTAAAAAAAAAAGGCCGACCCGCGGCCATAAAAAGTATCCAGGGCCACTACTGTCTTCCACTTTCTATAGGCTCCACACAATTTCATGCCTTTTTTATTTTTGGCCACTTCGCAGACATTAGCAGCAACAAAACGCTGCACATTCGCATTTCGCATTTCGGTTGCCACTTCCACTGTCAAGTTGGTGTAAAATTTTTCATTTCGCATATGAAAGGAAGCGTGGGCGCTACTTCCCCTCTTTTATTTTCTTTTAATTTTTTTTTGTGTTTTCGCCAGACAGACTCTGGCAGCATTTGTCACTTGGTTTTCATTCATATTTTCTTTTTTATTTTTTTCCTTGCACATTTTATTAATTGCTCGAGTGAATTCTTGGCGTTGGCAAGATGCCTGCAAATGGCACATTGTGGTCTTTTGATCTATTCCGATCTACACGGATGAAAAGGAAGTATAGCGAGGGCACTTGACAGCCAAGAAAGGAAAAGATCGCTGATAGAAATATATATTGATATCCGTTACTGCGGAAGCTCTAGGTAATAGTATTAGATTCGTTCTTCCGGACATGAATTGTTGCATCTAGTTTACCTCTTAAAAATTAAATGACAGACACTGCTGTCTGCCAGAGGACAAACATCGGGGCACCCAAATCGACCCTCCTCAGATCCTATGCACCACCACTGTGTGCGCCACTTTTTCGCGCTGTTAATATTTTTGTATTTTGACACGTTTTGGCATGACGCCAAGCAATCCGCTGGGGAAGTAGGGAGTTTAGGGCCTCGGTGTAGTATGTGCCTGACATTTTACATAAATTTCTGCTTGCTCAGCTCTGAAAATCGTGCCGGCGAAACTGCCAGTCGACTTTAACATCCCCCCCACCCAGGGTGCCCACTGTTTACGATTGGATGGGACTGCCATGACTTGCTATCATGTGACAAAAACGCGACAGTTTGCAAGGTCACGTCACATTAATTTGCTGACAATGATGTATTTAAGGAAGGACTTCACCCCCAGCCCTCTTCGCCACCGGCTCGCTGGCTGGTTGGATGGATGGCTGGCTGGCTGTTGTTCTTAAAGCCCCGCCAATTAAGCCACGCATTTTCAGAAATCTTTTATACTTTTTCCTAATTTTATCCTTTGCGTTACAGAGTGAAAACAACGAAATGCCGAACCGACCAGCAGATTTACTAACGTGAGAAGAATCTTGAAGGGAATCAAAAACAGAGAAAGAATCAAAATGACGGCAATAAAATTACAACGATTGAGGCCCCCAAGCCGGCGTTCCACCCAGCCGACCTCTCCCATTGATTGCCCGAGAATAATTGAAGCAGGACGCGGCGAGGACGCCTACGAAGGAGCACAGTTGGCAACAAATTATTTCAAAAATTGCCACATTAAGCACAATAGTATTAATAAAAGTAAAACTTTATGTTGGCTGGCATTGACTTTGATTTTATTGGACTCTCGAAGTGTCCTGCAAATGGCAATGGCCCAAGTACCAGGTGGCGATTCATCTACAGGATCGGAATCACAAATCGGTAAGTTTGACTACAGATATTTTTCTATTATAATAATAATGAACAAAGGAGCTTATCTACCATTTGCTTGAGAACATAGCTCAGAGCCATTTCCTAATTAATACTAATTATCTACCAAAAATGATCAGCATGCATTATAAAATGGACGGAAGTGTCCTTAGCTCTCTGTGTTGCATGTTAAACATCTCAAGGCATCTCTAAGACCATCAGATTTGAGTCCTGGCCTGGATGGATTGAATGGAATGGCCCGCACTTGATTTGCAAGTGCACTAAATAGTCGAAGCACACACACAATTTGCATTTTCGTTCAACAATCAACATGGAAATCAATCAACCGCAAACGGAAGGGTCCCGGCCCAAGTCTGTGTCCTTAAGTATTAACCAACAACACAATACTAATAGCTGATGGCCGGAAGCAGCGGGCCGGGCAACGGGATTGTCTATAAATTCTCTGGCCAACTTACCGCACGCAACTATAACCAATTACTGCACATTTGCGAATAGCGCCGGTTTTGGGCCGAGGGACTTACAATTAGTTAATATATACGAGGTTAGTTCATGTCTGGATGGAGTGGAGGCGATTGCATCGGGATAAGTGGGCGGAAGGTAAAAGGATTTGATGGTGAATGTCAAATCGAATCGGCCCTCTGGATGGATGACCACCTTATTTCCATTGCTGATTGGACAACCCCACGACCCAGGACCCAGCTTAACCTCTGTGACCTCTCTTTTCTGTTGCCATGTGGGGGGTGCGGTGGCGCCCATCACCGCCCATCGATTGAAGTGGCTTTATTGTGGTCTTTTTATCATAACAGACTATCTGGCCATTACGAACTTCGAACCTTGACTTTTTGGGTATAATATTAAACCTAGGGAATAAGTATTCGAACTCTACCCCATACTCATAGTATATTGTTTGTAAAGCCATTAAAACATGGTGTTTGTTAATTATAAATGGCAACTGCTCATGTAAAAAATTGTATATTAAATCTTATGTGTTGCGGCAATGTTTAATGTTGCGTTTCAAAAAACTTTTTAATTGTATCCTCTGGATACTCCAGTTTTTCACCCCCAATTGAAAGCCAATTAAAAAGCGTGCGTAATTTGTTTATACAGCTATTGAATCTGATTTTCAGCACCCGTTTACTTTCAGTCTCAACGAACCTTGACCAAAAGTTTTAAGAGTGGTTTGCACTGGGCAAAGATAGGGAGCTGTGAGTCTATGGGGGTGGATGGGCTGGATCCCTCTCATAAAGCACGCCTTGTTGCCTTTGTTGTTTACGAGTGCCAGAAGATTTGCGTCATTAAGCGCGTTTTAGGCCAGTTTTTTGCCTTGTTTGCAAGGGTTTGCAACGAAATCTGTATACCCTGGTTGTTGTATGGCACGGCCTTTGATATAACCTGGAATAAAGTGCTCCTTCTCGGTAAATTTACTTTCCGCCAACGGAATTGAGCTGTCTAATCACTTGTGAATTGGTTTTATACTGCACTTTCAAAATTTCCATCTCGTATGCTTTATTAAGCCTTTGCATCTGCACATGAGAACGTATCTCAAATGTTTGTTTGCAATTTTCCAGAGGTTGTGCTCTGCACATACGCTTGGCAGAACGAAAGGACGAGAGGACGAGGGTCCTTTCGCCTTGCATTGAACTGTAAAATTTTCATTTTCATAAAGTTTCGCGGTGTTCTCCCATTGTTTGTGTTGTTTTACACGCCCGCCAAAGAGGAAACTTTGAATTATGATTATCGCACACACGCCAACTAAAGCCGCCCGGGCCGGGCCACGCACTCAAGTGCAGTTAATTAACTTTTGCGCAATTTATACTGCGTAAAAGTTTTCCAGCAGCAACAATTGGAGGGAGTTCTGCCGCCGCGCCGTGCGTTGTTTACTTTTCACTTTTCACTTTGTAGTTTTGTATTTCGCCGTCAAAGTTTCACAAATAGTTTCCTTCTCGTGGCTGGCAGGGAGATGCTTTTCCAGGTCCAGCTCCAGAATGCTTTGGTTTGGTCCAGCTACGGCTGTATATCATGCTGGTCAAATTCCCACAATTCAGTGGCGAAAAACGTTGCAGGAACATTCATTCAAAACTTTTGAAATAAAAGCCATCCCAGGAGAATATATTATTAAGCAGGGGTTAGCCTTTTAAACAGATCTTCTTTAAGGAAATATATATGGATTAAATATTAACGATAAAACTATTTAAAAAAACATTTTTACCCCTTTTACTAAGTACCCATCACAACCAATCTATAAAAAATGATTTTAAACACTTTATATTCACAGTCTTTAACAATTTTTTAACCACTTTGAATAATTACGTTAAAAACTGATATTTTCATTTACTATCGCCTACCATCGCTAATTAAAATGTAACCTCAAACTCAATATTCATTACGCGCTTCTATCAAAATAAATGAGTTTTGATAAATACAACATATTGCCTGAAACGTGAAACTCATAAAAAGAAATTCCAACAATGAGAGAGATATTTATTAAAAGGTTAACTATGAATATTGTTACGTTCGAACTGATGCAGAGATATGGAAAGTTTTCCCGGGGAGTTGGGTCACTCGTTCTGTAGTTCTCTCCTCCTGGCTTTGACTTATGGTGCTTAAGCACTGACTGATTGCTTCTAATTATTCACTAAATGATAATATTCTTGATATTTTGTGGGAGCGGCAGCAGGAACGACGTGAATGGTGGATGGTGATGACGTCGATATCTCAACGACCTATTCATGACCCTTTCGCGGTCTCTTGGGACCCAGAGACCCCATCATTCTTCGACTAGTGGCCGAGGGGGTGATGATAATTGCGCTTTTCGTGAGCGACTCTGAAGATTAATGGAGAATGGAAATTGAGTTGCTGAAATAATGGGAAAATTTGTATTATTTCTGAAATTATTTCTTACGATTGAAAGATTCTCGTCTTCGTATTTGATATATTTTTAAAAAGGTAATCTCTTTTCGTTTCAGACACATGCAGACAGGCTCTGGGAATGGAGTCTGGAGCCATCAACGATTCCCAAATAACCGCCAGTTCTGCCCATGATATAGGAAATGTGGGACCCCAACACTCCAGGTAAGTTTCTTTATTAAAATTTTCAAAGTTTAAATTGTGTTTAAACACGTCAAGTCACATAATCGACTGTACTTCCTTTTTACATATCAACCGCAAAAGCAAAATATGTAAAATCATTGCACACACGTGTCACTGATGTTGACTGTAAATGATAAACAGCAATCATCCATTAAAATTTGACTCATAATATGACGAATGTGAGTAATGTTGTATGTTCGTACCATATACAACAATACCATACCATACAAGGCATTCCCTTACATTCCCTGCTACATGAATATTATTATTATGAATTATTTTATGGCGTGTTAAAATGCCTCTATGTCATTTGTGACCGAAAAAGAAACAGAAACAAGCCAAACACATAAATGACATAAATTAAAGTACAACAGCAATAGCAACAACAATTCCAACGACATGTGCAAAATAATTTGACTTCACATTGAAAATAATGATACAACATATGGCCATTATATTTTGCTGACATTTATTTTCTCCGACCTGAGACCGTGTAAGGACAGCTCCTGAATCAACATCATCCGTAAAACCTCTCCTGGCAATTATTTAGAAAGCCAAACACTGACCAGCCATCAAAACCATGAATATATAATGAATAATGTCACAGTAAACTTTCCACATGAAAATAAAAACATTTTTTACGAGGCACTAAAAGTTTTCCTTATTTTTTAATGTATTGTCAACAAAAGTGAGTAAGATAATCTTACTAAGGTCGGATATAGACCTTTTTATAGGTAGTTGACAGTTAAGTTTTGTTTAGAGGAAGACATAAGCCCATTAGCCATGATGACCTAGAACCTAAATCTGGATCAGGATCACCTCCAAAACGATATAACCATGTCATTGTGTCCTCTGCCAGTCTCCCACCAGTCTCCCACCCACATTTAAGTACTTTTTCATATGCCTGACCTCCTCCGTACATCTGTCAATATGACTGCCTGCCATAAATTAATATTATTGAACGTCTTACTCCAAACAGTCACATAAAATTCTGACAAAACAATAGACCGTTCCACCTAATGGCATGCATAGACAAGGCAAACAGAAAGTGTAAGTTGGAGCCTCAAATGATCCACATGCCAAGTGGCATGGGGCAACACAATATATATACAATATATGACTGGGGTAAAAGGAATATTGATTATAATGTCAATGTTGGCCGGGAGGCATTGCGTGTGGGACTGTGGGGGGGGCCACGACGATGGGGCCGCGCATAAAAGTAAAAGAAAAGCAATAAAATTATGCAAAGTCAACAGAAAAGGGACTGGCAAATGAAAGCCAGGCGACCACAGAGTGTATTGTATCCATGAACAAGTATAAACAAGGCAGAACGAAGCTTTTCCGACCCCATAAGAATTATACAGACCCGGTATACAGTTTTTAGCTCTATGATTTTTAAGGTACTATCGATAAAGAATAATTTTACTGCTAAAAAAAATTAATTAACAAATATGTCATAAGGAAATAAAGTCAAAATATATTTCCTGTTAAAAATTCTTAAAACTACAGCCCAGAAACAATATTTTTCTGCCCCCAAACAGAGTACCATCAAATATTTTAATTTTAAAACATTTATGGGAGTATAAAAAATATAGTGAATTTGCAGTGTTTTTATTTTTTGCACACAACTGTTTGTGTACTAAACGTATCCCAGCCCAGGGAAAAAGCTCCGGTGGGCAAAACAAATGTTTGGCTGTAAAAATGTCACATATGCCGTTTTGCATGCGGCACCCTCCGCAGTCGGCAAAGGAATGTTTTGCCGTACGCTGCCGTACTGGTAACGCCGAGTAACTGGCAACATGGTAATGTGCGTGCCCCAGCCTAATGATGCCCCATTTCCTCTCCCTCCATGGGGCTTTTCCATTAAACATGCGCCAAAGTCATATGAATTTTATTACAACTCAAAAAGGTTGCTTCACATGAGATACTGGCATAAAGCGGGCAGGGAAAGGCCGTTTGCGGAAAGGGTCAGAAGATTGCAGGGAAATTCACTTTCTCTTATGATAAATGAAAAAGTTCGTTCCACATATGGTAGGTAGGCTTTTCAGTAGGGTTAAGGTTCTGCTTTAATAGGACTTATGGCGTGTTTTCAAGACACTTTTCACTGGCTTCTTAAGCTTCCAGGTCGGTCTGAAGACTGAAGAGAATTTAATAAGAAAATCGATTCATTAAATTCTTTGAAAAATCAAATATTTCATTTTTGCCATATGATTCATTTTTCAGATGCAAGGTTGATGTTTGAAATCAAAATTATTGCGAAATTATTCTCAGAAAAAAATGCAATACCTTCTGCAAGTATAAAAGGAGGAAAAATTGTGTTTACTTGGCTGCTTTCTGTTTACTTTTAGTTTCTGCAAAAAATTGTTGTTTTGTGTGGCTGAGTTATTTTATTTGCCCTTTTTCGGGCACATACTGCGCCAAGTGGGTCAATTGATTTCTGCTTGCATGCTAAGCTGCCATTACAATTGAAGTTGTATATTTTCTTTTTGCCTCGGAACCCCCCATTGAAGATACATTCCAAAAATTTCTGAATTGCTTCTCATTTTTCCATTTCAATCAAAGCCAAAGAGGAATTTCTTTTGGGGAACACTGTGATTGATGATTTGTAATTTATGTAATTATGATGTAACCTTCAGGAGCTTGTTACCTTTATACAAAATTTGAGAAATGTAAGGCCAGAGATATATTGACCGCACCTGCATCTGTGGTAACCACTTACAAAGGTAGCATTTTCCCCAGCCTGCAACTCACAAAAGGCAAATAAAGTTGACCAAATAGAAACAAACGTCTCTTCCATGGCATCTCCAGAGTCCGTTGTCTTCACTTACGATTTTGCAGTGGCATGTTGGCGCAGAGAAAACGTCTTTTGTCAATATAGCCACAACATGGCAAAGAGTTAACAACTGGGCAGTTCAGGCAAACAGGCACGGCCCCCATTATAGTCAGCCGATGGATCACCTGTTGATATTGCTAGCAAGCAGACGACCGATCTTTACCATGTTTGACTTTCCATTACGGGGGACAAACATTTGCCAACTATTTGCTTAGGCAATTTAAATTTAACTCGTGGTGCGAGTCACTCAATTTGCCGCCTCAGAGCACTTGAATTGCACCAACTGCAATCTAACAAAAAGAAAAGTCAAGAGAAATTAAACAGAAGTCACTAGCATTTGCATTTCAGAGGCATTATTGCAGAGACGGCTTTAATGACATGGCATCATTTTTTTTTTAACGATAATATAGTCGATAAAGCCAAGGCAAAAATGATTTACCTTGTACTTATGCTTTTATGGATTTTTTTCTAAGAGTTTAAAAGCTCAGTATGAGGTTGTTCAGCAAGTACGACACATCTTTCGTCACAAAATATTTTTATTTGTCAAAATATGGTAGCCCTATAACCAAATAAAGCTTATGCAAAGGAGGTGAGCCCCTATTTGATAGATTTTATAACATGTACGTGAGAAATAAAAACTCAAGGCATTAAATCAAAATTTTTCCCTCTGTGTGGTCAGGCCATAACCAAAGCCATCTTAGAAAGAAAAACACTTGCCAAAAAGCAGAAAAATGGAAATGGCATTAGAAAGAAAATAGAAGCTGGGCCAGAAACACGAGTAGACAGAAATGCCAAGAAAAATGCATAGGACACAATACGAATGCAAGGCGGTAATACTTTAAAAGTCAACAGACAACAGTGTGGAACGTTTTACAAAAAAAAAACCTACAACGTACCAAGAAAAAAAACCGTCGGCGGAAGAGTTTTGCAATTTGTGTGCCATTGTGTCAAGTGGAAATTGCAAGGCGAAGAGAACCGAAAGGAACGGATGTTAAAAGAAAAAAATGGCAAACACGCAGAGCGACAACAACGGTAAAGATGACAATAAAAATGGCGGCTATGGCTTAGGCCAAAGGAATACCAACGACAGCAATATCAGCCATAGCTGCTCCGACTATACGGACGTACGTACGTTGAATAAAAGGAGACGTCGGCTTAAAGTTCCATGGAAAATATGAAAGGCAAAATGGCGACATCAGCTTCTGTGGCAGAATCGGAAGAGTGAAAGTAGGGTGCAAACGAAAGAGGTTTCGGCCGACGTGGATTCGACCATTAGCGTTTTATGGTAAAAAGGAAAATCGATAAACCCAAACACACACACACAAACATGCTGGGAGGCTCTTGTTGTAGTCGCCTGTTTCGTTTGCAATTTGTGACGTGCAAGGGTTGAGGGCATCTCTCCATCCACCTCCTACCTCCCACCTGCCACCTACCACCTACCACCACCCATCCAGAAACTGCCGCCGCATCCCCACTCTCCCCCCCTTTGTTTTCACTTCAATCATAAAAGCATAACACAAAAGCCATTGCGAAAAAGAAGACATATGCAGGGGCTCTCGCCTTCTTATGTGGGTTACGTTATAGATAAAGGAAACGAGCAAAAGAGAAAGGTATTCCTGCATATATTAATGTCATATTTTAAAGACCCTAAGCAAACGAGAGAATACAAAAGGGAAATGGCTTTTTATTCGAAGTGGAATCAATCAAAGCATCAATTATTCGGGGAAAAGACATTCAAAATTCAAGAATTGCATATTATAAATAAAATATTATGAGTAATTTAGTATTTATGGTTCGACAGAAAGATATTTTCTTGAACTAAATGTCTAGAAGAGGCCTATGGCATAAATTGTTTTCTGACATTAAAAACCTATTTGATAACTCTGCGATATCGATTGACAAAGGCTTAATTAGTTCCATCACTAATTAACGCCATTTTGTTAGCTTTAAATCATGGTTAATCAATTCAATTTAATGGTTTTTATTGATGCTCTAATTGGATATTTCATGCATCTAAATATCCTTTCTTTACCTTAAACTCCTAAATAAACAAATATTCTAGTATTATATCTATACCACTCATAAAATCTCTTTTTCATTGCAATTGGTTGTAATTTTCTAATCTTGAATAGGTGCCAACGAGCATTTAAAGCCAACTGATGTTCATTTTAAGGCCAAAAATTAATTTGTTAAATGATTACCACGGCACTCCTTTGAGCCTCAAGTTTTCAAGCTTTTCAAAATATTTTGTTAACTGAGCAGAGAAGAAAAGAGGGAAAAAGAATTTTTAATTAAAAACTCCGCGGCACTTTGACTGTTGCTGCTACCAACCGCTAGGAGCACCAGAAACAAAGGAGGCGTCATTGTTTTGGCAAGGGGTTGATTGGAGGTGGGGCCTGGTGTGGTTGGTGGTAATAGCAGCGGGTGGGAGGCTGTGGGTGGTAGAGGGCTGGGTAAAGCCCTCTTTATGACAATCGTAAAAAATAATTTTTAGTAGCTCACGAGGCTCGCTGCACATTGGTAAGTTCCCAGGACGAAACAAAAATTAAAGTAAAAATTATTAAGTAGGTTTATGCTTACTCTTTCTCCATTTAATAGGATCTTTTTTAAAACTTATGGGGTACGATTTTTAAAAGTTTGCTATTGCGTGTAAGATTGTATAAGGACTCGTATAATTTACATAAGAAATATGAATTTCATAAAAACTATAATGAAAAAACCCATTTAACCGTCAACTCATAACACTCCAACCACTGTGCCCTTACACAAAGAACTGCTGTCTTGGAATTTTAATTGGATCAAGTGCCATTAAAAAACTGAAGGAATTGGAAATTAAATGAAAAATAAATAAGTGGTGGGGCAGCACAGAAAGGGAATAAAGGGCTCAGACTGACAACCTTTAACCATCTTACACACATGCTGAAACGAATTGAAGACGGAAAATATTTACAAGCTTTGCCAAGGACTCGCGTTTCTTCCTGCCACCTCCCAGCACTCTCATCACTTCCCTCCACCCACCTCACTCAGGTGAAATCAACTACATATACAATGAGGCGAACTGATTCGCCATCCTGGGGTACTACCCTTTCACCCATTCAGGCTATTAGATGGGCTTGAATGTGTATATGTTTTGGTAAACATATGCCGGAGAGCAATTTGCAACGGTAGGGAAAATTTAATCCGCTTATGTTTTGGTCCTCTAGGCAAAAGTTAAGTTGTTTAGGGGACAGGAATCAAAGTTTCCAAATCCACTCTCCACCGGCTTCCGAAAATCTGCTTAACTTTTTATTAGAAACTGTAGAACTCTCCTAGACGTAAAGCTTAAATCCTTTCTTTTTCATAAAATCGACAATGCGAAAGGTCATTATGACCTCATGAGGACACAAGATACTTCAACAAATACACATAACTTTAGGAAAAATAGGAAAATGTTATAAAAAGGATGGACTAGGATAAGGAAATTTACGTTGGGCCTTTCAAGCCCATTTAGAATTTGTTATTCTTACTCATAAAATATTAAAAAACATTCAAAAAAGATTTAGAATTGAGAAAGGACATTCAAGTAAGAAACTGATATACTCTCGCGTCTCCGACCCAATAAAGTGTATAAATTCTTCATTTGGAACACCTCCTTTAAATAATTAAACAAAAATAGCGCCCTCCTCCTCGATTCTCATAGATGTTACCTAATCACCTAAGTATTTTTAGCTTTTAAATCCAACTATATCTTAACTTTGGTGTTTTTGAAGATAGAAGCTTTAGTTTTTGAAGAATCAAGCTTCTTGATTATTTATTTTCAATAATTTGGATAGTAAAAAGCACATATGGCCAACTAAATACCATCTTATAACTTAAACTGCCACTTAACTCCAAAGGTATATCAACTTCGGCTCCGCCCGAAGTAAGCTTTCCTTTCTTTTTAAAGTTAACGTACCAAAGAAAGGTCCATATTGAAAGTGGAGCAGTGAAAGCGATTTAATAATATAATAGAAGCCACCATTAGCCGACAACCGGCCATTGGGAGGTGTCCTGGTATCCAGATACCTGGCTATCTGCATCTCAGGATGTGCGAGGGGAATAGCGTGAACGAGCGTGTTTTGGCTCTAATTTCAGCCGGACACATAAACTAACACGGTGAGACCCAGTTAGGTACGCTGTGTGTGTGTAAATGCAACATAACAGCCACAAAAATGGGTGTTGGCCCACTAAAGTGGAAAAGCGTTGGGGCACGGAACATACTATGCTGCAGTTATGCGATAGCTGCAGACCTTTTATGGCATATTTTAGAGGCTTTGCTAAATAAAACTTAGTCTAGGTGCCTCTGCGCCTTTCTTCCTGCAACGGTCCCATGGAGAGATCCTGCACTGACCATAACGCTGCACATACTATTAGAATGTGTATGTAGTATATGTATTTTAGCTGGAAGTTTGTAGGGGAAAATGGCTAAGGCAGCTGGCCTCTGCTCCACAAAGTATGCAACAATTTTCAGTAAAACGAAACCACAACACTACTAGAAAAATATACCGAAAAAAGAAGGCGAAAAAAATAAAACAATTTCGCACGGCATACTTTGCGAATACTTTTGGGGCATTAAATGACGTGCTGGAAGGAGCACAGGAACACGAGCTCGTTAAAGCTCCTGCGAAACGAAACTAATGAAAGGATTTTCCCAAAATGCAATGGAAACTATCCCAACCGAATACGGCTGGAATTTTGTGCTGCATAACAAGCCACTTGACACAACATCTTGGCTGGTCGGCATAGTGTATATGGATGAGCGAGTTTGCTTTAAAAATCTCTACATTTCTGGATGTACATTTTTGTATTTATTTTTGGAAATATTTCTAATGAGGCATTTTTACTCTCAAGACTCAAGTTAGTCATAAAGTCTAAGCTTACAATCCTTATTTTCGTTTCAGACTGAAGGTGGACAACAACGGAGGAGCTTGGTGTCCCAAGCACATGGTGTCGCGGGGTCTCAATGAATATCTCCAAATTGATTTTCTGCAGGTGCATATGATAACCGCAGTTCGCACCCAGGGTCGCTTTGGCAAAGGTCAGGGTCAGGAGTACACCGAAGCCTACGCCGTCAAGTATTGGAGGCCGGGCTTTGATAAATGGATACAATGGAAGAACAGTCATGGGAACAAGGTGAGGATACTGTCTTTATAATTTATTGATTCGGTCTTAATTGACAAAACTTAACTGTTAAGTTCCTTTCCCACTAAGCAATCTATAATTGCATTGCTCCTCACCTACTCCAAAGACATTCTCTTTTTCCCCTGATTCACACATTAATCACGAGTAGGCCAAGCCTTGAGATAAAAATCTACGAAAACCGCAGGCCTAGCTCGCAGAAGACAAGATATAGAGGCAGATATTGCATCTCTTAGCCAAACAATTTATGTGCGAATTACCAACGGAGCCAGCGAAAATTGCGTAGGTGTTTCCAACCGGCACCGAACCAGTTTCATCGATTTATTGAATGCAAGCAATGGAAAATCAATTTTTACGCTTTTATTTTTCTCTTTTTCCCACCTACACAGGCCACAAGCATGCTTTTTAATGCCCATCTGACCGACCGCCCCCTTTTGTCCACTCGTTGCAGATACTGCCCGGCAATATAAACACCTACAGCGAGGTGGAGAACGTGTTGCATCCCAGCGTCTTTGCCTCAAAGGTGCGCATCTATCCCTACAGCCAGTACGATCGCACCGTCTGCCTGCGTGCCGAGATAGTCGGATGCCTCTGGAAAGGTGGGTGCCCCCATGATTTGCTTCACCTTGTGCCTTCGATAGCCGATCTTCCTCGGCTCAGGCTCTCAGAATAAGTATTTTTAGGATGGACATAACTTTTATGAGTATGCCTACGATGGCTAAATACTCTTAAATATTGAATGTTTATCCAAAAAGTCACGAATTGACCTTTTCTATTAAATATCTGAACCGCCAAAGAGTTTTGATTACAACTTGACTAGAAACTATAATTATAATACCCTTCAGAAGAGTATATAAATAAATCTTCACACTGCCCATTATTATTTGCAGAAGACATTGTGGCCTATAGTATTCCCAAAGGTGCACAGCGTGGTATGGAAATTGATCTTTCCGACAAGACCTACGATGGCCAAGAGGAGGGCGATCGCTATGTGAACGGTTTGGGCCAATTAGTAGACGGTCAAAGGGGCAAGGATAACTTTCGAGCTGATAATAATGGTTTAGGAAAAGGTAAGAGGAACTTTCTTTAAAAAGTTTATAACTATTACATATATTTTCTTTAATTTCTAGGCTATGAATGGATTGGCTGGCGAAATGACACTTTGCAAGGAAGACCTGTCGAAATAACATTCGAGTTTAGAAATGTTAGAAATTTTAGCTCTGTGATCATTCACACTAACAATATGTTTTCCAAGGATGTACAGGTAAGGTATTATTAAACGAATCGCAAATGTGGGGCATACAAAACACTTTCTCCCTGCAATGATATCAATATTAAGTTTTAAAGATAGAACTTCGTGTTTAGAAATAATAAAACCTAAAGTTAGATCCCCAGCTATATAGATTAGAGACCATGACCAGACAAATTGGTATCAAGCCGAGCAAATAAATGGCCCACAAAATCGAACCGTAATATCAGATAATTTCGGAGCAAACTAAACTTTTTTTTTTTTCTTATAAACAAACACAACACGAAATCGAAACTAAACAAGCCACGTGTAGAATTAGGTTCCCGACTCTGCTGGAATTTTTAAATAGTTCAAAGAATGTGGCAAGTGTGGGAAAGATAGGGGATCATGAGTGAAGCCACTATCAATTTAATTTCTTTATTCGTTGTGGTCTTTATCAAAAGTAAACAAACCATTAAAGTACAGAATTGAACAAGGGAATTTTCAATTTGTTGTTTGGCAGCTATATCGATGGTTTCTAAAGAAATAGATAAAGTGCGTTAGTTTGCTTTTTAATAAATATTTAACTTTACTCTTATTCATTTTATTACAGGTATTTGTTCATGCCAAAGTGTTTTTCAGCATAGGTGGGCAGAAGTTCACCAAAGAGCCTGTGCAATTTTCTTATATGCCGGATCAGGTTATGGATCATGCTCGAGACGTGACTATAAAGTTGCATAATCGGATAGGCCGGTATGTGAGGTTGCATTTGTACTTTGCCGCCCGTTGGATGATGCTCAGTGAGATTACTTTTATATCAGGTAAGCAGAAAGATGAATTTAATAAACTAACTATAAAGTCCATGCCTATAAGTAATATAGCATGGCTATAATGACCATATTTGATTATTGGCTTTTGTTTCTAATGGAGCTTGAACTTTTGTACATCTGAAATATAGGATGTGTTACCTTTATTTTTAAATTGCTTACCATTTTCGGTTTTCTTTGCCAAATAAGTACGACTTAACATACTTTCAAGAGGTTGACAAAATCAATCAAACCGCGATATACATACATTGACATCATTTCATCTTCGCCATCGCTCTCCTTAATATATTCATACTTTTCTGCATATTGCGATTCCTTTGAATGTATGTTTTTTATCCTGCTTCATTTGCTGTTTACGCTCTTGAGACAGGATGCATTCTGTGCAGTCATCCGTTTTCTCATTAATTCATTCATTTCAATAGCTCCGCTGCTTGCGCTTTAAGTCCTTGTGCAATTCATGTAGCTTAATCCTTTGTAATTGGAAATCGCTTTGTGGAAGGATATGTCCCTCATACTCCATGCGAATGCAAATGCAAATCGCAGCATGGAAAGTGAACTTGAGTACTCGTCTCGTAATATGCTTAATGCTACAGGGCTCGAATGTAAATTCTTTGTCTCTAATTTTAATGCCAGAGAAATACTTTCAAGTCCAAATAGTAAGGATAATAAAGCATAGCTGATAGCTGAGTGTAAATAATTAATCAAAACATAGTCTTGTACCTTGCTGACTCATCGAGCCATTCAAGCATTTCTTGCTTAGACAATAAGCCAAACTTTGTTGCCAAAAGAAAGCAGACAGCTGTATTGGCAAGAGAAGCGGAATAAAATAAAAGGAAAAGCAACACAAAATCAATGCCAAAAGCAGACAAAATTTGCATATCCCCCAAGTATTTTTGTTTGCCTTTTTTCCAACAAATTATACAAACTTCCTTGTTTTTTAAATATCCATCGAGGAGAGGGTTCAACAAACGCCAAAAGGGAAAATGCAGCCCAAGAGGAGAAAAGCCACCGAACCCACAGACACCGAACAAAAATCAAGTGTTCAAGGGTGAATATTTTGGACAACGTCCTGGTCGGGTTTTGTTGCTTTTCCTTATTGACAAATGTCTAGAGTTTCAACGAGTTTATGTTTTCGATTTCGATTTTTGTCTGCGTCGGAAATAGAATGTCAACACCGATGTCACGGAGTGGCAAACAATTGAAGTCTCTAATTCAACATTCAAAATTAAACTTGGGCTTTTTCCCTGCACTGCCAACGTATGCAGAATTGATTGAAATCCAAACCGATTTCCATTTCCCATACGTTGACATTTAATATCCTTTGTCAGAATCGAATACAATTGATTTAATCAAAGAGCTTCCCGTTTATTAGAGTCGATGCAGTTTGTTCATAATTCGATTAACTATAAATTGTTATTTTCAGTTTCTGCTGACGGAAATTTCACGGATGAGGAGCTGCCTTACGTGTCATCTTCTGGGGATCCTAAGGAACCCGAAACTTCAGAGTATCCTCTACAACGCGATGAAGTTGGAAGAGCTTTCAGCACCGACAGTGATCGAAGACAGCAAAACACACAAGGTGAGTTAAGTTTGAAAGATTGGGGTATAGTTTGGGAAAAACCATTACCATTAAACTATTCTCACATTACCATTTCCCTTTATTTCCATTTAGTTATTTCTCCAAAACCCATTGACCACCACGAACCGGACTCTAGTTTTATTGGCATTATAATCACAGTGCTGGCCACAATTATATTTCTGCTGGCTGCCATTATTCTGCTGATAGTGGCCAGGAAAAAACGGGGCAGGAGCAATGTTTTGGACGCGTTCCAGCACAATTTCAACCCGGACACGCTCGGCGACGTGGATAAGCGACTGAGCGGCAACGGTGTCCTAAAGGTAAGTGCCTAAGTCCCGGGCCAAAGCCCCCGGTAATACATTCCGTCGAACTTGGTCGGGGTTACGTAACATGCAAAGCGCATTTCCGACGCTGGCCCCCCTCGCACGTCAACAGGCCAAGACCCCTACGGCTGGTCTTCAGCTGTTTCGGATCCACCCCTGGAACCACCCAAAATGCATGTCAAACATCATCAGGACACCAGAAGGTAAAAACCCAACAAAAAAAGAGGGAATTTGGGTGGGAAAAATCGAGCAGAAAGTAACCAACGCATCAAAAGCCCTAACGCTGGGCATATTCCAGAAATCATGATTAAAAACGGTTGTAGTGCGGAATGCACAAAAAAGTGCTCGGAGCGAGCCATGAGTTTTTTCACTATCTGCTTCTGCTTTTTTTTCCCCCAGGTGGTCACAACAATGGATGACAATGAGTCCTCCATTGACAAGAACAGTCTGTACCACGAACCCTTCAACGTTAACATGTACACCAGTACAGCCAGTGCCTGCTCCATGCAACGTCAGCATGTAACACCGGACTATACAGGTCAGTGCACAGTGGTTCAACATTTTTGTGGTCCAAGCCCGCAGGTGAAATGGCCATTTTTTTATAGTTTAACAAACCATTACCATTCTATCAAACAATACTAAGAATTAGGGTTTTAAAAGAGCAAGGAATGTCTCCCGAAAACGAGTCCTAATTGGCAATCTTGAACTGGACAAGTCTAACCTAAAGCCACACAAAAAGGAAAGCATTTCAGCCCACTATGCGGGAGCATGAACTTAGACATGATGGAGGCTGTGGGGTATACATATATGGTATGCACCTATGACAATTATGTGTGGGCCATCACCCAGTGCCATCAGATATAAAACTGCGCTCACAGCCAACACTTGAATGCCCCGCCCTCCATTGCCGGCTTCCAGCTGGTGTCGTTCTTGATGAGTTCATGTTTTGGATCCTGCCAGTGACAGGATATGCAAATGTCCCTCCAGCCTCCAACTGGGAATGGGGCAAAAATTGGTATTTCGGCAATATCTAGAGAGCAATGCTTAATTTAGCGAACAATATGGATCAGACTTCGTAGGTTTCCTGCGAAAAAAACGAAGTCACTTTTGTCTTTGATGGAAATGAGATTTAAATTAAAAGAGTTGAGATTCCTTCAATTTTATTTTGTCCTTTGATCCATTGAGAACTTCCTCAGTCTTCTTTAAAACCAAAGTCTCTTCTAGTAAGAGTATGACAACTAACTAACTCTGGGGTTGCTTTGAAAACATACTTTTCTTCTTTCCTCATTACTTTGTGTGGTTGGACTTCTAGTTTCTGCCCGGCTGGCATTCTCTTAATTTCTACTGAACAAAATTAACTCGCTTTTAACATCGCATTCCTTCATTCTCGTCCACAGATGTGCCGGACATTGTATGTCAGGACTATGCGGTGCCTCATATGCAGCAGCTCCTGCCCAACTCCTCCTCCGCTGGGTCGGCAGCTGGGACAGCGCCGGGAACGGGGCCAGGGGCAGGGTTTGTGGCAGAAACGATTGTTGCTGGTGGCAACGCGAGGACGCGAAACCCCCTCAGTGCGCCACAGTACCGGGCACCCTCCCCAGGGCCCCCGCCGCCCGAGAAATATTATGCAGCCACGCCAATTTACAACAAACCAATGTCCATGCCAGTGCCGGGATCCCAAAGCAGCGGGTCGCTGAGCCTCAGCTCCTTGACTACAGTGGCGACCACGCCCACCGCAGGGGGTACTACCGTGGGATTGGGTGGAGTCACCGGCATGGGCATGGGTATGGGTATGGGCATGGGATTAGGAAGCAAACCGCATCATTACAATTTGGAAATGAGTGCTAATTCAGAGGATATTAACGAAGAGCAGGCCAATTGCCAAGTGCAAGAGTTTCCACGTCAGTCGCTGGTTATTGTCGAGAAGCTGGGCTTTGGCGAATTTGGAGAGCTGCATTTGTGCGAAACCAACGTTTTGGAGTAAGTAACATCCACACCACACAGTACTACGATACACATTATCCCCCAAACCCCTCAGAAGTCCTACGATTTCAACTTTAATACCCGATACTCGTAAATCGTATATATTTTTTTAATCTTAGCCCATCTTGTTGGACTGAAGCTCATTATAATAAACTCCAGCTGTCGTCTGATGGCTTCGGCTCCAACTGCCCATGAATATTCTATCAGTATCCTTGGGGGACCGGCCATTGAAATTGTCTTCCATGAAATTTTCTATTTCCTATCGAAAGCTGTCTGCACAAGTGCATGTATATTAATTATTTTGCATATGTGTGGTCTGGGCCCAGGGAATAGCCTGATGGTATTTGCAGCCAATTCTTGATCTCACCTCATCCGCCCACTATTCCGCCCATCACCACCTCACGGCCCATCGTCCTGGCGATGGCACAGAGCCTGCCAGGGGAATATTACGAAACCGTATTAGATTTTGTGGCTTTCTTACCGCAAAACAATTAAAACAAGCAGGCAATGGGTTTGTTACGTGAAACAGCGTATTAAAATGTGTCAGAAGCAGAACTTTTTCCCAACTACTGGGTTATTGTTTCCTGATGGATTCCAATTGAGGATTTTATTGAATGAATCTAAAGGAATGGCAGCTTTCAAAGACATACATACATGTATTTATGAATAAATAGAATTGGATTAAGGGGAGATATTGTCGGTTTTTAGAACTGAAAAATGGCTTACTTAATGGCATCTTAAATCTAACCTCATTGCAGCGCCACCCTGGTAGCTGTGTCCACCCTGCGACCCGGGGTCAGTGATCTTCTGATCCAGGAGTTCCGAGGCAGGGCCAAGCAGCTGGCCCAGCTCAGTGATCCCAATGTGGCTAGACTGGTAGGAGCCTGTCTTAAGGACGAGCCCATCTGCATGGTGCAGGACTACTCACACTGCCTGGGCGACTTGAACCAGTTCCTGCAGGAGCACGTGGCCGAGACGTCCGGCCTGACGGCCAACAAGACTCTCAGGTAAGGACTTTTGAAGTAAATGGCGTAGACTGGCTTCCTCCTTTGGCATCTCCTTAATTTTGTGTGTGTTTCTTTTTTTTACACTTTGGTGCGTTATCGCGTGCGTTTTTATCGGGCATCCTGTACCGACACCATTTGCCGACGCTACACTTCCGGCCTCGTGTTCAATGATTACACCCATCCGCCCCAACGCCCAACGACCAACGCTCCACGACCAACGACTTGCAACCCAACGACATACCCCAAAACGGATGTTAAAACTTCGTTAACTTGGCCCCAACCCACCATCAACTTTGGCGACTTTGTCCCATGCGAAAACTTTTCAAATTCTTATTTGACGCTGCCACTTCATTTCCTCCGCCCTCGCTTCGGTATCCAGCTATGGCTGTTTAGTCTACATTGCCACACAAATTGCATCGGGCATGAAGCATTTGGAGCACATGAACTTCGTTCATCGGGATCTGGCATCCAGGTAAGTGCTTGGAACAAGGGTGGCCATCACACTTCTTTAAACATTTCAACAATTTTTAAATGAAAGTGTCTAGATAGCTCCCGTACAAATAAGTTAAAGTTAAATAGAGGTCCTCACTGTACCAATTTTATACTTGTGACACATCCGAATATATGAAAAGCAAAAATCATAATCAATGGCATGTGCTTAGTCAACAGAAAACTGAATTATTTTCTCTGGCAAACATTTCACTTCAGATCACTGACCCGAAAATGAGTTTGTAACTCCCGAAAATATAATATTTAGATTGGTACGTGTCCCCTCTCCCTTAGACTGTCGGACCCAATTATAATACCCTGTGAAAGGATGTGAAAATTCAAAGCGCCGTGTACAGTGCCAATTCCGGTTTCCCAGAAGCCTTGTCCGGCGCTTGACAACATATTTTTAAACCCATAAATTCTAATAGCTTGACCCCAAAGGACGCACACAACCCAGGAATACATGAGTAATATACACTAATTTTAAAGCACACCTTGGTAAAACAGAACTTGGATTATATTTGGTATTATAGAGAAACAAAAATTATCTTTTTTTATAAAAGTGTATAAATATTTCGGGTTTGGCCATGTCGGGGGACTGTTACTCTTTCATTTTATACCGTGGGTGTATACATAAAATACAAAATAATTCCCAAACGTAGCGACACGTTATTCCACCGGTTTCTGCGACAATTTGTAAACAAGTCAAGGTGGTAAATGGCAAATGGAATATATGTGTCCATACATATATAGGTGTGTCTGTAACTTTGGTGGGTATACATCGCGGGGCATCCCATGAGGAATGCTTACATGGCGCTCATTTTGTGTCGCGAGGATGCCAGAAAGCCTGGGCCTGTGGTAGCAACTTCATAACTTGATGACTACCTGGTGGGGGAGCTACTGAGGACCGGTAAACTGCAGTCAATAAACTATAAAATATGCAATGTTTGAAATATTTTACATACACCATAAACTACCCAAGTATGTTTGTGTGTAAAAAGTTTCCCTTTTTTTTCTGCCCCTCTCCCCCAGCCCCCATCGAAAATATTTTATGCATGCAGGTGAATTGATTCAATGGGCTGCCAACTCGGAGCACACATCCCGACCAAACAGCAGCACCCAAAGGAAATTAGCTTGACAGGAAATTCCACAACACACACCAAAAAACCACCAAGCCACCAACACCAGTACCCAGCACCACCCAGACACACACACACACAAGCCAACCAAACCCACCCACCCACCACCCGACCTCTGAACCACACAGCCAATAACCTGCGACTGCAAGTGCACGTGCACGTTGACATTTTCCCCCTCATGCCGATTTTCATATTACATTTGGCTGAGCTTAAATGACAAATGTGGTTGGTAAGCCGATGTCTGGGCTGGCATTCCACCGCCCCATTCTGCATTTTCCACTGCTTTTCAGAAATTGTGCATACTACACACTCGAAGAAATAAATAAATGATTTGATTAGTAAAGACCACTGGGGATTTTGGAGGTGTTGGGGAAACTAATGGTACAGACGCCTGTTTAGAGTACTTGTCCAGACGGTTTTGGTTTATGAATTAAGGAATAAAAATCAAACCTTATGATGACAAAACTTTATCAGCGAAAAGCATATCCTATCTTTTACATAAAAATGAGTTCCGTATTCGATAATCTGTAAACTAAAAATGGTCAATCGCTACCTTTCCTACCTTTTCTTAAAAATAAAAGACATATTTTTATTACAGAGAACCTTCTTTTATAATTCCAATAAACCAATAATTTTTTCCAGTGCATAGCTTCAGAACACATTAACAATTCTGTTTTAATTGCAACGGACATTATTCGCCCTTTTCAACTTTGGCAAATTCTTCGGGGTGTAAGGACCTGTACCAAAGAACAGTAATTATACTGAAGAGGAGTCCCAGGCACATTCCAAGGACTGCAAGGCCACCGAGATACGCCACATAATGCACATCATTCTGAAGATATGCCAGTAGATCAATAATGGGCTGTACCACATAGACACACACGGCCTCGATTGGGTTGAGAATCATTTTGTTCTTTTCTGGTGCTTCCTTGACAAGTTCGTCGATGCCCTGTGATGATGGAAATGATTTGCCTTTCAAGGCTATGACAGAGATTAAGATCTGTCATACAAAAAATTTAAAAATATTCACAAATTTCGGAACAAAACATTCTGTTCTTTAAAATTCTTTGTGTAAAATGGACTATCAGGAGTATTTGCAGAAGCAGTTGGTCATTTTCAATTATCATCTGCACAATGACTTCGGTTTGATGATCAAGACGGCCACGTGTATTGCCTTTGGAGCCGTGTGTGGCTGGATTATCAGCTTGTTTACGTTTTTAATCTACAAATTGGCCATAAAACTCGGAGTTCGGCCCATCATGTATAGCGAAAATATGTACGACGATCTTGATCTGGATGATGAGGAGGAGTTCGACATGATTCATCCTGGGTATCGGGACTGGAACGAGTGGTTTTTCTCGATTGGCACGGAAACACGAAATACATGAATATGGGGATTGATAAATTGTGCCAAGTAGAGACCAAGCTAGAGACTCGAACATTACATATTTAATAAATCATTGCGTTAATATTTTAAGATCTTTCTCCTGAAGTCTCAAGAACCCCTAAGGTTTCTAGTAGCTGTAATTATTTAAAAGCCCTCTTGTTTACAAAGCTTGAACTTTAAAAATTCAGACGTCGTTTCTAGGGATTTTCCTCTCCCTATTACATGTGATTGCACAAAAACAGTGGGAGTATTCCCACGATAAAAAAAACGTTTGAAATCCCCGAGGAAAGAAGCTGCCATAGATTAAAAGTTGAATGAACCGGGCGAGTAGGCCCCTGTCGTCGAGACAGACACAGTCAGTCAGCCAGGCGCATCTCAATTGATTCACAATACGAATGCTTTAGAAATTCTTCACTCCGTCCGGCGAAAGCAGCACAGCCGGAAAATACAACTCTACTTTGTCGCGTTCCCGGTGCTCCAGAGGAGTGTGAAAACAGAGCCATTTCCTACACTCCGAATCCAGCAAACTAAGCCCATTCAGGCTGAGCCAGCGGCATCAATACGAGCATCACGAAAAATTCCAAATATATTTTTATATGGCGGCCTCGCTGGCTTTTCTGTGTGGTGATTATATTTCACCTGCAGTTTTTATTTTTGCAATGAAATGAAACATTTTAATGAGGTTTGGAGTTTGTTAGAAGCCTTGTGAAGTATGTCACGCCGGAAATTTTAGTAACAGGTGCTTCTGGGGTATGTGGGTATATTTTTATTCAAAATTTATGTCAAAGAGAGTTGGTAACAATTTTAAACTTAATATTCAAAGCATAAGGATTTTATGGCTTTCACAGAGTCCCCATTTATTACTCTTACTATGCTGTATTAAATTTTATCAACCAGTACATTTATTTTTATATGCATTTAGATTTTAGCAAAAATCAAAAACAATATTAAAATTTTCATTAACCTAATAAAGATAAATTGGCTTCTGGTTACCCCCAAACAAGAATTAAATTATTTAAATACATTTTGGCAAAAACTTTAAGTTGCCTGAGTGACATTTTGTTGACGTCGCCATAAATAAAATTAAATTATTAAACAGGAGTCGGCAAACAAAAAAGTTTCCGCCTCGCTTGAGCACCGAGTACGAGTAAACTTTGTGGCATTTCGCTAACTAACGAACAAAAATGGGGGAGTGATTTATTTTTATTATTATTGGCGTTGCATTTTAAATCAAAAACCTCACAAATGTTTTGCAAAAATTATGAGTGGCCGGCCGGCCAAATGGCAGACTCTCGGTCCGAATATTCCTGGTGGACCGATTCGCACGGTGTCCCCAAAAAGCATGCTATACATTTTGTAAGCTGCTTTCGATGGCATTAGTGCCAGCTGCTTTTGCCATTATTAATAACTGTTAATTATTCACCATTATAACTATGCCTGGCTAGCACATTCGTTGATTTTGAAGGAGAACTCGTTAGCCTTGTCGTCCTTGGTCCATCGTCTGTCCTCTTTTCTCTTTACTATCTTTGGCTTGCTCATTGCCGCTCCAGTAATTTCCTTTTCATATTGTTTGGCATAATATTTTATGTCCTTAGTTAACACCAGTCGATACCTCCAGCATCCTGCTGCGTCCCGACTACCCTGTCATTCTTTGAGGCATATTTACATACTATTAAAAAGTTTCTCCCAAGCTTAGGCTGCCGGACAGGACGAAAAAAAAATGACCAACGACGGACTAAAAAGAAGAAACTTTTCTATTTTCGACTCGAGTTATTGAAAATTCATGAATAATTGACTTTTATTGCAGTTGGCACAAGTGATGGTCGATAATGGACAAACTGAAGCTCCCGGGCTGCCAAGGCTAGATGATGGCGTAGTGCCACCCGCTATAGTCTGGCCTGGGTTTTCTCTGCATTTACAGACATAAATATTAAAGTAGCTTACGTACTTAATTATAAATTATGCATTCAATTAGCTATGCCAGGCTGCCCTCAAATGTCCTTTACAGTCACGGTCAGAACGAAAGCTGGCATTGTGCTCCTCAGAGAATGCTGCTGAAGGGTCAATTAAATTTCAAATATTCTATATTCATGTCATCGTTGTTGCCATAAGTCTTTGTTTTCGACTGGTAATAATAATGTCAGCTGCAGAATACAATTTTGGTCACTGGAGCTTGCAAAAGCTTTCGAAGGATATGAGGAATTGTATCTGCGATGGCAGGTGGCTTAATAATAACTTATGTTTCAAATGATTATTTTAGACTTTGGTTTTCTTCTAATTTAATTTTTAGTTGAGTTCATTTACCAGTCATGTTTTAGACATATTAGGTTTTGTTTATATTTTATGTAATTCAAGGATATACTTTTATAAGATATTGTAACCAAAAGCCTTATACATAATTAGTCCTTTAAACCCTTTTAATTGCCGAATAGGATTACCGAAGTGCTATTGTCCCATAGCCTATATCCTTTAAATAGGTAATACAGGCTTACTGAGTACGGGCTTACAGGAGATGGGTTTTAATTGACTTGAAGCCTACATGGCTCCAAGCCCTACCTCCTGCATGCGGAGTATGCACTTTTTGATTAAATTTAGCCCGCAGCTTTTTGAGCCGCACTGGATTCCCAGGTTGTGTGTGGGTGTGTGTAGTTCGGGTGGGTCCTATTATGAAAACTCTTTCTCGTAAACCCCGTACCCCTGTGTTAGCTTTAGATGACTTCACATATTTTGCCATAAAATAACACCAGAGGGCGCTGTCAGCAACATAAGCTCTCCATTTCCGTTTTAGTTACAACTAACTGCACACACATCCTCATACTGCACGCACACTGCCAAAGGATACTGATATGTTTCAGTGTGTGTGTGCGTGGGTGTTCTAGTGTTTGTGTATATGAGAAAACCGCATTGGTGATGGTTTTGAAAGCCGACGCTACGCATTCCCAGGCATTCGCATTCAAATGCATTTAATTAAATCAACTAGAACCAACAGGAAAATGCAGCCAAAGCAACGCCCGCACTTTTCCCGCCCCTACGCCCCCTCACCTTTCATATGATAAGCATCATAACATTTAAAGCAAAATTTATTTTGTGTAAATTTTGCCAGCTTCGTTAGTTTTTATTGTGTTTAGTGTGCCATTTTGTAGTGGGTGTTGTAAGGGCTTGTCGGAGTATTACTCAGATGATTGCAGTAGGATTTCAACCCACATATAGTATGTAGAATTTATAGTTATGGGACTTAACACATCCAAGATTTAAGGGATATAGTTTTGAAATTATTAAACCAGATAAGTTAAAATGTGTTCTTGAACGGAAATGGAACTAGACAGGAAATAGTACTCCATTTCTTTATATTTCTGTTGTCTGCTTTTTGGCGCTTGATGGTTATATTATATCTTATATACTCCTATTGTTTTTGCCTGTTTATCTCTTACTGTCTACCCCTTCACAGACTGCAAGAAAACAACAAACATCGATTTTAAATAAAATATGGAAAGCGGAATAAAGATGGTTGTCTACCTGTCCCAGGGCCAATCCAAGTGTCAATTAGCCATTTGGCTGCTACAGCGAACCCGCATCAAGCTGTCAGAAAGTTAAATGTGAAAGACTCATTCGTATAATTTATAACATTATCGTTAATTGAAGCAGAAGTGTTATATAAAAAGGAATCTGAGTCTACAAAAGCTTTTGTAGACTTTTGAAAAAAATCCTTTAAAAAGTAAAATAATTCCTGGTCGCTAACAGAAATATTTTACGGAAAAAACGGCTACCAAAAGTTTTGAAACTGTCTGCCTTTTATCCTTAATGATTTATTTACATCGCTAAATATCAACTGCCTCCGTGGAATAATTTCGTTTTAATAATGTTGACTTATCAAAATATATCGTATAGTTTGTCCCCAGTTTGGATTCATCCCCTGGCATCCATTAGCAACCAGCGAAGCATAATTGAGCGCAAAACATTTAGCATCATTATTTAAAAGCCATATCTTTGATCTAATCATTTTCTTTGACAATTTTCCCCACGCAAACGAAACCGAGGCCAAAAAAACTTTTAATGTGATTAATTAATTTAAATGTCCCCAAGAAAAGGGCAGTCAAACTAACAAAAACTGAAAGAGGCTTAGCATCCCGGGCCAAGAATAAAAATACTTCTCATATTTCTGGGTTAAGCATAACTTAGTTTTCATTAGGAAACCGTTGAGACTGACACTTGAAAAATATTCGAGAAACAAAGACTGAGCAGCCGTGAAAAGGTGCCACTAATAAATATGTTGTATAGCCCGGGGCTTGCTGTTATTAAAAAATGGACTTCATTTTGTTCTAACCCTTTGTCTTGGCCTTTGAAAAATGTGCTGGTAACCAGGTAACCGGGAGCTTACTTGAGGGACCACAATAGCGCACCTTCAGTCGTTTATCAGACGCAATCGGGACCACTCAGCGGCAAGGTTATTTTAACTTAATGAAAAATCATCAGGCTCTAATTATATGACGGTAATGTTATAATGACTGCCCAGACAATACATCAAAAGCTCCTTGTTTGGCCTGATAATTGAAAATGTTTGTAATTTTCGCCCACTGTCCTTTTCACTCGCGCTCTATACTTTTATCTGTTGGAAAAGTTTTTTCTGCCTGTTTCAGTTTTCCTTCTTCTTTTTTTTGTCTGCTTTTGTGTGGCGGGAAAAGTTTTGTGACAATTTAGGGATTTCGAGGCTCCCACAAGTAGGCAAAAAAAAAAAAAAAAATATAAAAGGAAAAAGTTTTAGGTCATGTCCAAATTTAAGTGCTGAAAAATTTGCTGGATTATGTGGCAGTTAATGAATTTGTTGCAAGAGGGAATTAGACGCTAATGTTTGTTCTTTTTTGCTGCCAAGAGAGTAATGAACTAATAGATTTGTCTGGGTCGTTGGCAGCAGGCTGTGGAGTCCTCCGACCTCGACGTATGGCGGCAAACAGGCAGAAAACTTTTGATTATCACTCGCATCCCATGCATAAAACTCGGACCAACTTGAAGCCTCCATGACAGCTGAGCTGAGTGAGGTTGGATTTGCACTCAACAACAAGTGCTAGACATCCTCTGAAATATGGTCGAAATTAAGGCATTCTCTTCCCTTTAAGAAGTCAACTGGCTGGGTGACGCAGATGATTTGATCAGCCACTCTTGCAATTTAAGTGAAAGCCTAATCAATCATCTTAGTCCGGCCACCTCCAGGCCGTTCTTAGTAAGTGCCCCTGGCAACACGCAGATTGCTTTGACGACAAAGTTATAGAGCTTCCAGCTTGTGCCTATAAAGATATGGGAGTGCTAAGCTGCCTTTGTCAAAAGACCTACAAAGTTTACTCCACAGACTCCATGAGACTTCTTGGTTCTGGATTAATAAGTCCACTGCAAGCCGTATTACAATTAAAGGATTGGCGACGCGTCCGTGTAAAATATATCAAATTATTTAATAAAGTTCTTTCCGGCGTACTCGCAGGACAAATTTCAAAAATGAATACGAAAAGTTATTGCCCAAAATTACCATAAGCTTTCGGGAAAGCGTTGGAAAGCAACAGAAAAGCGAAAATGCCACTATGTGCGTTTCAAATTGAGCGGATTACGTTTAATTACAAAATTTTTTTTTGTCGTTTTGTTTTTCTTGTAATAGGCCTGGCACAAAGGATATCTGCAATGCATTCGTAAGGGTTGTTTCACGCTGCCCCTTTACGGGCGGGCTGTGCAATTGAAAAGGAGACCTTAATGCAAGGCCCTGCGGGCGGCATGCAATCCGCCTGTCGATCCGTCTATCCATTCAAGCCAAAAGAAGCCAAACATCCTACCACCACCCATGCACCACCCACAACCAAAAGCCCATAGCCGCAGCCCAACACCCACCACCACCACACCCACCACCCCTTGAAAAATTCGTTTCGCGCACGTGTTCCACATGAAGCGTTTCTGCATATCCTGACAGCTCCACATGCGTTCCCCTGAAACGCTTATAATTGGATTTAGTTGTCGCTAAGGTTGGACTGACCCATTGTTCTATTCCTGCCATATGCCCGCCGTCAGAAGACGGTGTCCGTCATTTTCGCCTCCGTTTCGTTTGGGTAATTTAATGTGGTCGCAATATGAAAACCAAGCTCATTCGAGTATCCCGCCAATAATACTCACAGTATGACAGGCGTCTCAAATACAATGAAGGGTGTGTGTGTTGGCGTCAAAGACAAGCTTAAATAAATTTAATCCCCTGCTGAATATTAAAGATCCAGACAGGATCACAATGGTTCAGGAGTGTGCGTTGATTTACAATCAATATTGACCTTTAGCCCCGTGGTCAAGTAATGTGATCCTTTGTTAAGAAATCACCTATTCATCTATGATTTATAGCCGGTAGCTAGTTAATAATTAAATTAGTTTTTCCACGCCTCTGTTTACATTTTCAATTTCACAGACATTTGTACTTGAAAGATCGAGTACGGCTGACACGGAAAAAAATCGACATCATCTATGGAAAAAATATTAATTAAATGTTCTCCGGTGTACATATTTGAACCATATATAATTCATGAAATTGTAATTGTTTATGGCATATCACAGAGACATTATGGGGGAAATTTTCATTTATTTTAATATCCTACCAATCACACACTCACCCTTAGACCCCGACCATTTTCAATAAATTGCCATTTGCATAAAATCAACATTAATGGCCGCAACAACATCCTACCTTTTTAAAGACCTCTTACTCCGTGCAATTTTTAATTAAAAACCATCGTACAACAAAAGCGAAAAAAGATTGCAATTATGGCCAACTTGTTTCTCTTCTCAATACTCAGAAATGTGAAGGACAGTACCGATTTGGAGATTAAACGCCGAGGTCATTGTATTTTAAAATGAATTTTTAAGTGAGTTTCATCAAATTATTCTGCCAACTTTTGATAGACTCTCTTGAGATGTCTAGGGCATTTTTATTGGACCAACGTGTATTGACTAAAAATAGAAAAGCTATTTGTGTCAAACTAACTCCATTTCCAGTGCGTATAATTCGCAATCATAATTATGACGACCTTAAATTCCAATTTCCATCGGATCCTGGGAGTGGGCGAGTTCGCCCAAGTGCATTCCCAAAGTCAATCAGTACGCTTTGCTATAGCAACTACTTCCGCCTGGTTGAACATTATTTCCTGCTTCGATAGCACAAGGGTATTTCGGATGATGTGACAGTGTCATGGCAACGACAACGGCTGGAGGGATGGACGGGTGGAGCTCTGGGGGCGGGAGGATGGAAGGAGTATGTCCAAGGGAAGCTTAAGCCGGAGATTCTGCGATTTTGGCTGCGGATGCTGGCTATCAAAATCGAACCAAACTGAACTGAACCGAGGAGGAGAGAACCATTCCATTCCTATTTTATTTACACATGTCGCGATGTCAGGGGTTAAATGCATGCATGCAGGGGTTAAATGCACGCCCCTGGACCGACGACACTCCACGGCACCCCACACTCCAGTGACCTCTATCGGCAATAGCAGTAGCAACGACGTTACCTTTAAACGACGTCCATTACATTCCACCTGATCACATTTTAGATGGCAGATGGCAGAGCCCCCGCTTCATTTATGTATTCGTTGACATGTGAAATTGTTGCGCAAGTCTCCAGGCGGTGTTTGTCTCAGTTTTCCGCGTTCTTTTCGTGGGGGAATGGGTGTTTGGGTGAAATTTGTACAAATGCCCATTTGTCAGCTCTATTCAAATTAATTAAATTCTGAATAAGCGGTGCGACATAATCGATAAGTATTATTACAAAGAGGCACACGTCAGTGGCAATTCATTAAAATGTACGTTTAATAACCTTGCATAAGTACTTTTGAAGGGGCAATTCATGGGGGAATTTTTAAGCCAGTTTTAGGTTCCTAATCAAAGATGCTTGCGCTTAATTTCTACGACTAAGACTGATATTTAAATGAAAAGCCTTAAGCCTAGAGATATCCAAGGGATTTATAAATACACGTATTTTGTCAAAATGTTCAAATTTATCTCTTAAATCTTCAATGAAATCTTTACGGATTCAGCTCTAGGCCAATGATTTCATTAGATTTGTTCATTAGACTTCTTGCTATGATTTATTAATATTTCTGGATGTGTCCTTTGTAGAAGCTGCATTATTGGCTCAGAACTAAGTGTCAAAGTATGCTCCATTGGAACTGTGATATATCGGTCGGCCTACGCATCGGATTATTGTCAGTTTGAAGCCAAAAATGGCAGACAATCCCAACCCTTGCCAATTCGCTGGATGGCCTGGGAAAGTGTCATAAAGGTAAGGCTATTTTAGCCATTAAAACTAAACAAAAAGTTAATAATTTTTTCATCAAAATTTCCCATTTTAAAGGAAAAATTTACAACGAAGTCAGATGTTTGGTCCTTCGCCGTTACCTTATGGGAAATATTGACATTCGCCAGGGAGCAGCCATACGAGCACATGTCGGACAAAAATGTTATTGAAAATATTGGTCACATCTACGAGAACGACAAAATGCATGTAAGAAGATCTCATAAAAAATACGAAAATATGACAAAAGCTAAACCTTCCATTTTTCAGGAACTTTTACACATGCCCGCCAACTGTCCTCGGGAAATTTATGACCTTATGTGCGAGTGCTGGCAGCGGAACGAGTCAAGTCGGCCCAGTTTCCGGGAGATACATATGTTTTTGCAACGAAAGAATTTGGGGTTTAAGCCCAACACTCACGATCTTTCATATTAAATTTTAATCAAATTTTTAGGTTCTCAAAGTCACGTGCAAAAAATAATTTACAAGAAGGTATGGTAATAGTATTATAAAGAAAATATTGGGACTCTAATGCTTTTAATAGCAAGAGCAAGGATTGAAGAAAGTCATTAGAATATTATATACATTTAAAGGAAAAGGAAGTATTTCAACTTAATTTTCACAAAATTGGAGAAACAGGATAATTATATTTTTGCTTAATGAAATGCCACCAGAAACATCTTTTAGTGTAGCAGCTTATTTGATAAATCGGTAATCGTAGGTATTTTAGGTAATATTTAAAATAGCATTACAGTTTATATAAACAAAATTTAAGACGCTGAAGTATTCATTTAGCAACAAAGATTTTGCAAACGGAGTTGGAAGTCCTTTTTAAGACGGGCTTTAAAAAAAAACATATCCCAACTGTCAACTCAAAACTAACGAATAGAATTTATAAAAAAAATACAAAGAAAAGATTATACATATGAATGTACCTATCACTCTCCACCTCCCAATCTAATAGTTTTTGCTTTAAATATTTTAATGTAAATTACAAAAATAAGGTACATTTGCCTAAGCCTCTCCCCATTTCCAAATGACAATCTATCTCAACCCAAAATCTAATTTTGGTGTTGGGGCTCTTTGAATATGAAATATAATTAAAACCTGCGTATAATTTCGACAATAAATACTAAAAAAAGAAATTTTAATTTATCATAAAAATGCTTTATATACGAAAACCCATCCTAGGATAACCTCAATCATTTAGTTAAAAATAAAACCTATGAACAAGTCAATTAGACTCATATCAAAAATGCCTCTTTTTTCGTTTCAATGTATCTTGTGCCTTCTGCTGCTATCAATCATCTGAAAAATCAGAAAGAATATTATTTTTGCATTCTCTTAAACGCTTTAAAATGGTTTCGCTGTAAAAAACAGAACTATAAATGTATAAAAAATTTAAGAACGAAAGCTTAAATTAAGGCAGCTCAGTAATTTAAAGAAGTAGATTCTCATATAATAATATATGTATGCTTTATTCATTAAAATTAAGTTCTATCGCATAGGCTTAGATTAAAGTTTGAAGATTAAAACGTCATATTGTTTACCAGCTATATAAAGTTTGAAAAACTAGTAATTAATCACAAAAATGTAAAATAAAGTAATTGGAAAATAAATACTGTTTGGAAAACACCGCAACTCGTATACCCTTACAGTTGCTAGACTTAGTTGGATGGGTTTGAATGTAAATAAATATATCCGTAATTCCTTTTTCTTGAATGTCAAATCTTGAAAATTGAGGCACAACATATTAATTTTTCCGAATTCTTAGAATTATGAAGTAAAATTGACAGCGACTAATTATGAATACATTTAAGTGAAAAATGTAAGTAAGAATTAAGGTGCAAAAATAAATACACACAGCCGCATGTAACTTCACTCGAATCTTCATTTTATGGGGTGGGCCTGGGGATTATGTAGCAGTCTAAGCCCGAAAACGAAATGAGACTTTGAGCCTTCGAGTGCAAGACCACAGCTGAGACCTGCTCGACAAATCCCTTCTCTGGCCAACAGGTTTTGTTCCTGGCTCAGTCACCCTTCTTGCCAAGGACCACTCCCCTTGAAATAAAGAACATAAAATAAAAATCTGGTGCTTAATGGAGCGGTGAGCTAAGCAGAAACAATGTGGAATATTTTAAATATAATGGAAATGATTTAAGGGATCCTTGGAAACGGGTAAAATTTTATATAGAAAACTTTGTACCAAGCAAGGTAATGACTTATACAAAATAAAGAATAATACAACTTGAGATATCCATATCTCTTCTAATACCAACTTTTCAAATCCAATCCTTATACGGAATACCTTAACCGATTTAAACGTCGATTCAAATCGAACATATGCATCAAAATCTAGAAACAAATTATTTTTAAAATTTTTTGTAAAAATTTCTGGTGGGTCCCCTTCAAAAATCTGCAAAAATGCTTGGTGCCACAATATGGCCCACAGCGATGGCTATATCTTTACCATTACTCATCCGATTCTTGAGCGGAACACCTTAAACGATTTGTACATCGATTTCCTATCCATTTTCATCTAAATCTAGAAACAAATTATTTTTTAGATTTTTTGTGAAAATTTCTGGAGGGTCCCCTTCAAAAATCTGCAAAAATGCATGGGGCCACTACATGGCCCACAGCGATGGCTATATCTTTGCCAATATTCATCCGATTCTTGAGCGGAATACCTTAAACGATTTGTACATCTTTTTCCTATCCATTTGCATCAAAATCTAGAAACAAATTATTTTTAAAATTTTTTGTGAAAATTTCTGGAGGGTCCCCTTCAAAAATCTACAAAAATGCATGGAGCCACAATATGGCCCACAGCGATGGTTATATCTTTGCCATTACTCATCCGATTCTTGAGCGGAATACCTTAAACGATTTGTACATCGATTCTCTATCTATCTGCATCAAAATCTAGAAACAAATTATTTTTTAAATTTTTTGTGACAATTTCTGTAGGGTCCCCTTCAAAAATCTGCAAAAATGCATGGGGCCACTACATGGACCACAGCGATGGCTATATCTTTGCCAATATTCTTCCGATTCTTGAGCGGAATACCTTAAACGATTTGTACATCTTTTTCCTATCCATTTGCATCTAAATCTAGAAACAAATTATTTTTTAGATTTTTTGTGAAAATTTCGTGAGGGTCCCCTTCAAGAACCTGCAAAAATGCATGGGGTCACAATATGGCCCACAGCGATGGCTATATCTTTGCCAATACTCATCCGATTCTTGAGCGGAGTACCTTAAACGATTTGTACATCGATTTGCTATTCATTTGCATCAAAATCTGGATACAAATTATTTTTTTAAATTTTTTGTGAAAATTTCTGGAGGGTCCCCTTCAAGAATCTGCAAAAATGCATGGGGTCGCAATATGGCCCACAGCGATGGCTATATCTTTGCCAATACTCATCCGATTATTGAGCGGAATACCTTAAAAAATTTTTACATCTATCCATTTGGATCTTTCTAGCATTAAAATCTTAAATTTTTTGTTTTTGGATTTTTTGAGCAAATTTCTGGAGGACTTCTACGAAAATGCATGGAAGCACAATATGGGCCCCAGCCCCAATTTTCCAATTGTTGAAAGAAGTCATTATAAATCCAAACAATACCCAAGTTCAACGCCAGACAACTTTTACTTTAGTATCCACTAGTTATTGGAGCCTATTTGACATCCGCACAAAGGAACAGCCACACGCACGCACATATGCACCTAATCCTCCGCCGGAAGCTGCAGATATGTACGGCTTCTCCGTCTTCAGCCATCCTGCTGTGTTTTTCGTACTATATATGTAATTATTTGTGCGGTTTAAGGAAGCTTTTGCAAAAGCTAGGATGGGATTTGATTTCCTTTTTTGTTTTTCCCGCTAATTGGAAAATGCGGCGGCAGTAAAATGAGTAACGAGAGCTAATCCACATATTTGCCGCTCCATGTTACACATTCGGGAAAGCTTTAAGTTCAACGTGCAATCTAAATCAATAAGTTTATATGTGGAGCAGATCCCAGGCGCCCACACCATGTTTGGGATCTCCCGGGGGCTTCCGATGATTACTTTACTTGGTTCCCCTTTAAGGTCTGCGAAATCAAAATCCCAGACGCAATCTTTGATTTTATTGTGGACAAACAAAAAGTCGGGCGAAAAGAGCAAACTGCCAGCAGCTACCAGAAAATTAAGAAGGAGGATGGCGAAGGAGCAGAGAAGTCCCGGAAGAAAGGATGCCTGCAGCATATGCGCCCAGAGATTTACGTTTGGTTGGAAAAACAAAAATTTTGACATAAACCTTGGAGCTTGTTTATACAATGTACGCATGAGTCAATTAAAAAAACTTTCGAATATTTTAAGGTTTTGGGAGTTTAGTTGCCAGCCAAGAGATTAGAAACCAAGGTCTTAAAAACTAGATACATCGAAATTGTCAATTGTTTTTTTATTATAAAAACACCTCCCCAAAAAAACCCAACTATGAATAAAAAAAAAGACTGTAAAAACTGTAATGTTGCCGATGCACATGATGGTAAGGGTGAGACCCAAATCCAAGACCAGTACTCCCAAGCCGTCCCCAGGCGTCTTGAGGATTTGTTCTTTTTATGTTTATTATTTTTCTTGCCATTCGGTGACTAGCTGTGTGGGTTTTTTCCGCCACGTGCCAACAGCCACCCCTTAAGCGTTCGCTCCCCTCGAAAAGTCTACGCAATCCTCGTCTGAAAGTCATTGCGTTTCCTTCTTATGTGGTTGGTAACAGCCCATCCACTTCTGCCCCATACCCCACAAAGGTCATCAAAAAGGGCGCAAACATGCATTTACGTCGTTTGCCTTTGCATTGGCTTATTTAAATTGGGACACATCCTGAGCCCTTTTTTTCTTTAGGCGTGTGATTCAGGTCCCGTGAGGCTCACTACTTTCAATAAACATTTGTTTGTGTTTGTAAGACGGCTTCTTTGTGGGTATACGGATTAGGGGTTTTTACTAATGCAAAAATGATTTATTATTTCAATCGAGCTTCGAGTACGTTTATAAATGTGCTTCTAAAAATGGGTAGACTTTATTGAAAATGTCGCTGAATGTTTAAAACATTTTTAATGCTGAACTTTGTAGTTCCATTTCCCGAAAATATGATAAAATAGCGAATTTTGGAAAATTCTGTTTTTAGATGAAATATTTTCAAAAATTTTACTTTTGGCGCCATACTTCTAAAAGATGGCGGCCCATTGCAAAATATTTAATAGCTATGGATAAAATATTCAATAGTTAAGTTTTGGTATTAATAGGCACAATCAAAATAATGAAAATCCCTCAAGTAAAATTGTATATTCCAAAAAATATCATTAACTATATATTATTTTTTAAATAAATTCCGCATTTCGATAGAAATATGAAATATCGATATTTTATGTCTTATCAACAAGTGTTTTTCTTCCACCCCTAACAATAATGTAGGAAAGAGTATCGATATATCGATATATTGTCAACAACCCTACGTGCATTCCACCTCTAGATAGTCCTATTCAAAGTGCATTTTTTCGTTTTAAAATAGCGTCTCGAAATAAAAACCAATAATAAAGCGTGCATTTAAGCAATTAAAATCCGCATTCAATTGGCCGAAATCGTGTAGAACCTCGTTCGGCAGGCACTTTCTTCGCCAAGATGCGCGAGTGTGAGTGAAACGAATTCCAACAATGCGCAACCAATACATACAAGCGCCGCTTGAATTTCTTTATGCAAAGCGTACGCAACTAAAAGGGCAGCGGCGAAAGCAGTACCAGTAGCAATAGCAGTAGGAGGAGGAACAATGTAAAACCTGCGTTGCTCGGCTATAAAAACTGTGCGTATAATTAGCAAGTGCTCCGATATAGGGACGGACGCACGAACGAACGGATGCCGTGGGCCCAACGAAACCATTGGACTGTACAATCACGCCCATATTCTTGTCCGTGTAAATGCTGGTGTCCATGCTAGGCCATTGTGTGTGCGTGTGTGGTGGTGGTGTGCTTTAAAGTGCCTTTTATTTATTATACTTTGATTTTGCAATGGTCTTATTGTAAATGGCTTATCCAGCGAGCGGAAGTCGTCGCCTACAATTTTCGTTTTTGTGTTATTATTTTCTGTGTCGCCCTCTCAGACACCACACACACACACATATACTTATATACTCTTAAACGCCACCTCACACGTACAGTAGCAGCTTTGCTCCCACACACCACACACACTATCTCAGATGTATCTGTATCTCAATTGCATGAGAATTTCTGTGGCTCGCTCTCTGCTTGTTTTTGTTTCGTTTAATTTATTGGCAGCATTGTTTTTTTTGTTGTTGCGGAAAATTAAACAGAGCTGCTAGCTAGTCGGAGGGGGGCAAACCAACAACAAAAGCAAACATCGTAAAAAAATAAAAAAAATTGACCAATATCTTCTCACAGTGGCTTTATTTTAACCTAAAATTTCACTATTGTTCGTTTAAAGATGGGTATCTTTTACAAAAAAAGGGTTATTTTTGTTACCCTTTGTGGTCTATAGGAGACTTTCTGTATATAATACATAGGCTATAGAAGCGTATGATTATGAAAAAGCACAAAAGGATAATATTTTTTGTTTTAAAAATTATATTATTTGAAAGACAAGCTCTATTTTAATTAGAGTTTCACTTTTTATTAAAAAATAAATCTAATTTTAAATTCTCTGCTACACAGTGTCCTATAAGGGCTTGCATTATAGAACCAGGAACCTATAATAAACATTGATTAAATAAAATTGTAATCAGAACTCATTTGTTTTGCTTTATTTTCAGTCAATTAATAATCTCATTGCATATCACATCTCGTGGATGGCGGCTAGCGTGCCGTAGAAGACAGTAGAATTAATACCTCATGGATTCATATCACCATATCAGACATGTAAGTGCCTCGCGATCTCTATTATGATTTAAACAATAATAATAATTTAAAATTCCCCTCTACGAGAACAGTATCCACCCTCAAGCACAAACAGCACAGGAGCGGTGGTGAGCAGCAGCAACACGTCAGCAATAAACCGGCCGGAACTGCACCAAAAATGCAACAGGGGCTCCCATTCTAGTGACACCAGTTCGGCGTACAGTGGTAGCGATACAATGGCCTCAAACTACGCATCGTCGCTGGAGGCGGAGGAGATAGATCTCTCCGGCCTGGTGGAATCGGTGGTGGATTCCGATGAGGAGGATCTGGCGGAGAGCATGGATGTAAGTGGAAACCATGACCTTGACACCAACATCCTAAAAATACATGACTATTTCAGAGCTTAACCGTGCGGGATGCAGTACGCGACTGTCTGGAGAAGGACCCCGCAGAACGGAGTGAAGAGGATGTCGAGGTGCTATTGGAATTCACGCAGGGCTTGAAGGCCTTCACCAACATTACCCTGGCCGTGCGGAGGGCCCTCTGCTCGGTGATGGTGTTCGCTGTGGTGGACAAGTCCGGAACGGTGGTGATGTCGGACGGCGAGGAGTTGGATTCCTGGTCGGTGCTGATCAACGGAGCCGTGGAGATCGAGCACGCCAATGGCAGCCGCGAGGAGCTGCAGATGGGCGATTGCTTTGGGATACTCCCCACCATGGACAAGCTTTACCACAGGGGCGTCATGCGAACCAAATGCGACGACTGCCAGTTCGTGTGCATCACCCAGACCGACTACTACCGCATCCAGCACCAAGGCGAGGAGAACACGCGGCGGCACGAGGACGAGGATGGTCGCGTGGTGATGGTCACGGAGCTGCGAAGCTGTGGAGCCGACTCCGCTGGTGGTGCTGGAACAGCTACTGGAGCATCTGCCAATCTGAACACAAGGCGTGGGCACGTAGTCATCAGGGGCACGCCGGAACGGCTGCTGCAGCAATTGGTGGAGGAGAATTCGATGACAGATCCCACCTACGTCGAGGACTTTCTACTGACGCATCGCATATTCATCCACAACCCGCAGGAGGTGAGCAGCAAGCTGCTGCACTGGTTCGACTTGGAGCAGGCGGATGCGCACAAGACCCAGGAGCTGCGGGATCGAGTCACTCGCGTCGTCCTGCTCTGGGTGAACAATCACTTTACGGACTTTGAGGCGGATCACGAGATGATGGAGTTCTTGGAGGTGTTCGAGACGCTGCTGGAGCGCAAGAAGCTACTGAGCCAACTGCGGCTCCTACACATCGCCTGCGCGGCCAAGGCACGGATGCGCAGCTGCACCCTGACCCGCTCTTCCCGGGACGAGCCCCTCAACTTCCAAATAGTCGGCGGCTATGAACTCCGCAGCGTGGCAGCAGCCACCGGAAACGCGTCTGTGGGCATCTACATCTCGCACGTGGAGGCGGGATCCAAGGCCCAGGACGTGGGTCTCAAGCGCGGTGACCAGATCCACGAGGTCAACGGCCAGTCGCTGGACCACGTGACGAGCAAACGTGCCCTCGAGATTATCACCGGCACCACCCATTTGAGCATCAGCGTGAAGAGCAACCTGCTCGGCTTCAAGGAAATAATGCAGGCTCTGGAGCATGGTGGCGGATCGGCTGGATCTGGTGGACTCTCCGCCGGAAGTGGCAGCTTCAAGAGTTTACGGAGTCCGCGCCGCATATGCGCCAACGACATCGCCAAGCTGCACGGCCGGTCGGACAGCACCACGGATGAGCTGGCCAGCGTCGCGGCCAGCAACAGGGCGCACATGGTGCGGCTTAGCTCGGTGGACATGTTGCTCGATCAGCCAGACTGTGCGCCGCCCCAGACTCCGCCGGTGAGCGGCGGCAACATGGCCTCCAACTTCATGCAGCAACTTCTTCAAAGCGTCAACAGTAGCTCGGCCAAGAAGGGAGCCGGGAGCAACATGCCCTCAGATCAGCAGGACACCAAGGGGGGTTTCATGACCCTGGCGCCCAAGCGTCGGCTGCAAAAGGCGCTGGCCAAGATGAACCTCCTGAACAAGCAACAGCACCATGTGGGCAGTCTAAACGACTCCTCCGACGCCCTGCTCAACGAGCCAAAGTCAAAGCTCCAATCTGGCGGCTCGGTCAGCTCCACGCAGCCATCGAGCAACGGTTCCGCGGGCAGTGGACGGCTCTACCAGTCCCAATCCAATCCGGATCTGACCAGTCTGAACTACGACGCCAACAGCGAGTCGGGAGCCGTGGGCGCAACGCTGCAGGCCAATTATCTGGGCGCCCACCTGCATCGGCCGTCGGCGGCTAGCACCCTCACCACCAACTCGACGCAATCCCACCTTTTGCCCGACTACCCAGAGCACGTGCTCAAGGTCTACAAGTCGGACCAGACGTGCAAGTACGTGCTGATCTACAAGGAGACCACGGCCCACGAGGTGGTGATGCTGACGCTGCAGGAGTTCGGTATCCACGATCCCAGCTCCAACTTTTCGCTCTGCGAGGTGAGCGTGGGCGAGGGAGGGATGGTGAAGCAGCGACGACTTCCCGACCAGCTGCAGAATCTCGCGGAACGCATCAGCTTTGCGTCCCGGTATTACCTCAAGCTGAACGACAGCACGGAGCCCCTGGTGCCGGACGAGCTGGCGCTGGAGTTGGTGCGCGAATCCGGCGTCCACTTCCTGCACCTGAACGCCTACGAGCTGGCCATCCAGCTGACGCTGCAGGACTTTGCCAACTTCCGTCAGATAGAGTCCACCGAGTACATTGACGAGCTGTTCGAGCTGCGCTCCCGCTACGGAGTACCGATGCTGAGCAAGTTCGCGGAGCTGGTCAACCGGGAAATGTTCTGGGTGGTGAGCGAGATCTGCACCGAGCACAACATCGTCCGGCGCATGAAGATTGTGAAGCAGTTCATCAAAATAGCCCGCCACTGCAAGGACTGTCGCAACTTCAACTCCATGTTCGCCATCATCTCTGGCCTGGGCCATGGCGCCGTTTCCAGACTGCGACTCACCTGGGAGAAGCTGCCATCCAAGTATCTGCGCCTCTTCAACGATCTGCAGGACCTGATGGATCCCTCGCGCAACATGAGCAAGTACCGGCAACTGGTGTCCGCCGAACTGTTGGCCCAGCACCCCATCATCCCGTTCTATCCGATTGTCAAGAAGGATCTCACCTTCATCCACCTGGGCAATGACACGAGAGTCGATGGCCTCATCAACTTTGAAAAGCTCCGGATGCTGGCCAAGGAGGTGCGCCTGCTCACCCACATGTGCAGCTCCCCCTACGACCTGCTGGCGATCCTGGAGCTCAAGGGCCAGTCGCCCTCGAACGCCCTCTTCTCTCTGAATCAGATGTCCGCTTCGCAGAGCAACGCTGCCGCCGGAGCGGTGATCGCCGCCAACGCTGGCCAGGCGACGATAAAGCGCCGCAAGAAGTCTGCGGCCGCCCCGAATCCCAAGAAGATGTTCGAGGAGGCCCAGATGGTGCGCCGGGTGAAGGCGTACCTCAACAGCCTGAAAATACTTAGCGACGAGGACCTTCTGCACAAGTTCTCGCTGGAGTGCGAGCCACCGCACGGCTCCACCTACTCGGGCAGCATCTCCCACGGCAGCACCTCCCACCGCAGCGTCGGAAATTCCAGTGGCATTGGTGGCAGTAGCTCCGGCGGCGGTGGAGGCGCCAGCTCCAGCCTCAACGCTGGCGATCAACTGAGCATATACTCACAGACCAGCTCCAGCTCGGCTCCCAACTCGTCGCTCTCCCTGCGCAAGAGGCACCCCAGTTCGCCCACCCTCTCCACCACCAGTTCGACCAGCTCCACCAGCGACCATCAGCGGCGCCAGCTGCACAACAACGGGCCCAAGTTTGGCACCGCCTCGCCCCAGGCCGTGAAGAAGATGCTCTCCCTGTCGGAGTCCTCCAAGATTCGCCCCCACCAGCCGTTTGTGCCGCGCCACGGATCAGCCCTGCCCGGCGTCATCCCCCCACTCCACCACATGCACGCGGCCCATGGCTTCAGTACGCCGGCGGGAGTGCCCAGCGTAATGGCTACCTCACCGGCAGCCGCTGCAGTGGCCAATTCTCAGTGCACTCCTACGCCGAGTCCCTGCTCCCATCGCCGTCTAGCATCAGCAGGTAGCTTCTTTTTCTGAAACTCTATAGGGGATTATTCTTATCTTTAATGGGTTTCTTGATTCTTCCAGGCAACATTATGCCCACTCGCGCCATCCATGAGCGCTCCCACTCGGATACTCCTGCCCCACCGCCACCCCTGCCGTCGGTTGACCTCTCCCTGGAGAGCAGTAGTGTGACTACATTTCGGGAGCTACCATTGCGCAAATCCGTAACATCCGGTGAGTGGTTGTTGTGTTAAGATGCTTCTAGATGCTACTAAAATGGGTGTGCCCGCTATCTGTAGCTATGATTTGCACCAATCCTCGCGAGCACATTCCTAATCCTAGTACCCTCTGATCTTTAGGCCCATAGACAGTAGCTTTAGCTCGAATGTCATGCTTAGAGGCATTTGGGAAGACTGCTTTAGACTTGCTTGCATTTGAAATAAACACTTGGTGGTTGGTTGGGAGTCGGTTTGGTGGTCGGGTTACTCACACACACACACATACACACAAACAACAACAACAAGCACACACCATGCCACGTAGCTCGGGGCGCTGTTGAATGATTCCCAAAAAAGGAAACCCATTTAATGGCCGCCACTTGAGACAAAAACTCTTCTTTACGCTACTTTCACACCACCCAACAGGTTCCATATCGTCATGCGACAGTGGCTATGTGCATCAGCAGCAGCAGCTCCACCACCACCAGCATCATCCACAGTACCAACAGCAGCCAATGGCGTCAAGTGCCCGAGATTACGAGATTACCTCGCCGGTGTACACGGTGGCCGACTGCCGGCTGCTGCAACAAATCTCGAACAGCGCTGTGACCCGCAACCTGAACAGTCCCTGCCAGAACACGAACACAGCACCCAGCACACCCACCCCACCACCACTGAACCAAACCACAGCCACCATTCAGCTCTCTGCACCGCCAACGGCAGCGGCATACATCCAAATGCGCAGCCAGCACCACCAACAGCAACTCCAGAAACAGCAGCAGCAATCTCTGGCCATGCCACCGCCGCCGCCACCGCCGTACAATGTGCCACCGATGGCCAATCACCTGTACAGCCATCACCACGGTAGTGCGGCCAACGATCACCTGAATCACATACACGGTAAGCGGAACAGGACCGAGCATCTCCAGACCGGGGACCAGCAACCAAAACAAATGCAAAGCGGGGCTCTAATCAGTTCTTTCAGTGATAGGAGTTTACTTAAATGACCTCCATCCCCCAATCTCGACCAGAAACTAATTCATATCTCATTTGTTTTGCAGGTGGCCCGCCAAATTTTATGGATAACACCAAGTGTACCATATGCTCCATGCCACCCATGAACCCATAATGAATCAAATGTGCTGTTTTAACCGCTAAAATATATAAAATAAGTTATTTGTGAGTATGCCAGGTGTAGAAGGTCGAGAGGGGTTTTAGGTCATTCTTTGTAAATTGTAAAAAAAAGATATATAAGAGATATTCTATTATAGAATTTTTAAAGAAAAAACCACATTAGAGACATAAATAGAATTTTTTAAACTTTAAATTTGGGGCTATAGCCTTCTTATAATTACTAATGGAATACTAAGTATTTCAGAAGTTGACAGAAATACGAAAATCTTTGAAATTCGTGCAATATTTTCAAAAATCTATTACCAATATTTAAAAAATGCTTAGATTTCTTTATAAATATTTTTCACATTTAAAAAAAAATTAAAACCATAGGAACTATTTTAAATTATTCTTTATTTTGTAGAGTACATAAAACATATACTTTTCTCAAATACTTAAAATAAGGAGACTAATTCTCAAAAATGGAATTTAATAGCATATAGGATAAAGGATATATCTCTCACATTCCCTCAAACCTTTAACAATATATATAGACCAAACTATTTAATCTAAAAATTTAATTTAAAAACCAATATCTCGCTATGTACTCTAAAAAATCAAAGAATACTTAAACATAGTCTTAGGTTTTAATTTCCTTTTTTAATTTATAAATTCTTGCAGAAAAACATATAATTTTAAGAACTTTTCTCACTTATACCCTAAAAACTCATATATAAAATAATAACAAATACTACCTGACCGCTCCTATGGCAGCTATTGAATATAGTACTCTTCTATTACTTCCTCGGTCTACTTAGATATCAGTCTTACAATCTTAGCTCCTAAACAGAGTATAACGTCTAGACACAGACTGACATAACATGGCCTTTTCTGTTTAAGAAAATATATAGTTTTTGGGGTAAACTTGCAACTTATTTTAATGTGGTCTTTTCTTTAAAAACTCTTCTAGAAATCCCCTTTTTTACTGTTTATAAGGATAAGGCTCTAGAACTCTACTCTGAACTAAAAATATAATTTTGTATTCGTATATTTTTAGTAATTAGAGTTGCCAAAATTTGTTAAGGTTGTGGTTTCAATCCAATCATCTTTCCGCTACACCGAAGCATAAAGTACTGTCTGGAATATAATGATTAGCCTACGAACTATATTATAATTTAGCCAAATTGCGTACTCGAACCCTGACATTAAATTGCCTTTTTCTCTCAAAAGATGTGCAGTCTGCAGGCAGACCCCCCAAGCAGACCTAATTATTCGGCATTTAGATATTTAAGAAGAACCTAATGTACGAATTTCAATGCCCAATGCCCAGCACAAGAAGCCAACAAATCAAAGCTCTCATATTAATTCCACTAATTCGCTTTTTATGTACAACTTTGCTACTACATATACATGCTATATATATATATACGTTACCTTGAAAGAACCTTCGCTCCAATTCCAAATATATAGTTTTTAAGACAAAAAATGGGGATTACGCATTTATTTCTGTTTTACAAAGAAATCGTTGTATTTAAAAAAAAGAGAAACCCATTCGAATGTGAATGAAATGAAAAGACATGCAATATTTTTAATGAAAAATGAAAACATTAATGAAAGACACCTAGACACAAAGGCACACAACAGAAATGAAACTATCAAAGTACAAGCAAATCGAAAACCAACCAGAAATAGTAAGTTTATAAGAGAGACTTGAAAAAGAAATCCAAAATAATCAATTTTTGTGAAAATGTTTTTCTCACGTCACGTAAAGGACTCCAATATATACATATATTTCTATTTTTGTGAGTGTGCATTAATTCATGTTAGATATACACAAATAAATATATATACACATATATTTACCTATATACAAGAAATCTCTATATATATATATACAAGATAAAAGATACAAACTCGAACATAGCTTAAATTCCTAGGCAAAAATCAAATTATGTTTTTTTTTGTGGAAAACCAAGGAAACCCTTCACAATCAAAAAAGAAAAGAAATATATAGATGTATACAAACATTATGCTCTTTAAATTAAGATTCAAAACTACCAATTTGCTTTTTAGGCTTATAAAAAAGTTATTCAAATTGAAACCTAAATTGTATTGTAAAAATAAATAAAAACAAAAATTCAACAAAAATAAGTTTTAATACATCTTAAGTTCTTATCCCCCCACACCCCCTTAAAACTATCGATTTTTTTATTTTCACAATTTATTGGATGGATTTTCCATTTGGAAGCTTTATGTTTAAAATCGTTCGACATAAATATGTTAAATATTATAAAAGTTCTATTGTTTTTATTGCTTTCCGAATATAAATTTATAAATTTGTTACTCGCGCTGCTAATCAATGCAACTACCTAGGCACTATTTTTAACACAATTCGTGGTAGTTGTTGTTAGCTTTATGGTTTGGTTATGAATTCTCAACTTAATGAAATAGAAACAATTGGAATTAAAAGGCGCCTATACCCCCCGGAACAATAAAAACATAATGATACAGGTCTACAGGATATGTAATAGGCATCCTTTTCCCCCCAAAATACGTCCAATGTCCTTTAGATCAACCTCGTGCGCTTCAGATAGGTGACGAGAAGGTTATAGATGAACTTGTACTGCGCCAGGGAGGGTATAATGCTATCACGCTGGTGACGCAGCTGGCCAATAACTCGGGGTATGTCCAGGTCCTAAAAGAACAAGGATCATTAAAAAGTCTATGAAGAGTATCTCATCACCCACCTCGTTGTGATCTAGAGTGTAGAGCAATAGATCCGCCGTCAAAGTAACACCTGACCGGCCGCCTCCCTCCAGACAGTGAATGAGAACCGGCGGATTGGTGTTGTGTCCGGGGGGAACCTCATGCGTGGAAGCCAGCCGCACCGAGTTCAGCTCCTCGAGAAAGTCCAGAAAGTGATTGAGGTCGCGAGGACAGTTCTGTTCGGCCCAGTCTGCGTACTGCAGATGCCAGACGGAACGGTAGCGTCGCGAGGGCGCATGGAAGAGGCGCAGTTTGCTGGTAGTGCATCTATCGGTGGTTTGGGAGAACTCCTGGTACACTTGGAACTACAAAAGGATATGGAATTAGATCTCAGGACGATCTCTCGCATTAGGAAATCAAAAACCTGTCCAAACTCCAGACGCTGCTGACTGGTCTGCGGAATGTAGCTTATGTCCTCGACTAGCTGAACCACCAGGTACACATCCGCCTCCCAGACGCACTGCCAGAAGATGCGCATTGTTTGTGTGTCTTGCGGAGATTGGGCCACAATGTAAAACCTTTGTTTGACCCCAACTGTAGCCTGTTGATAACAAGACGGAGGAGGAGTATTATCTCGCCAGATACTAGAGATCAGATGTGTTATCTTACAGATATGTACGAGGCATTCACGTAGCCATGCCTGTTGTCCATCGAGGGTGTGAGTCGTACACGGTTGTCGTCATAGGGTAGAAAGTTGGGATCGTGGTTCTTTGACTCGTTCTCCTCCAATAGAGCACACTCGTACAGTGCATGCTCCCGGCGCTTCGGTATGCGTTCGAATTCCATGAATAACTGCGAGTCCTGCAACTTCTCATTGAGGATTTGGCACTAGGATGCAAAGAGAGTAAAGATTAGGTTCAAAAAGGAGGAATTAGTTCCATTCACTCACCAGTTTATCCTTGGAATACCGGCCAGAAATCGGCTGAGGCTTGCTGACCCCAACCGACCAACGATTGGGCAGGTTTAGGTCATCCTGGGCCAGTTTCAGCTTGGCCGCCAGCTTGGCGTGTTGGCCAGCAGTGGCCTTCTCCCTGCCCAGTGTGGCGGCCTTCTGCTTGTCGGGGGTTTTGCTTCGGGCCAGGAAGTTCCAACGCTTCTTTCGTTTGGTGTCCTTGCTGGCCGCCGACGAGTATGTGGTGTCTAGCGTCGAATTGAACACGGAGGAGGTGGACGCCGATGTGTTGGCGGATGATAGATTCATGGCACTGAATTGCTGCTGGAGCGAGTCATTGGCAGGCGAGATGACATCCACCGTCGGCGACTTGTTGAGGCTGACAGTGGAACGATACTGACGGTTCGGCAGCGTCACTCCCACAGTGGGAGCTGCACTAGCTGCGCGAGAAGCTCTCTTGGGCGACTGCGGCTCCATCAGTTGCACCTCCGTGCTGGCCGCCCGATCCGCCCCAAAGATCTTGATGTTGCGCGTCATCTCATCCTCTGGTGGGGCGTTGACAGTAATGTTGGTGGTGCTGGTGTGCCGAACCGCCGGGACAGGAACCACTCCCGGTGGAGCCGATTGTATGGAGGAGGCTCGTTGGCGCATAGCTTCGGCGTGCGCCGCTCCATTGCTGCCTCCAGATGCTCGCTGGGGCAGCGGCACGTTCTCGTAAATGGGCTCGATCGATCCGTTCTCCACGCTCCGTTGCAATGGAGTGGGCGCTGCTACCTTCGGAGGAGCTGTGGTCACCGGCGGTGGCTGTGGGCTGCTGGCTGGCGGAGGCACGGAGCTGCGGTAGCCACTTGGCGGCAGGGTGGACGAGCTACGGCAATTGGAAACCATTGTTATTATCGAATAGATGCCATATCGGACGATACACTTACTTGTGATTAACGACAGCAGAGGCAGCAGCAGCGGCGGCCTGACTCATCGCCGATTGGCGCAACTGCGACATTATGGATGGCTGCTCTTCGATCATGTTGAGGTTCTCGAAGGTTCCTTGCGGCGGCAGGTATGGTTGCGAGTGCCCCATGTGCCCCACGTACGGGTACTGGTGCAGCATGGTGGCACCGGAAGACGTGGGCATGTTGCCAGCATGATTGCCTGCCGCCAGGGCCAAGTACTGGCCACCGTTGAGAAGGGTCCGGTTGGAGACTAGATCCGGCGACGAGCCACTCACATAGTTGCGGTAGCCATGCAGCGGACGGGGCGTGGCCACGGCTAGGTCGGGCGTGGACGAGGAGCTGAGACGATTGACGGGATACGGCGGCGGTGCCTTGTGGCGCAGCATGTGCATGCGCTGGGATAGCTCCAGATACGCCTGGGCCGTGCTAACGGGCTGCGGCTGCTGTTGGTGCTGCTGTTGGGTCTGGTACAGATTGATGTGGTGATGGAGGGCAGCTGGCTGCGCCACGTCCGGATACCGATGCGAAGTCAGATGGCCGTAGAGCAGGTTCTCGGTGTACACCCCAGGATTGTGTACATCCGGCTGGGATCCGGCAAAGTAAGCATTCCCAGGAGCTGCCAGGGCTAGCGCTACGTTGTGTAGCTCTGCGGACGGAGTTCGGTACTTTAGCTGCACGGCTGTCTCGTAGTCTGGTGCTGGACGGTAGGTTGGCAGCATTGCCTTGAGGCGCTCCCGCTCATCATTGTTGTTGCCACTGACGTGGTGCAGCATGCCGTTGCTGCTGTGCAAGTTGTTGTTGCTCAGATCGAGGCAGGAGCTGCTCTGGCCCAGGAGCTGGCTCTGACTCTGACTGGCGGCCAGCGATATGTTGGATGAGAGCATCATCTGCTGGTGCTGTTGCTGGATCTGTTGTTGTTGTTGCTGCTGCTGCTGGATCTGTTGCTGCTGCTGCTGCATCTGTTGTTGTTTCTGCAACTCGGCGGCGGCCACATCCGCGTAGTCGTAGTCCCCCTGAGGACCGCTCTCCACCTCGGCGCCGCTGCCCAGGCTCGAGGACGTCGCCGTGTCGATGTATCGCTTGAAAAACTTGTGCTGGCTGATGCAGAGCTTCCAGAAGTAGCGGGCCGTGTCCGCCTCGCTGAAGATGAAGCTGCCCACGATGCTTCCGTCGCCGTCCAGCTTGTTCTGCTCAATTTTGATAGTCCGCTTGTCAATGGTCACCGTCTGGAAGTCCTTCCACGGGAAGTACTGGCGTCCATTGTCCGAGTTTACGACCATTCCATTGATGGCCAGGCCCAACAGCATGTCGTTGCCCAACGTGTCCTTGGCAGCGAACCGCTCCTCCCCGTAGCCGTCCAGGTGCTGGCAGCACTTGATGTACATCTCCTCCGCTTGGCTCTGGCTGAGATGGGCCAGGCCCGGCTGTTGCTGCAGCACCTCCACGATCAGCCCCTCCAGCATGCTGTCGTCGTTGGCCAGGCCCTGCATGTTGCGCGGCAGCACCAGGGACTTCTTCAGATAGTCCTTGCTCTGCTTGTCGCCCTGGTAGCTGTCGTACTCCGCCTGCCGGCAGTAGAGCGCCAGCAGGATCGCGGTCCGAATGTCGCAGGCGATGCGTCCCTCATAGATGTCACTCTTGAGCTGCAGGAAGTAGTAGAATCGTGTCGCCTCGTCGCTCAGCAGGCGTACGTCTGTGGTCACATAGTGGCGCACCCGAAGGTATATTTTGGTCCCAGAAGCATACTTTTCCAGCTGCCGGCTCAGGGAGCGCTCCAAGTCGATCCATTTGTACTCGTCCTCCTTTCCCTTGACCAGGTACCTGAAACCGAAGAACTCGGACTGGTGGATGACCAAACGCTGGCACACGTTATCCAGGCACTCTTGTCCCTTGCTCTCCGAGCTAATGGTGCAGTCCACAGTGCTGGAGGTGTCTAAAATGGGAGATTATTTAATTAATTAGTAATCCACCTTTTTTGTGAGTAATTCTTAACATAGCACTGTTATCTGTCCTAGCTCTGTTAAGGGTCTGTTAAAGGGTAATGTGCAACAAGTATTTTGATACTATTTCAGCTTTAAAATATAGAAACTCAAAAACTTATATCCAGACAGAGCATAAAAAATAATATCAAACACATTTCCAATTATTTAAATTAAAAAAAATTTAATGAAAAGTCTGCAGCTGTTGGCTTATTGCTTTGTCGCGAGGCAGGCTGCTACGCCCCCTGGTTTACTCACCCAACAGGTGATGGACTGATATAACAAACAAACTCTTGGACGTCACATTGTACTGGCGACACTTTTTTAAGAACTTTAATGGCATTTCTGCTGTGCTCGGTGCTCGTCCACGAATCTGAAGACTGGCTCCACGGGCATTTGCATGTAAGTTTCACAATTGGAATCCGCCCGAAGGAGAAAGCTGTCAGGCTATTTTAGATGTGACTTTTACGTCCACGCCTCTACTTAATGAAAACAAAACTTCATTAACGTAAGCACACCCGTTCCAAACATAAAAAAAATAAAATAAAAGACAACAAAATTAAGTAGATGTGCTGCTAGTTAGTGCTGCAGAAACATCGACTTGCCACCTAATACTATCGATGTTTCACTTTTGATGTTCTTACTATCGATGTTTTTACCGATCTACTATTTCTTTAGCATAGTTGGCAACATTTGAAAAGTATAAGAGTAATTTCATTTAAGTTTAAAAAGTGTTTTAAATTGCGATTTGACGGGAATTTAACTAAAACTAAACTAAATTTCCTCGAGAAGGAATTTGAAAATTCAATTGAAGAAAAGTTAGCCTCGGAAACAAAAAAATTCTGATAACGGGATTGGGCGATTTAAAAAAATGTTTAACTTTTCAAAAAAGTTAAATAAAGCCCAAAAAATACAAAAACTTGTCCAAATTATTCAAAATCTTTAAAAAAAAGAGATTTATAAAAGGTTTTTAAAACGCGCGCCTTAGATGCCTGACCCCAGAGGAGATAACGATACCCTTCCAGTGTGGCCAGTATTTTTAGTGTGACCAAAGGTAGACAAATCCAAAAGATACAAATCCGTAGGTACAAATTTTGTGGAAACCCATCGATCCACCTCTATCATTTTAATTTAAAGCGAATTAGACCTTTGGATAATAAAACGTGTGCAGTGCGGAAAGACCAACAGGAAGAGGCGCATATAGTGCAGCAATTAAGGGAGTAGTCGCATCGGTGAGTTTCTGGCAATGCGCATTTTCGATTTGTAGGAAAATGAAGGCGCAGCCAAAATACATAAATTAATTGATATCTAGTACACGACGATCACTGCTTTGACGGTCAAGGTTACAACGACGAAGTTGGGGAGACAACACTAATACACACACACAAACACACACATACCTAAAGAGACGCGCACGTGTGCGTGCGAGTGAGGACGTTTAAGGCGAGTTTAAAGTTCAGTACCTGTTGCTGAGCTCGCTCTTTTTTTTTGAAACCCCCCATCCCTGGCTATCTCCAGCAGTCGCGTCCGACATTTTCTCTTTCTCTCTCTCTCCGGCACTGCGTGTAATTTAGTTTATTACGTTTTTATTATTATTCCGTGCTATTTTTACTAGATCAGCGCGTTCCCAGCAGATTGTAAGCTTTGGGTTCGCATTGCATAACGAAGTATTAGTGAATCGTGTTTCAAGACCACCTATAAACATTCCAGCTGTCCCCATTGATCAGATTCATCTTCCGACACATCACCTTGTTGTACAGTGGATACTTCCTAAGAGCAAAAAGCTTGGTATGAAAATCGACTATTTGTATATCGATCGATTTATTTTAAAATATTCACTTTGCCTTGAACGGTTCGTGTGTCACGTATCAACATTTTAAAGCAGATAACTCATATTTGCGAGAAAAAGGATTAGTTTGGCCATAATTATACCGTTAGAAGTTGTAGAATCAGCTGGCTTATGTGTTGGTTCCGATAAGGGAATTAAATGCCAAGTCATGCTTAGTGTGTTGTTTCGACAAACGATTAACAAATATCATCGTGGCTGGGGAACTTTGAAATACATTCTTAGAAGAAAGGGGTTGTGTCAGGTACTACAATCTTGGAGCCTTTTTTTTGATTAGGGGAGTCTGTTGGTTATCTCTTAGTACTCCAGATTCCAGAGAATCATAATGATTTGAAAATAAAATAAATGCTTTCAAACATTTATCAGCAATGTCCTTAAAAGTAGCCGTAGTCTAATTTGTATTCAAAGTATCTTATCTAAAATTAGCCCCAATTAGGCTGGTAATTAGTGTTAATGTATTATAAGTGCATTACACTTTCCCAGCCCCAAAACTCCGGTGGCATCATTTTATTACCCCGACGATGGGGTGACCCATAAAAAGTCACTAATTTGCCTCCTCTACCATACAGTCTTTCGTCACCGGCGCTGCTGGCACATGTTTAATATTTATTTTGTGCCTTTTGTTGACCACAGCAACAAGAACTATTACGCGGATAGTGGTCGTCTACTATATGTATGCAAAGTAGAGCCAGCCGAACAGACCCTCGCATTAGCAACATTAAGGCATTAAGCAAATTCACAATTCAAAGTGCAACTCTCTGCGATATTTGCGATACGCAATTCCAGCAACAAATCCACTGACAAAAGATGAGATCGTTGTCAAGGGTTAACATACATAATTAAGATAATGCCCCCAAAAAAAATGTTTATAAATGTTTTTGTGTTTGAAGTATATATTTAGCCTAGAATTATCAAAATTGATAATGAAAATTGTAATTATTTATTTACTAGAATTTCTATTGTTTACTGATATAAAAAAAATAAGCATTGCAAAAATGATTTGTAACTTTCATCATTTCACGCGATAAGCTCAGTGTTTAAAACCTGTTGCTTTCGGCCTTCATTTGGTAGTTCGCTGTTGACCCGACCAGACGTAGCGCTACCGAACGCGTTCAAAATTAAAAATTTAATAGCAAATAATAATAGTAATAGCAAAAGGTGGCCGCTAAAAAAAAAATTGTACTATATATACAAAGAGAGAGAAAAAAAGAAACCCAAGGTACAATCGATTTAAATCCTACGTGTTTTCAATGTCAGTCTGTGGTGACGAAACATTTAAGCGAAAGCGAGATCGCACCGAGTACCGTTAAGACAAGTGCGGAAGCGGGTTACCGTTAGAGAATGTAAAGCAGCCGAAGCGTTCTGGCTTACGTGGAATATATTAGACAGTGCGTGTCCAAAGTGCTCGGCATGCAAATCCACTGATATAAATTTTATGCAAAGCTCTTCGCAAAACTGAAAAGCACTGAAAATTCTATGCCCTCTTTGCAGTCACACACATCTCACCACCATGGCCAGCGCCAGCGAGCAAATAATCGAGGAAGCGGCCGAAGCCGTTGCCGGCGGAAACGAACCCTTCCTGGGCCTCCTAGACATAGCCCTGTTGGCGGTGCTGATCGGTGGAGCTGCCTTTTACTTTTTACGAAGCCGCAAGAAGGAAGAGGAGCCCGCTCGCAGCTATTCTATCCAGTAAGCTCTCTAATCCCAAAATAATCTTGGAATATATCTAACCAGAGGGTGTCTTCCAGGCCCACCACAGTTAGTACCACTACTGCCACGGATAACTCCTTCATTAAGAAACTCAAAGCCTCCGGACGTAGCCTGGTGGTGTTCTATGGCTCGCAGACCGGAACGGGTGAAGAGTTCGCCGGCCGCCTCGCCAAGGAGGGTATCCGGTACCGTCTCAAGGGCATGGTCGCCGATCCCGAGGAGTGCGACATGGAGGAGCTGCTGCAACTGAAGGACATTGACAATTCGCTGGCCGTATTCTGCCTGGCAACATATGGTGAGGGTGATCCCACCGACAACGCCATGGAGTTCTACGAATGGATAACCAACGGCGACGTTGATCTGACTGGACTTAATTATGCGGTGAGTGCCAGCGATAATAGCACCCAAATCGGAGACACAATCTAAACAATGGCCGATTACATAGTAGCCTGGCCTTCAGATATGACCAGAAATACAAACATTTTCAAACGCTTATCGAACACTGCCCCTCCTGGTGATAACCCTGGTTACCACCCTCTTGAGTGCTATCAATAGCGTCCATTTTTGGCATTGTTAGAGATAGACTATCAGGTTTTTGTTTGGCTCCAGCTGATGTAAGGAGATAGTAAACATTTGAAATTGGTTAATACTATTTCCGGGTATCCTAAATGAGAAATAGATACATTAATTACCAGATTAATTACCAGTTCTATTGTAAATCTAGAAAAACAAGAAAATAGTTTGCGATATTGCGTGACTAATATTCATTACTTACTACGTTTTGTTTATTTGTTTAAAATACTTTCTCAGACTAATTTCGAAGTTCAAGCTAAAGATACTTTATCTCATTTGAATTGGCGGGCTTTTCAGACGTCTCATAATTGCGTTCGAGTGTCACAGCAGCCAGCCTTTCGTAGGCAACAATCTTGGAGGCCCCTCTCTTGGGGTCCGTCCCTAATCTTATGCAATATGTATGATTATTGTTGGGGTTACAACTTAATTGGTCGGGCCGGTTACATGCACACATGTAAGTCGGAAAATGCTAAACACGTTCGTCTCCTCAACACTCTTGAGCAACATTTGGCGCTCGCCAAGGTCGCGAACTTTGCGCGGCCTTTTGAATCACATTTTTAATAACAATACGAGAGTGTGGAGGCAAATGGAATGTGCGGTAATAAAAGATCAAATAAAGATCAATGAAAAAGTGGAAAATAGTCAGATCTGTCCATCAATTCGATGAATAAGTTAGGGCTAGTATCTGAAAATAGATTTCAAAGTCTATTTTTTGATAACTTTTTAAACATTTAATAAAATCTTTCCATCTATTCTCATATCTATTTTAGGTCTTTGGACTGGGTAACAAGACCTATGAGCACTACAACAAGGTAGCCATCTACGTCGATAAGCGACTGGAGGAATTGGGAGCCAACCGTGTCTTCGAACTGGGACTCGGCGACGACGATGCCAAGTAAGAGAGTGTCCTTTCAACCTTTAGCACACGACTTATTCTTTCTTCTCCCGCTAGCATTGAGGATGACTTCATCACGTGGAAGGATCGCTTCTGGCCCGCCGTGTGCGACCACTTCGGCATTGAGGGTGGCGGCGAGGAGGTGCTCATCCGTCAATACCGTCTGCTGGAGCAGCCGGACGCGCAGCCCGATCGCATCTACACTGGCGAGATCGCCCGTCTCCACTCCGTGCAGAACCAACGCCCGCCGTTCGACGCCAAGAATCCCTTCCTGGCGCCCATCAAGGTCAACCGCGAGCTGCACAAGGGTGGTGGCCGCTCTTGCATGCACATCGAGCTGAGCATTGAGGGCTCCAAGATGCGCTACGATGCTGGCGACCATGTGGCCATGTATCCCATCAACGACAAGGGTCTGGTTGAGAAACTTGGCCAGCTGTGCAATGCCGACTTGGACACTATTTTCTCGCTGATCAACACGGACACGGACAGCAGCAAGAAGCATCCGTTCCCCTGCCCTACCACTTACCGCACCGCCTTGACCCACTACTTGGAAATTACGGCTATTCCTCGCACCCACATCCTCAAGGAGTTGGCGGAGTACTGCACGGACGAGAAGGAGAAGGAATTGCTGCGCAGCATGGCTTCCATCAGTCCAGAGGGTAAGGAAAAGTACCAGAGCTGGATTCAGGACGCCTGCCGCAACATTGTCCATATCCTGGAGGACATCAAGTCATGCCGCCCTCCCATCGACCATGTTTGCGAGCTGCTGCCCCGCCTGCAGCCACGATACTATTCGATCTCGTCGTCGGGTAAGCTGCATCCCACCGACGTGCATGTGACTGCCGTGCTGGTGGAGTACAAAACTCCAACGGGACGCGTCAACAAGGGCGTGGCCACCACCTACCTGAAGAACAAGCAGCCCAAGGATGGTGAGGAGGTCAAGGTGCCTGTCTTCATCCGCAAGTCTCAATTCCGGTTGCCCACGAAGCCCGAGACGCCGATCATTATGGTTGGCCCGGGAACTGGTCTGGCGCCTTTCCGCGGCTTCATCCAAGAGCGGCAGTACCTGCGGGATGAGGGAAAGACTGTGGGCGAGTCGATTCTCTACTTCGGCTGCCGCAAACGCAGCGAGGACTACATCTACGAGTCCGAGCTGGAGGAGTGGGTCAAGAAGGGAACTCTCAACCTGAAGGCGGCCTTCTCCCGCGACCAGGCGTCGAAGATTTATGTGCAACACCTGTTGGAGCAGGATGCCGATCTGATATGGAACGTGATTGGAGAAAACAAGGGACACTTTTATATTTGCGGGTAAGTGGGACATAGACGATGGTTCTTTATCAAAATACTTATACTTCTTATTCCTTGCAGGGACGCCAAAAACATGGCCGTGGATGTTAGGAACATTTTAGTGAAAATTCTTTCCACCAAAGGTAACATGAGTGAGGCCGATGCCGTGCAGTATATCAAAAAGATGGAGGCTCAGAAGCGCTATTCCGCCGATGTTTGGAGCTAATCTGGCCAATTTCCAAAAAAAAAAAAGAGGAAACACAATGTGGCGGAACACGCACAGAATCAATTGAACCATAGGCCAACACCAATAAGCATAAAGTTGTCTAGTTCATTAAGTATATAAGCATAATTTTTGGTTTGGGAACTACATGCTGCGGTTCAACAAACAGTGAATGAGTAAAAATTTATGTATAGGTCTAGTTTAATTGATTGCCCAGTTTTACCCGGACTGTTCATATGGGCAAGACATTATTTTGTATGTGTGCAGATTAATTTAAAAGTAATTTTTTACATGCATTTTCTTTTGTACTCCCTTGGTGATTTCAATACAAATACGAAACATGTGCAATTTTAACAATGACTCTAAAATTCACGTAACAAAATATATTTTTTAGACTTGATTTTTCATTATTTTTATTGGAAGGGGAAAACTATTAAACCCAACTTATACTTTAGTTATCCTAATACTCCATTACGCTCGAAATGCGGCAGGGTATACTGTAGTGTGTCTGCCAGTCGGCGTGAACTGAACATTTGGCGCAGCTTCTGCTTGGCAAAATCGGCATCCTTAAAGCTCTCCAGGTTATTGTCCGCAGTTTGGGATTTATCCTGGCTGATGGTTGGAAAGATGCCATAGTTGGCAAAGAATCCATAGGCCTCTCGACGATGTACTTCTTCGAGGATCTGTTCGTAGCTAGGCACTGGGACGTCCACCTCCAGGTTGCGCAGCGTCTCCGCCAGTCGGGAGTGGTAAACGTGAAGCAACTGGGGTCTCTTGTGGCGCAGGACCTCCAAGTTGAGACTGGTGTAGAAGAAGTAGTTGAGATCGATGCCTGGACTGCCCCACACGCTCAGCTGGAAGTCGATGAGGACAAGATCCTGGGGCCGCTTCTGTGCATCGTACTTGAACATCATATTGTTGACCCACAGATCTCCGTGGTTTAGGACCTTGATCTCCTTGTCCTGCGGCGCCTGGCTGCGTTCCAGGTTGGCTCTGTGGTTCTTCAGGTATTTGTCAATCTTTCCAGCAATGCGTTCGAATCCAGGCCAAGTGTTCACTAGATGGAGAAGCTCCTGGCCGTTGCCCGAGAAGAAGCTCATCAGTAGGCCGTCATCCTTGGCCAAGCCTTGGGGCGACAGCATTCCATCACTATAAGCTTCAAATATGTGTGGATCCTAAAGGACTCTCATAAGTTTATTTTCTAAATATGTAGACCGATTTTACTTACCAGCTCTGCTAGTGCCATGGATGTGGCGTGGAATTCTCCTAGTCGTTCCATAACCAATCGGCAGTGCTCCTCATCCAAACCCAATTCGCGGGAGGCCATCACGTAGCCCAACTGGCCTAGATCCTCAAACACCATGGTGCTTTCCGGCTGCTTAATGCAATGATAGAGTCTGCAAAAGGAAGATAGATTCAAAAAATATATTTAAAATATTATTTAAAACTAAACCCACTTGGGACCAAAACGTTGCTTGCACTTCATCAACAGCTCCAGGCGGGGGAGGACATCGTAATAAGTGACCTTCTCCTTCAGATAGACCTGCAGGTCCTCGATAAACTCCACCGATTCCAGGCGTGGTATACTCTTTACGATGAACATCATTGATTGCACAGGTTTACCGGGTAGTTGGAAGGATATTTTCGTCCTGTATATTTGGCTGCAGTAGTTCTCGCCGGTGTTGCTGCCCATTTTGATGTGAATGGAGAGCACTTTGGCCTTGGAAGTTCTCAGGGCAGTGTCCAGCACCTCCTCGAAGAATGATATATCCAGATGCTTGGGCGGGGCGGAGACCTCCGCATCGTATTCAATGCTACACATATCGCGACCGTTTGAAAAACAGTTAACGAGTCGCGCTGATTTTATATCCGATTCTGACCAAATCGTTATCGCGTAGTTGACTATTTTAGTTGTATTAATTATAGCAATCCGTAAGCTAGTTAAACACTTTAATAGTATGAGTTATCTTAATAGGGGACTACCTGCCACATCATTTCTATATCATTTTTTTGTAAGCTTTAACCTTTCTCACCGGATTTGGAATCTATTTAAAAAAAAAAGGCAAATCTTAGTGAGAAGCTTTTTGTTCACGTGTGTCGGTTGACTTTTCTCAAACATGCGAAAATTGACAGACAATTCATTATATTGTCAATCTTATAGCCATATTTGCATTTTTCTGTGGTTTCTGGTTTAGCTGACGCCTTTTAGACAAGTTTTTAATTTATATTTTAATTTATCTAAGAATTTATTAATATTAAACGAACTTAATATATACCCTTACATACAGTTTAAGAAATATTTTATTTTGATATTATAAGCAAATTTTAAATAAAAATTGTTTTCAAAACTCACTTTATTTATTATTTTTTGAGGGTAGTGACCCGACCATAATTATTTGATTCGCTGGTTTGAACATAATGGTATTATGGTTACTATATAACAATACATAAATGACCAAAAGTGAAATGGGTTTAAAATTAGGAGCTGGTATTAATGACCCCTAAAAAACAACTCAACCCCAACTTTATGGCATAATAATTCTATAAACGTGTTACTCACCTGGTTATAAAGATTTATTTACAAACAACGACAAACGCTTTGTCATTAAGTGTAATTATATTATTTAAAATATCAACATGCAATAATAGGCCATAATTATCTTTGATGGTCAGAAGTTAGAGAATCTGAAAAGATTTCTTTAAATATCACCCCTAAACAATTGAGCTATCACTATTTATTTTTTAAAGTATAAAAAAAAATACAAGTGAAGAGTTTAAAATTCTAATTATCCTAAAAACTTGTTTAAAAATATTAAAAATTCAATCAAATAGTTTCATTTCATCCAAACGCTTCACCGTACACTTTAAGCTCTCCAGGGTACGAGAGTTTCCTTCAAACATAAGTTGAACCTTTTGGCGAGCAAACTCCTCGTCGTGGAAGTTCTTCAGAGAATTATCCTCCGAATCTACACCAATCATGCTCATCAGAGGAAAAAAGCCGAAAGCAACAAAGAATCCGTAGGCCTCACGCTCCCGAATCTCCTCCATGACACTCTCGTAGGTGGGCAGAGGCTTAGACCATGGCAGTTTTTTAAGGACCTCTATCAGGACCTCGAAGTAAATGTCTATCAGGTCCTGTCGGTGGTCACGCAGTACCCCCAGTTCCAGGCTGGTGTTTAAGAAGTAATTGATGTCGAATCCTAGGCTCCCATAGAAGCACAATTGGAAGTCAATCTGAGAGATTATAAAAACATTATAATTAAAGAGTTTTTGTTTTTTTATTCATACTTACAATCTTAACTTGCTTCACCTTGTACTTTGAATCATATTTAAAGAATATATTGTTTACCCAGAGGTCTCCGTGGTTAAGAACATTATGGTTTCCTCTGAGAGGGTAAACCGCCTTCAGAACACGATCGGTGAAATGCTCATGGTATCGATATAACTTTTTGGTAATGGAACCAAAGCCCTCACACTCGGTTAGAAGGGCTATTAGTTTCAGGAGTTGGGTCCCAAACAGTAACTTGAATGGCTCCGACTTTATGGCATCCATGTGCAGGAGTCCAAAGGGATAGCGGTCTATGATCGACTCTGGCTCCCATTCGGACATGGTCATTGTAAGAGCATGATACTCTGCCAGCTTCCGCATCACCAGCGATGCATGTGCCAAGTCCAGGCCCAGTTGTCGGCACTTCAACTGATATCCCTTGCAGCATAGGTCTTCAAATATAATGGTCTGTTCCGGCTGAGAGGTAGAGTAATAGTGCCTACGGAAAAATCATTATTTTTAAAAATTTTAAAATAGTTCTATAGACCTACTTGGCTCCTAGAGACCATGGCTTGGAAACATCACTTATTCCCCACATTAGAGTCTCCAGCTTGGGTTTGATTTGCAAGTAAAAGAATGTCTCCTTGTTGTAGATGTGAAGTCGGGCCAATATAGCCTGCTTATCATCCGGCATGGACTTGACAATCAAGGATGTCTCCAAGGCATTTCCCTCCGCATTTCGATATTTAATGTGGGCTCTGTAGATGTTGCTGCAGTAGTTCTCCCCACCGCGGGTCAGGTTGGTCAGCATCACCTCAAGGACATGGAGATCCTGTTGTTGCAGGCCGTGCTCCAGGGTCCGTCTAAAGAACTGCGGTGTTAGATACAGTGGCGGCTCGTCCGTAGCTTCCGACATTATAGTTTCTTATGTCAGATTTCGATGCACCGAAGGCTTTATAAGAAAAATCTCGGAGGCAAACGTGGACCGATTCATGCAATTTTTAATTGATCTTAATGGGGCGGGCCAACAGGGCGCATTATTGATTGGACCTTTCTCAATAGACTTAATAGATGTGCATTCTTCTTGGATTAGCGGTATTATCGTTTGATGAACTTGTGCTATTTTTATCTACAAGAGACTCGATTCTACAGGCGTCTGTAAAAAAAGCCGTCTGGGTGATTTTTTTAAAAAGCTAATGTGTTTTCCCAAGGGAATATGTCCAAAGACTGAGGTATATTATTCTGTAATGGCTAAATTATACCTAATTTATGTTAATATAGGGAATTGGGTAATTTTTTATTTGTCGTACAGATTTTACATGCTTTTAATATATGCAGAAATAAAGTAAAAGTGGTTTGCGAATTAATAAATCATAAATATAATGTGCGAGGGAGGAGAAAGTTTTGTTTGAACTTTTAAAAAGCACTCCGTTCTTTGGTTTTTAAACTTAAAAATGTTCATCTTTTTCTTTATTGGATTATTTAAATATTTTAGTTAGAAGTTAGTAATGAAGTATAAATATTTACTTAATAAAAATGTCTAATATTTTTTATAAAATGTGTAAAGAATAAGTGGCTATTAAATAGTGTCTATTTAATAAAATTATCCGTTGGTATATGCAAATTAAAAATGAGTTATGGTTAATGTGGGTTTGGGATAGGAAGAAAAAAATCCCTTGGGGAAAGCAATCCCAATTCCAGGACCTTTTTCTCCGATGAATACAACTTCTTCCAAGGTAACTTGGCATTTGTTTTGGGATATATTTTACTCCTACGAATGGAATTGAAAATAAACTTCTGGGGTTAATGATTTATATCTTAAACTCTGATTAAACTTGCTTAAATTGAAATTGAGAAACTAATTTTATTTTGTGATCTATTTAAGCTAAGCTTGAAAGTTTAAAGTTAAAAAAGGGGGAACTCTGGGACTTTGTAAGATGCAAAATGTAACTTAGAGGATTACAATTATTATAGTTTTTAAAAATTAGAAGCTTGAAGAAACTAGTATAGAAATGATTGTATGAGACAGTTCATGGTTAGTTCTATAGTCTAAAAAGGTTTTAGAAAGAAGGTATGTTTTTTCTCTATAGAATAACCCAAAACGTATTCCCCAGTTGAAGGTCAAAACCCCGAGTCATAACCTTAAGTTCAGACATCGGGGTAATATTTGATAATATTATTAGATTACGTTTCATACAAATGTGCTGATAACGGCAGCTAGACAATGTCTAGACTAGACACACATCCATTCAAACACTTACAGGAACAACAGGAGCGTTTGACATTTGATATTAGAAAGTAAAACGTGAAACAGAGAAAGGGAGAAAGGTCCGGCTCCAGAATAGAAATATGCATTTCACAAATGCCACAAAATCCGCACCGCCAGCAATGCGATATTAATAGCTGTTGCATTGACGGGAGTATCGCGAGGTGCCACAAGGTGAGTTTAAAGTTTATTTGTCGCTTTCCGAGGAATGACAGGAGCTGTTTGAGACGTCATCACGATATTTAAGGCTGGTGTCAAGGACACGTTTACAGGAATAAGATTAAAACTTCTTTATGGTTTTTCAAAATATAATGTTTATTCTTTTTATTCCTCACTTGTCCATAAAGTGTCTATTGCCAAAAGTGAGTCGTTGCCATTTTTGAAAGTTTAACTTCTGTTTTTGAGTTAATTGCTGCGGCTGCTCGGCCTTAAGCTGCATAATATAATGCTCCATCAGTTGACTTGGGGTGTTTTGACGGAAATTTAATATTGGCGTGACTGTGGTGGGAGACGTATCCATCTGTCTTCGAGCCCGCCAGTGCCTACGCAGCCCATCAAGTCCACAAGCGGGAACTTCAATGCAGAGAAAGTAAGCCAATTCCATGCCACTAATTAGGGAGCAGCCCAGAAAGAGTCCAGCAATTCCACCAAAGCTAACTAAATGATACATTCTTTAGATGGATTTTAACCTTCTTGCAACTAGTAGTAGTCCTTACTCACCCATCAAGTCCACCCAACCAAAGACAAGGCTGGTGCGATAGACCATTATGGTCTCGAAACGATAATGAACATCCAGATCCACATACGAGGTGTTGCCGTAAACATCCTGTGGCAGGAAGGCGGGTCTAACGTCGTTAATGTAGTTCAAGGAGTAGCAGTTTCTAAAACATTTGCACACCATGCCCTCGTCGTGATTCTTGACATATGCCACCTCGCCGGGCTGGTGGGAGTAGCGGAGCTTGTCTGGATAAGATTGGGTTACAATTAGCAATCTAAAAGGATAAGAGGTAACTAACCAGTGTGTTCCGCCAGGCAGAGCAAGTCGGAGGCCCTACAAGATCGATATTGACCTGGTTTGAGAGATTTCCATTATAAATGGAAGGATTCATCAAAACTCTAGCTCACCCGGTGGAAAAAACAAGTCCACTGTGCAATTGCAGTATCCCACTAGGTACTCCTGATGGCACTCGGATTGGCAATTCTCAATCATATAAACATATCCCTGCAGAGACCTGAAGTCCTCACTATTGCGTTCGTCCTACGAAAAAAAATGAATGCAGATTTCAGGCTTTAGTAAGGGATTTCTACTCACATCGAAGACGCACTGCCTCTGATCGGAGCGAACACTTCGAGTGTCATTATCGTAGAAGTAGATGATGGGTTCGATCTCCAGTGTGGTCTCCGTATTGGCGGGTATATAGTAGGGATTGCTGTGCCACACAAACGGCTCCGTGACCATCACGTCGATGCCCTTCTCGTTGTGCCGGCCTGGATAGTGTTTGGCAGCCTGGATGAGCACCCTGACGGATAAGCCGCTCATGGGACCCGCTGATCCCGTTCGCCATGGCCACAAGGGATCGAGGAGCTGCATTCGTCGACCCTCCTCCGTCTCCAGGGAGTTGAAGGCCCAACAAAGACCGTTCTTGCTCCTCCTCTTGGAGAAAATGTCACAGCAGTTGTAGACAAAATGACGCCAAAGGCACTCCGTAAGCAACTCATCACATCGCCACGTCATGAAGTCCACCACCTGGCTGAAGTTTATGTAGTTCAGCAGCTGTGTGGGCTGGTTCCTCAGCCGCTCGAAGGACTGGAAATTCCCGAAGGATACATCATCGTAACTGCCCGTGATGCGTTCGAATAGAGCCAGTTGCTCCGTATCGGTGACATTCGGCATAAACCTCGCCTTGGCCTGGTCCAGCCGCTCCCAGTTCAGCCTGTTCCGATTGCAAATGGTGATCACTGGAAAGGGGATGCGGTAGACCGGGTATCGGGTACTGTCCACCACTGTCTGGAAATTGGCATCGTTGTAGCGGGCGGAGAGGATGAGGCACACGTAGACTGCTCCCAGGAAGGCACACACAAAGGTGCACAGCCAAACGAATCGCTCCCATCGACTGGCCCTGGAGCTCAGGAGCCGGTCCAGGCCATGAATGGTGGTCCGCTTGCCGAATCTCAAGGCCAACTGCCAACCGGCCTGAACGAGTTTGTGTAAGTGATGTTTCGGAAGCGTTGGAGGTTGCTTTGCCGGAGGAAAATAGGCCAGCTTCATGTCTAATCCCGGACTGATTCTTATGGGCGACTGAGGTAGCATTTTTATACAAAACCCTTTATATGCGTGTTGGAATGCAGCAGGTATTTAGATACCGTTTGACACCTTGTCCAGCCCAGGACACGCTTGACGTGCTTTTTGTCTATTAACTCTCCCAAAGGTCACGGCAATCGATTTGAAATCCACTGGGGACTCGACCTGATTTACATTCCCTCGGAGCTGAATTTGTGAAGCTAATTGACACCAAAACCAGATTCAATTGACGCCAATCAATCGCCAATGATTTGCAAACAGTGATTATAATTGACCCAAAGTCCTTTGTTCTCAAACCTTATCAAGAACCAAGAACATTTCCATCAGGAAGCTTCAAGCATGAGAGAAAAAGGACGCCCCAAAATAGGTATATTACAAATCATTTAAAATAATTATATACCAACTACGAAATAAAAAAAAATTTTTGGTTTTAAGTATTGGTACTTGTTCGTTAATAAGGATGCAGGAAAAAATATTTATTTTTATTCTAAGTCTCTGTTCTTGGGATTCTTTTCAAAGATTTCTATAATCCTCAACTTATTGGCATATTTTTTTTACATATTGAAAAGTTAAGACAACATCCTGACTATATTTTCCAAACTTGTATTGCCTCTTTTAACTCTAATCTGACATTACATCTCACAGGGGATATACCTTTGCTAAATTGGTATCCTTTAGCTTAAAGCTCTGTAAAAGCTCTGGGATTCCTTGTTTCTAAAACTTTAAAAAGCCTCGAGACTCATAGTTCCTCCAATTTATATCCGATTCAAAAAACGAACACCATTCTGTGATCAGGCACCTAGAAGCTTAATCCCCCGTTTAAAATATTCCCTAAATGTCGTTTTTAATTTTTTCGAAATTTTTACAAGGGGTCCCCCATAAAAATGGTCAATTTCCGATTTTCCCCATTTTGCCATTTTTTTAGACTTGTAGTTCCTCCAATTTATATCCGATTCCAAAAAGGAACACCATTCTGTGATCAGGGCACCTAGAAGCTTCATCCCTCATTTAAAATATTCCCTAAATGTCGTTTTTAATTTTTTCGAAATTTTTACAAGGGGTCCCCCTTAAAAATGGTCAATTTCCGATTTTCCCCATTTTGCCATTTTTTTAGACTTGTAGTTCCTCCAATTTATATCCGATTCCAAAAAGGAACACCATTCTGTGATCAGGGCACCTAGAAGCTTCATCCCTCATTTAAAATATTCCCTAAATGTCGTTTTTAATTTTTTCGAAATTTTTCCAAGGGGTCCCCCTTAAAAATGGTCGATTTCTTATTTTCCCCATTTGGCCATCTTTTGAGACTTGTAGTTCCTCCAATTTATATCCGATTCCAAAAAGGAACACCATTCTGTGATCAGGGCACCTAGAAGCTTCATCCCTCATTTAAAATATTCCCTAAATGTCGTTTTTAATTTTTTCGAAATTTTTCCAAGGGGAAAAATTAAATGATCAATTTAATTTTAAAAATGATCAATTTCCGATAATCCCCATTTTGCCATCTTGTGAGACTCATAGTTCCTCCAATTTATGTCCGATTCCAAAAGGGAACACCATTCTGTGATAAGGGCACCTAGAAGCTCAATCCCTTATTTAAAATATTTCTTAAATGTAGTTTTTAATTTTTTCGAAATTTTTACAAGGGGTCCCCCTTAAAAATGGTCAATTTCCGATTTTCCCCATTTTGTCATCTTTCGAGTCTTGTAGTTACTCCAATTTATGTCCGATTTCAAAAGGGAACAAAATTATGTGATCAGGGCACCTAGAAGCTTATATCTGATTTAAAACATTCCTTAATTGTCCGGTTCCAAAAAGTTACACCATTTTGTGTTGGACGAGTCCTGCCAGATGGAAGGAGACACCCGAGGCAAAGGATTGTTGTGCCTCTATGTGACAACGGAAGAGATTGGAAGCTGCGTCCTTTTTCAAACGTTTGATACGGGGGGCGCCAAGGACATAGTCGGCAAGAAAAGATGTGACAAGTAAAACATAGAAATATTTATGTGAAATATAAAAACATATTCTTTAAAGGACTCCAAGGACATAGAAGGCTTCAAACATAGAAATTAACATAGAAACATAGAAACACAGACAAGAAAGAAACATGGAAACTCAGATTAAATCAGTAAACATAGAAAACGGCAATTACTTGTTCTACTACTAGCCACTAGAGGCGCTGTTGTGCAAGGTGAGGAAAAAATTATTCTCTAACTTTCAAAACAAATTAAAAAAAAGTTTAAATTTTTAAGATTTTGTTTTGTTGAATTAAGGAGAATAGATAAAAAAAATTGTTTAAGATATTCCGCCTGTGAGTCGGATGAGTATTGAAGTTTATGGCCTTTGCTAGGGGCCATATTTTGCCTCATTTTGTAAGGGATCCTGCATAATAATTTGTCTCTAGATGTTGATGCAGAACGCCTGAAAATGGATGTAGAAATTGCTTAAGGCATTCCGATGATGAATCCGAAATTGATTGGCAAAGTTATAGCCATGCATATAGGCTATGGCCTCCATTGTGCATCCATCCGTTTTGGAAGGGTGTCCTCCAGAAATTTTTCTACATTTTGTACAGATTTATAGAAAATTGGACCAAAAATCTAAAAACATATATTTGTTTTAATTATTTATGTGAATCGATGCATAAACCGTTTAATGTATTTCGTACAAGGATCGGATGTTTATGGGCAAAGATATCGGCATCTTGCAAGCCTTAATGTGACTCCAAGGATTTTTGTAGATTTTTAAAATCGCTTTTCTAAATAATTTGGTTTAAACTTTTTTTTAACAATTGTTTCATAAATTGTATTGCCGAATGAAAGACAATGTATATACAAATAGTTGCAGGTATTCTGCTCAAGAATCGGACCATTAGCTACAAAGATAAAGACTTCACTGGGGGTCAGACTGAAAAAGATTGGGTCAGATTAAGATTAAAAAAAAAGTGAATTTAATGATTATTTTAATGAAATATTTTTAGTTCATATGGTAAAAATCATAGATTATTGAACAGCACTTGCAGTTTTTTTAAGGAATGATTACTTTTTTTTATGAAATATTTTGTGGTTGGGACTTGGTATAATATTTTTGTTTAATGTGTGGAGATTAAATCCTCCACCACCGAGTTTCAGGCAACGGAGATACCAACTGCATCTGTGGGCCAAAAGCCAGATGGGGAGGTGAGTGTTTTGTCGAAATTACGCTCATAAACGTGACTTGACATAATAATCTGGCTAGCTAGCTGTTTCATCGCCCGCTGGCTTTGTCTTCAGTACTTTCCCTTCTGATTTCCAGCTTCTTGGACCTTTTGCCGCCTTAGACGCCGTCTTCGCCTTTTGATATTTTCCTTTTTTCCTTTTTGAACTTTGGTTTTCCAAAGTGGCGTTAATTTTTTTGTGTTTTTTTTTTCTTTTAATTTTTTCTTGCGGTCAAGTTATACATATATATATAGAAATTTTTTTTCGGTTCGGGTCAGCCGCCGCTTGGAGAATATGGCAAAAATTTCATTAGTTTTACAAACAAGCAAACAAACAGAGCAAGAAACAAATATTTGTGCTTGAATTTTTTAACAGTTTAGTCGTTGTAGCGACTTTTTATCTTGAACTGAAATAAAGGAAAAGGAAATATTTGCCAGCTGGGGTTATGGCCAGGTTGAGCTGAAGTCTCCAGGACTTCAGGACTTTAGGACTCCAGGGATGTGAAGCAAATAAACAGAAAGCGTTTCAAAGAAGTAACAATGCTTGAATTCCTATTTAAAAAACAAATAAGTTATCCCATTTTTAAAAGCAACTTGTTAATGTACTGCTTAAACCCACAACTTAAGGTTAATTGTTTATAATCACATTTTTATTTAAAGGAATATTAATTAATATTGAAAGCTTAGCTTAACTTGTTAAAATTTTAGCGTTGTGTTCGCATAAAGATGTGAAATTTTATACCATTTTTGTTAAATCATTAAATCAAGCTAACCGATGGTAATCCAAATTTTAATGTTTGCTTTTTGCATGAACTTCCATAATCATAAGCTTTGGGTAATTTGCGGTGTGTCGCCGTACTGTTGGCACTCGATAAATCGGAAAATTGAAGCGAGGGTGCGGAATGCCATCCACCTAATTTTCAATGTCAATGTTCTCCACCACCCCAATGAATTCAGTCCCCCGTGTTTTTTGTCGGTGCGAGTTAATCGAATTTTTATTTTATGTGGATAAATTTTCTTATCGGATCAGCCTATCATGCATTATCATATTTTGTACTTGATTATCCGCGCTACAGTCTGTGGATTTTGTTTTCGGGTTTTGGTTTATTAAATTGGTATTTTCACTGAACTAAAACTAGGTTTTCTCTTTTAATTTCTCCCTAGTTTGGCTCCACTGCGATTTGACCATTTAATTTATTTCCCAATTCGATCCCTTTTTAATAAACAACGGTTCGACGACGATGTGGTTGTCAATATGTCACGGCAATAGATTTTAATTTAGTATTTGATTTGAATGGAATATATATACTATATATAAATATATGTTGCAAAGCCACCTGCCATACCTAAATCCAGCAGGAACTGCCAATGTGTTGTCAGGACCTTTTAATAAGCCTTGGATTATCGCAAGGCATTATTTCAATCACATACCAAGTGTCGAGTATTTAGCAGACAAGGAGCACGCTCCGAGCACCCCAGTCGGGTCCGACTTCATCCCCCGGCCGGTCTTCCTGACTTCCTGGAGCCACTGTCAGACCGTCAACTGACGATGGCCAAAAGGCAATAAAAATATATATGTTTTTTTTTTTTTTTTTTTAAATAAAAGCCGAAGAGGAAAGGTCTTTGGCGCTGGGCGTGTCTGGGTAACTGACAAGTCACACATGTTTATCCTGGACGGAGGCAAAGGAGTCGGTGTGTGTGCAAAGTCTTCACATCGTTTAACTTTACGAGACAGTCGAAATGCGGTACGACCCTACCTATAGTGATATGGAGCGGATTCCAAGGATAAGCGACAATGCCAAAAAGGCGTTTTAGGCCTATAAGGTATCTGCAGTTAAGTAAAGTGGATTAAGGTTGAATCTAGTATTACATATGTAAGGCCTAAGTACTTATGACTTTTTATATTCTCAGCAAATAATCGCTGCGAGTTAAACAATAGAAATTACAACCAATAAGTGTTTCGTTTTTCATCAACTAAAGGTCAAGATATATTTTGCTAATAAGCCATGTAAGGGCGTTGAATCATTTGTCATTCCGCTGGCTATTTCCTTTCGTCCTTGGCTTATTCCAGCTACTTGTTTGGGAACAATCAACGCGGAAAACTCCCTCGGAGATAAAAAAAAAAAGGACAAATGATTATGGGTACTTGTGTATATCCTGGAAAATCACACCTTTTTGATTTTTGAGGGATCGCCTGTCCAGTCCATCAGTCATACGCCCTGTGGGCTTTGACTTTAAACACCACATTAAAGTTGAATCAGTGACATTACCGCCCACGCTGCGTGACTTTTGTCCCAGCTGTCAGCTTCTTTCCACTTTTGAGGGCGGGTTAAAACTAATTAAAATTGCGGCCCGTTATTTCTACCCAGAGTATGCAAACGAGCAAAAGGCGAACACTGACGCAAAAAATGTCAAAAGCAGCCTTTCGGGGCGACAATTTAAAGTCTGAAGCCCGGCCCGGGCCCAACTCGGCCCGGCTTGGCTCTCAAGCACGTTTCGAAATTGAAATTTTCGTTACGCTGGCTGCGTTTATGCGACATCGATGTTTGCTCATATCTGGCAATCATCGCATGCAAGTTCTGTCATCATTGATGCCGGCATATTAATCAGTCTGACCAAAACATGCCAATCCCCATTAGTCCGATGTACTAAATAGATTCTCTGTTCCCAGAACTTGTTTCATCTAACGGTTTTACTTTACTTAATTGCACTCCAACCGTGGTGGTTGTGTGTAGGATGGTAGGATGGTGAGGGTGTGGGAGTTTGAATGCAAACATGAATCGCTGCTCTGGGATGCAAACAGTCACATAATTAATAGCTGGCAAACGAGCCCACAATATTTAGCTCGTTTCTGTATTATAGAGTGCATGTTCAAATGTCCTTGATCAGTTTTCCTATCTAGAAAGAGCGGAAACGGGATATATAATCCTTTTCGGCTGTATTAGCTGTTCTGTTAACTTAACAGTGATGTAAAAACAGGAAGTGGCTTATTTGGCTAAACCATTGCATACTTTGAGGCGCTCCCAAACAAAAATCTAAAAAACTCAGCTTGGCAATAAAAACAATCAATGTTTTTTAAAAAAATATCACACGATTTTGTAGCATTTCGATTGATAGCTCTTATTTAGTCAAATATACAAAAAAATCTCTGGACAAACCAATCACCGAAATCCCCCGAAATTTTAGAAACATTTACAAAAGCTCAGCTCGTCGACTGAAATCGAGTAAAACAACAACATTGTAGGATTGGCACTGGAAGGGGATGCCAATGGGAAATGTTGCATAATAAACACATGTGGCTTGGCTTTTGTGGGCATTACGCGGGTCAGAAGGCAGCCAAAATGGCAATTCATGGACAGCGACCACCGATTCTGCAACTGACAGAAATGTGAGAATTTTATAATAAATTCCAAATATTTATTGGATTTATATTTTAGAGTTAGATTTGTGTTTCATAAAAATTGTGTCAATCATTTAAAACTAATTATTACAAGTTGCAAATTTTTTTATGGCACACAGATAGGGTTGAATTTTTTAATGATGATTTAATAAGTACGGTTTCATCATCCCTGTATACGTCAGAAAATGTTAGACTAATCTATTAGCCTTGCACCACCATGGCGCAACACGTGTTGTGGGCGCCAAAGTGGCGAGATTAGTCCGCCCGGCAACCGTCCACACGTGACATTAAACATAAAGAGCCACCGAGCCCCCGGGACACTGGGTCGTAAGGTTATAATACGATTCGGGGCATTGCGGTTTGATTGTGTCTCGATTCCGAGACCCACTCACTATGCGCAACTCGCTAATCGGATTGCGTCACTTGAGTACGCGCTTTTCGCTGGCGAGGCGTTTATTTTAGACCTAATTATAAAGCAATCGGACAGTGAGGCCCAGCAGAAATCGGACTTACATGAATGAATGAAAACCCGAGCTGATAAGTGGGAGCTGAATGGTGGCAGGGCAGGGAAAGGGATACTCTACGATCCAGTATAGTACAATGGGGCCAGTCATGGGTCGTTGTGATGAAAATGAATGAAATAAAATTTACTAAAAATAAATTAAATATAAGGACAATTCTTAGCTATCAAAAATATAAATAGTTTGACTGATTATAAAATAAAAGGAAAAGGCTTTGGAAAAAAAAATAAAAAAGGCATTAAAGTTTTCTTTTATTTCTTAATTTTTTTTATATAAATAAGTTTTTAAGGCCCATGGTACATAATTAAAATCGCAAATTTTGAAGCGCTTGATTCAGCAACACGGCGGGTAGGCATGTCCACATGTCTAGACTACGACTAAAAGCTAGACTGTAGATTATTATTAGTAAAGTGTAATTCTTAGCTTAACTAAAGAGTGATGTTTGATGAGATTTATTTAACAAAATATTACAAGTAGTTGACAGCTTATAACCATGTTATAAACGGATAAAAAGGATACTGCTCCTGTCCGAAAAGCTGTCTGTCATTGAACAGGCTGCATTCCATTTAAGTCCTTTTTATCCAGTTACGATAGTAAAAAGGACGTGGAAATTTTCGCGCTTTTTTCATGAATTTATAAATTAAATTGCTTGTTTTTCTTTATACCGCTTTGGCCACATATAATGAGTTATGTGCCGAAAAGTTAAGTTTTTAATATAAATAATTTTCGCTTATTTTTCTCTTTGACACGACACGCCATAGCCGGCTCCAGCTTATACATACATATATGTGTGTCTTTGGCCATGGAATTCAAAGTATTTTCAATAATTTTGCATAAATTTGAGCGGCACTTTCACGAGTTGCAATAACAAGGGATTTTCACGGTTAAAGTTGATTAATAATAATAATGAAAATTTTGCTGAGCTTTGCTGCTAATTTATTTATAAAGAGCACGCTCCTCATGGCGGGTTTTTTCTTTCTGCTTAATTGCCACATAATTAAAATGCCATCAATAAATATTTTAAAGAGTGCACTCAGTGTTTAGAAGCTGTTGATGTATTAGTTATTAATTATATTCGATTTTTTAATGGCGTGAATGAAAACATCACTTCCGAAGGGTCTGTCTTGTCTTGTTTCGTTCTGAGAGTTTCATTAAACTAAAGATTAAAAGAATTAATTGAGCGTGCTTTAAGTTGCTCTCATTAAGATTATGGTGGAAACAATTAGGAACTCACATTTTTTTTCAAAATTAAATAATTGCCGAATCATTAAAGGCTCAAAGTGTATGTGTATTGTGCTTCGGCTTTTTTTTTAATAGATAAGCCGTGCCCACATCAGCCAAAAGAAACGACGTATTTAAAGTGCTGATAAGCTAACCAAGCTAAAAAAACGAGCTGCAAGAAACATACAAATGAATGCGAATACAGAATATATTGTACATTGAATGGGGAATCGCGGGAACCGAGTTTTTAGTTGAAGTTCAGCGATCGGTAAATGCGTAACAGACGTGTGAAAAAATAGCCCAAAAACTTTCGTGCTTGTGAAATACATAAAATTAAAGAAATTATTTCCGAAACACTTCTGACATGTTCGCAACTAAGCATAAAATACAAGAACAACCCCAATCCAACCTCAAAATCATACAAAACGGCTTATGAAATATACTTCAAAAGAATCGTAATCCGCTAATGTGCAAATAAAAAGAGGAAAATCGTACGAAAGCCGGCTTATAATAAGAACTAAAGTGAAATGGAAATGGCATTACGATTTTTTAGTTTTTGTATATTGCTGGCCGGAACAGTGCCTGTTTCGAGTTCGATACTCATACCGAATAATGTCTCCAGAAGCTGCCCATACCGGAGCAGTTGCAATTCGTCGGTGAATGTGCAGCACATCGAAATGCTAATGGATTGTGTGGACAAGACGAAGGATCCCTGTGATGATTTCTACGCCTATGCCTGCGGCAACTGGAAGAGGAACTACACAGCCACGAGCACGAGTGAAGACCAAATAAACAGTCAATACAAGTACCTCATCCAGAATTTAAGCCGTAACCCTCGGTCCCCGGAATACAGACAGCCCATGTATGGAAAACTAGCGACCTACTATCAGCACTGCCTTGGACTGAGGGGCCGGAATCTCCGGCGGTACTTGGAGCTGCTGGATCTCCCATCGTCCCTGAACTCTACGGATTGGATGGATTTGCTTTCTCGACTGGGCCAATATGGATATCGTGGTCACTTTGTGGAGGTGTCGGTGCGCTGGCACAATGCCAGTCGGCACATGATCTTCCTGGAGCCGCACAACCACCGACTGAATCTGAATCTCACGCAGGACATATACGAGGCATTGCCACTAGGTGAACTTCCTCTGAGCTACTCCGCCTTGCGGGATCAGTTTGTTGAACTGGAGGACCGATTAGCCACCTTGGTAAAGAGCCACGAGACGGATGACAGTTTTATGGTGTACAGCCTGGATGAAATTCAAAATAAAGTGCCGGAACTCAAGTGGACAGAGGCTCTAACGAAGCAGCTTAACAGGACTTCCATCGGTGGAGATCATAGTTTCCAGGTGGATGATCTGACGGCCATTCGAGAGATAGCCATCCTGCTGAACAGCATGGATCGCCGTCTGCTGAATCTATATAGTCTGGCCCGATTCCTGCAGTATCTCCTGCAACTGCCGCACAACCCTCTGGCCACCATGGAATCGGATGGCGGTATGAGGTCTCTACGTTGCATAAGGCAAATGCGGAGGGTGCTGTACATCCCCATGAACTATGTCTATGAGAGGAACTACTACGCCCCGAGGAGGGAGGCCGATGAGTATGTTATCCGAAAAGTGTTTGGAGAGCTGCAGGAAAAGTTGGAAAAGGCAGTTCGGACCAATCCCTTCCAGTTGCAACCGGACTTGGTGGATCAATTGTCAGAGAAGGTGGAGAAAATGCGCATCAACGTGGGCAACCTACCGCCCAATGCCTCGGAGCAGTTCTATACCGACATTGATAAGAGGTGGAAGGTGGGAGAGGACTTCTATGAAGACCACCTGAATGGGCTGCTCTTCTTTTACTCGATCGTGGCGGAGCTCGAGGGCGGCGTCGATAGCAACTCGCAGTCCATTTGGTACAGCTTCAACATGCACTCTCCAGACTTTGGCGACAACATCGATGCCACACCGTACTTCCACTGTCTCAGCAATATGATTTTGGTGCCTTACTCCTACTTGACGCTGCCCTTCTTCCATGTCGACTTTTGGCCAGCGCTGCTCTACGGAGACCTGGCCAACACCCTGGGCCACGAAATGCTGCACGCCTTTGACACATTCTTGGGGGACTACGATGGCCAGGGTAACATGAGAAACTTCAGCGACCAGCTCGGCAAGGAGCCACTCTACAAGACTGCGTTGGAATGCCTGGACCAAAGTGATGCCATCCTGAACGAGCGCATCCCGGATGTCAGCGGCTCCCGGCTGGCCATCCGCACCTACATGGGCGACTGGCTGAGTCTGCCGGACAACGGCCAGATATACTTTATTCAGTTTGCACACTTCTTCTGCGGCGACGAGGGCGACAAGTACCACGAGTCAGGAAGCCAGCGACTCAACTACGCCGTCAGTCAAGTGCCCGAGTTCGCCGAGATCTTCGAGTGCAAGGCGGGAACCAAAATGAACTCATCACCCCAGTGCCCGTTCTGGTAGAAAATGTATCCATCATAGCCTTAATGTACATTGATAGTTTTTTTGCATAGCTTTAATTAGGTGCCCACAAGTATTGTGAATAAATTACCATCATGTTTAGGAACTCAAAACGTCCTGAAGTTCTCCTGTTTTCGCATGCGACACGGCACGTCACATGCCAGAAAGAAATCCTTGGCATGGGGCTGAGTCAGACAGCTCGGCAGACAAGCTAATTTTCAATTACGTGCCAAACGTGATGGACCTGGTCTGGTCCTGGGCCTGGGCCTGGACCTGGGTGGGAGGAGAAGCTAACTGGGCATGCTGTGCCTAGAATCCGATGCTCAAATTGCAAGTTCGCAAAAAAAATATGTACCTTTTCTGTAGTCAGGCGAAATCGAAAATTGAGATGGAATCTGAGCGTGTTTCTCAGCACACCTTTAATTATTCGCAAATTAATATGCATTCGGCTGATCAGCATTTTGGCAAATGCCAAAATCCACAAACCAGCTCCTAATCCAAATCCGCAGTTTCTTGGCAACTTGTTGAAGGTGGCAGCAGGGTGGTTGGGTGGTGCCTGGCAGCATTTGCCTGGGTTTCGCATTAACGGACCATTAGAACCCTACCGTCGACATACGTGAGCCGCATATTATATCACAGGTAGGTCGCGGTTGACCCTAAAACCATTCTTACCTGCCATCTGATAACTTTAAACCTGAGAAAATAGTTTCGCCAATTTTCCGTTAAATTTTGCAATAAAATTTGACATTTTTGGAAAGACAGATGAAGGCTTTGTAAATTATTTTCAGGAATTATACAATGATAGAATTTAAGTCTAATTTTTACTTGCCTATAGGTCTTACCATTAAAGTCAGAGCTCAGCTACAGAGTACTCTTAGCAGTCTTTTCCCTGCACAATTTTAGAGTGAAATTTTATTGTTGCCATCTGAAAGCCCCAGAGTCTTGTTAACACGTTCGAGCAACATATTGAGTTTGAAATGTTTTGAAGCAGAAAGTTGTGGAAATAAACCACCAGTTTATACCCTTTTCAGATACTAAAAAGTTGAAATATGTATGTGGCCCTAAAAGTAAAAAGGAGTCTAAACTTGGCACCAATCTCTTCAATTTAGTACCAAATTATTAGAAGGACATGTTTTTTTAGAGTTTGTTTTGCAATTACTGCCAATATATTTAATTTAAATACAACTTTCTAAATTCCTTAAATGATTCCGACTACGTGTAAGTACTATTTGAGATTCTTGCTAGCCCTGTTCTTGGCCATCTGTCATTAGCGGGATTTTGAGATTCTGCCAAACAAGATGCAGGGTTTTAGAACTTCAAAGAAATGTAATGAGAGTTCCTTTGTGTAAATAAAAAATTACCTGCCTACTTGACATATTTGGCAGGTCAATCGACGCAGCTCTTTTCGGGAAGGTTCGCAAAACCAATTTAATTGCTTTTAGGGACGGAAAAATCCGCGGAGTCGCCAGCTGCGATTAAGGTAGTGACCTGAATTAACGGTCAACGGATTAGCGAATTAGCGGTTATCCCAGTCGCGGCCCTTACCAACTTTGCATATGGAGGATTAGGTATGTGTGAGGGCTACCTGTCGCTACCTGTAATTAGTATAAGAACCGTGGCGCAGAGTGAGGAAGGCACAGTTACAAACTGATACGTCTAACGTGAACAACCAAATCAAGAGCGAAATCAAGATGGTCCTGAGCAACTCTACGCCCAACAACGCCCACAAGAACAACGAGCTCGTGGTCGATACCGCCGCCATGAATAGCAAGGACTTCAGCGATCTGCTGCAACTGACCGAGGAAATCGAGGAGAGACGCCGTTCCCATCGCCAGGGAGATGCCAGCACTGCCTGTGGCCTGCTCCGTGCCACCATGACCCGAGAGGAGGTCTTCGAGATCTCCTCCCTGGATGACGATCGCTTCCTGACGGCTCTGGAGCACCAGAACTCGTATGTGGCTCCACGCCGTGTCCAAGTTACCGACCTCGACCTGTCAAGCATTGAGAATTTGATGAAGTATTTTGACGAAGAAGTGCCTGTGACTCCCACCAAGCGGATGGAGTCCTCCAGGATGGCTGCCTGTACGGGTAAGGTGGCAAGTGCAATTGCCAAGTTGGCAATCCAGCAGGAGCCCGTTTCGCCGCCCAAGCCCAAGGTGGACGGCGGCATGTTGAAGATCAGCGAACTAAAGCAGAGGTACGAGCAGCCCCAGGAGACTCCTAGAACGCCATCGATGGGACCTGGAAAAGTTTCTTCTTCGTCGCTGCCCCGGAAGGTGAAGGAGATGGCCCAGCTGTTTAATTCGAAGATCAACCAGGTTATCCGGCGAACGGACGAGCCGCAGTATGTCCAACTGCACAACGATTTGTCTCCGGAAGCCAAGCCTGTGCCCCAATCTCGATTCGTGCCGAGCCAAGGACCGTGCCTGATTGCCGAGGAGGTATTCCGGGAACTGAGTGTCAAGGATAAGGCGCTCCTTTTCAACAAATTCATCGGCGACATGGCGGCCAAGCATCCGAAATTCAACGCACATGCTGAGGGTCTCAAGGCGAAGGTAAAGAACGAAATAATTCGCGGTGAGGTGGTGGCCGAACAACAGGCCAGTGTGAAGCTCTTGGCCCAGGAGCTGGAGGCAAAGTGTGTTCTTGAAGGTGCCCTACCTCCAAGACCAGGTGCAGCTTCTCCCCCCAAGGCTATTCCAAAGGTTGAGACACCCAAGAGTCAAATGCATGTGAGCACCCTGACAGTCATCCTGAAGCCAAGCCCTGAACGGGCACCTCATACTCTGCCCCGCCGACGCCTGGAGCTACAAACAAAACTCGAGATGCCGCAAGGATGCCAGAAAAGGAATCTGTCCTCCATTCGGAGTGCCCTGCCCACGGAGGCCTATGCTCCGCCCAAGAAGATCCGACGAACCCGTCAGGAGCGCAGCGGATGCGAGTCCCAGATGTTTTTTCAGAACGAGCCGCTGGAAAGTCTCTTTTACAGCTGGCTGAGCTCGGAAAACGGTGTACAATTCGATATAACCAGCGTGTCCAACATCCAGGAAACCATAGAAATTGCAGTCGAGGAGGACTTGCTGGAGCAGCCGCCCCAGGAGCCAAGCACGGTCTCGATCGGAGAGGTGAGCCAAAAATCCGCTGTCGAGCGACTCTTGGAAGAAGCCATCGCGAAGTTGGAGATGGAGAACATTTCCAAGGAAGCCAGCCATGTAGAGGTCAAGGAGGTGGATACATCACAGCCCCAGATAAAGACTCCAGTTGCCACACCGCGCCGCTTGAAACGACAGGCTCCTCCAGTGCCCGTCCCACGACCCAGTCTCAGTGCATCACAGTCCACTGTTACCCTGTCCAGCGAAGGCTCCAGTTCGAAGCAGTCGGAGGCCGAGGAAAGCGAATCCGGGTTGTCTACATTGCCAAAGGTAAGTCCTCTAACTATTTTCTTCCAAAACCAAGCCACTAATGCTTGTATTTTCCCTCAACAGATAACCAGCGACGAATCTCAGCCAGAGACTCCCAAGGATGCCATGCAGTCCAATGATTTTGAGTTTGCCAAGCCTCAGCGTCCACCCCGCAAGAAGAAGATGCGCCGCACCCTGACCTGGAAGAAGGAGAACTCCATTGTGGAGGCCACAGCCAATGCCATCACATCCACTGATTCCGACTCCGACTACAAACCATCCACCGGCGTGATTTCCAAGAAGAAGCCAACAAACAGTTCTCAGCTACCTTTGCCGGAGCAGAGCTACATCGAGCTGGACAAGTCCCTTATGCGCCATGTAAACTCGCCCCGAAAAATCAAGTCGGCCTACACCTTGACCGTGATGTCTTCGCCCTCGCCCAATGCGGACAGTGATCAGTCCCCAGCCCAGACCCCGAGGCAGTCACTGGGCCACTCAATGCGGGACAGCTTCATCGATCAGGGCTTTGAAACCTGTTCCAATGACCCCTTGGACAGCAGCCCAATCAGACGATCCTCCATTGGCAGTGTCAGCTCGAAACCATCCGGATTCTCCACACCAGTCAAGGGCCGCTTGATTTCTAGCCCGGCTCAGCAGCAACTGTTCAGCCCCATTGCCGTGCCGGACAGGCCCCGTCGCAGCTCCTTGGCCATGCAAGTGATCCGGGAAGACCATCCTCTGGATCTGGACGCCACCAACAGCTCGCCCACCACACCCTGCAGCGAAAGAGAGTTCTTTGCAAACGCACCGACCATCGAGATGAACTCCTCTCAGGATGAGATGCCTGGAGCCAAGCCGCACTCGAGATTCTGGATTTCATCTGGAGCATTCACCGTCTCCTTGGAAATCTTCCACAACACCCCGGAGCGCCTACGACTGCTGTACGAAATCTTTTCGCAGAAGACCTGGGAGACTCGAGACCTTTCCTTCGGCATCGATGGACACAAGTTTACCCCGGGTGGTGGCACCTCGGAGTCTGCCCTGCCTGAGCGTCCTCCCAGTGTGAAGGGATGCTCCCACTACTGGTTCGCCAGCGGTGACTTGGCGGTGCCCTTCAGCGGAAAGCGGATGTCCGGCGAAAAGGTTAAGCGGTTGTTCGCCTTCCTCGATGCCGAGCAGTCGGAGCTGCGATTCGGAGTGGACCACATCGACTTTAGCCACGGCCCCGAGTTTTGGCCCACCACCCAGAAGTACTCCATCGAGAGCAGCTACAGCATGCTGGTGGGTCTGCAGACGGGAGCCAGCAACGGCCTCGAGGGACGCAGCAAGTACGCTTGGCCGAGTAGCGGCAGCAACGCCAACCAGACGATCAAAACCAGCGATCTCGACCAGACCGAGTTGGAGTCCAATAGCTTTGGCAATAACAGCGGCCGACTCTCCTTCTCACCGGATATGTTCTCCCTGGACTACGAAGCCGTGCCCCTAGACGAACTGTTTACAAAGGCTGCCCCAGCTACTTCAACACCCACTCTCTCGGTGCCACAAATGATGCAGACCCTGCAACAGCAGCAAGTCAAGCTCCGGAGCGTGGAACAACGGATCCGAAAGTATGCCAAGCCCGCCAATCTCACGGACACCTCGCTGGAACACTGCCGCAATACCCCCGAGTATGTGCAAAAGTTGCGCTCCATCATCAAGGCGATTGAGAACATTGGCCGCGACGATGGCTTCCGCTCCTGCACCATGGAACAGCTCGAGAGCTTCATGTACTTCCTCAGTGAGTATGCGGACTTGTGCCTAGCCAACTGCAGCGAGCACATGGACAGTATCCTGGACACTCTGCTGGCCCGTCGAGCCGTGGAAGTTTAATATTTATACATAATTTATATTTTTAATATCAAACTTTTTTGTAAGAAATCAACATATAATGTTTAAAATAATTCGTACTATATAATAAATAAAAAATATACAAATAAAAATCAATTTTTTTATTAAATCTTTTTGAGCCAATTTTAAGAAAATATTTTAGCTAATTTGCATCCTATTCCAAAACGAAATATGATTTATGATTTGGTCCTAGCTTCTTGCATCAATATGAAAAAATTAAGCAGAAATTTCCTGAAAATAATTTCAATAAAATAGGGTCTCCTCTAAATAAAACATAATAAATTATACAATATATGAAAGGAGGTATTTATTTATTCTCTTATTTGCAGGATCAACCTATTTTGTCCAAATACCACCATGTGATTAGCCATAGTATTGTTAATTGGTATTATATCAAGGAAGATACCTTCTCGATCTTAGATCATCGAGCACTATTATTGCCAATCAAAAAATAACCAAATTAAACCCGATTTTTCCAAATTTTCAATCTTATTTCGCGATTTTTCTGGGATTTCGGTATAGGGCTTAGTGATTCAAGCCGTGATTTATAAATAGTATATGTTTTTGAAATGAGATGCTTATGAAAAAATTAGTTATGTATTTGGTTAGAGACTTGGCTAATACTTATCTGATTGAAGAACTTTATACCTTCCCAACCTTGTGCTTCTGAGTACTATTACTCTTTATAAAAACTGAAGAACTAAAATCTGACCCATTTCTGACAATTTTTTGCTTAAAATCAGAAGAAGGTTTTTTGCTATAATTTAAAATTAATTGTTGGTCATTGAATCCTTGTTTTACAATTGGTTTGAAAATGATCCGATTCCACTAATTGTCCATCTTACCCAGCTCCTTATTTAAGCCGGGGCAAACAAAATAAACGCGTATTAAATTTCCTGAAAGAATTATAATATCCCAGAAGGATAAGACACTTTCTTGCATCACTCTACCTTTAGGGGAATGGAAATCCCTCGCCCCTCATCGCCACACTTGCTAGTCAATGGAAATAAGGATCCTGGTGTAGGAGGATTCGGGGGCAGGGCACCGCCCTTGGTGCAATAACAGTTTCCAGGGTCCAAAGTGCTGCGCAAACACGGAATCAAATAAAATGCCGAATTCGGCCAAAAGCCAGTCTAAGCATTTGTTCAGTCGTTGGACACTCGAAATGGTTATTGATATGGAGGGGATGTCCTGGCCAAGTTCTCCCCCATTTGATGGTAATGCAACTGCAATAAAGAGATCAATATTCATAACATATATACGAAGCAATCCCAAACAGATCTTTTATTTGTTTCCTTTGCAGTTTGCTCACTTGAGAATCGATTCATTCAATGTACATTATCACTCTTATCGGTAAGAAACACAAACTAAAGCCTATGATATAAGTATTTAGATTTAATTGAGTATGTGTATAGGTTAGACGTACTTAGTTTAGCTTCTGGTTTAGTTGGGCTTATGGTGAATGGATATAAATATATATGTTATGCTTCGTATGTAAAACAATCGAACTCGCCAACTATCTAAAATATTCATTAACAGCTTGCGCTTTATAAGTACTTGTGTTTGCATTGTTTAATTTTTTCTTGTTTTTTATGTATATCTTTTGATTAATGCTATTTACGTTCCTGCTCTTTGGGCTAATACTGGCATTAATTTAATTTTCATATTCTTTGGAGCCCTCTCTCTATATTATGTTGGCCAAACAAATGAGCTGCTATTTGTATTGCCTATAACGAGTACATAATTTACAATTGCATTTGCTTTTATTTTCACGGTTGTATGTAGATGCTTTAGTATATTTACAATTTGTGTGATTGCAGTGCGTTTTTTTGCATTGTTTCCAACAATTTGGCAACATTTAAAATGTATGTTTATCCCACTTGTTGTTTTAAATTGAATTTTTGTTTTGACTAACTAACCAGGATGTGTGTGAGTGTTTTCTGGTCTGCCCACCAGCCGTTGCCACAATTTTTCCCATTGACGGCGTACTCGGCATACTCTATCGAATCAATATGAATCAAATGTTTGTTTAGTTCAATCAGTTAATGGAAAATAGTATAACAAAATCAAAAAAAGAGCAAATCAGACAATAGTGCAGCGGAGCATTCAACAAATTTTGCGTGAAAATTGAAATAATATTCGACTTTTAAATCAATTTTGGCGCTTGATTAATTTACTGTTTTATTTGTTTGAACTATTTTTTTTTTGTAATATCATATTTTGCGGGTATTTGCGTGTAAAATAAGGCTACAACAAAAACATGAAACATCCCTGGTGTGTGTGCAATTTGTTTAATTAAGTACCTACAGAAATGTATTTATTTGCTGGGCTTATCATTTGCTTTAGTGTGTCTGGCTCAATTTTCATTTTCTACTCGAGTTGATTTAATGGCACTTCATTAATAAGACTGTTATGCGATTCCCTAGTCGTGGAAGCGATTTGGCAGCATCAGCAACAGAAGTGCCAGAAGCCAGCAAGTGACCTTCGACCCTAGGTCTAGGTGTGTGAGGAGTCCGGGGCTGCCACTGTCCTTGCCCTTGGACCAGTCATAGCCCTTGGGATTGGTGCCTGTGAGTTTCTGCTCCGATTTGCCAATCTCGTTCAGATTCGATTGATATTTAATACCCACTGTAAGGGGAACAAGTGCATACAGTTCATCCGCATTGCTTTTTTTTTCGGGTTAGTACTCACTTTTGTCAATCACAATCACGGAATTTGTTGGACTTTCGCCATTGAGGGGTGTGTGGTTGTAGCCATCCGTGTTTACCGCGGTCGTCGTCGTCCTCCGCAGCGTTGTGGTTGTGGGCGGTGGCTGTGTGGTTGGTGGATTTGACACTGTAGCGAAATTGAATATTTGGAGATCAATAGTTAGTTCGTTTTCAACTTCATTAAGTGGTTATCCAGAAGCCAAAGACCCCACCTCTAAGTACATACAAGCCCCCACTCCTGACAAGAATACGGCATGTTACCTTCTAACGTTTTCAGACGATAGTCCTCCCCACAGCTCTTGGCATTATTGACCGACAATTTGTAGCGAAAATTTATGGGTTCTGGTGCGGCCTTGCCTGGCCTGATACTCCTGCTACTCCAGATACTCCCGATACTGTGTGTGGCCAATGCTTGTCCACTTCATCGCACTTTTGGCTGTATATCCTGCTGACCACTCAATAAAATTGTCAAAGGATCATTGTTCTCATTGTTGGGCAGCAGCCCCCGCTATTATTCGATGCCTCGGTGTGGCCATTGTTACCTTTAATTGGTAGAGCAACACCCACTTCTGGTCACCCGGAGTCCCATTGTTGTGCCAGCCAAATAAAAAGTGTGTATATAAATTAACTTGGCGTCTCTTCGTGTTGACTCTCCATGGTGCCTGGCCAATGGCCATGGCCTTTTATTGGCGCCAACGTCAACGCACAGATATTTTATATTGTTTTATGAACTTTTGTGAAAGCAATCATGGCTGCCAGGCTAAGCTTTAATGGCCCAAACCGGTGATTGGTGAGTGATTTAACAAATTTACAGATTATGGACACTTTATTGAGCCTGCATTGCCCAATTTGGTAGTTCATGCGGATATGTATTGGAAGTTGCGACTAGAAGTTTATATATTTTTAATAGGAAGCTTGGGTATTATACTCAATTCTGCAGGGACTTGCATTTGTAACCCTTTCAAAGTTATTATATTAAGAAAACATACTTGTTTCTATTCTCAAAAGGGAGTACCTCAAATTTAATAGTAAAAATAAGTAAGGAAATCGCAATTTTAAGAAAATATCAGCTCAAAAGTATGCTACATAAAGTAGTTAAAATAGAGGATTTTACAAATATACCGGGTATCATATAGTTTATAAGATTCTTAAGATAGTCTGACTATAAAGTACTTACTGTATAACTTTATATTCCCATCCATGTCGCCACGAGGATTTTTGGCGACGCACTTGTAGTTTCCATAATCGCTGGCCTGCACATTCGTAATTGTCAGACGCATGGTTGCCTTGTATGACGGATGGCCCGGAATCGTTTCAGTTCTGCAACATCGAATAGACCAAACAAATAATCAATAATTTGTAGTTTTTTCTCCCAGTGCTGATGAAAAGCTAAGTTCAATGACAGCAATTGCGTCGGCCAATCACAAACGGCACGCCCATTGTGGGTCACCAGCAATGAGTGGCAATCGGGAATCAAGGCCAAGGTGAAACTGATAAGCGGCCACTTAATTCTAGGAGAATGCGACCCAGCAATGCGGGCACAGTGGGTCAAATTAATGTATATACATACATATATTAGCTATAACTAAAATAGTAACAAGAGATAAATAAAATTCTAAACACTGCCTAAGGAAAATAATTTTAGAAATGATTTTAAGAGTATTATCCCTTGAAAAAATATACATTTTTTTCCCATTGTCCCCTGTTACTGTAGAAAGCATCGGATTAGGAATTACTGGCGCACACTCTTCCCTGGGACAATGACTGACAAGCGACGGACAGGTCTATTTGGAGATCTCCGCTATCCGGATTCCCAGCGAGGTGGTGTCCCACCAGTTGGAACTTGTCGCAGTTGGAATCATCATGCTGAAGCTGAGCCTGGTGGCCTGGTTACTTTGTTCGCTGGCCTGGCGCACCATGCCGACCGCCTGCCGTCAGACCCGACCCCCGCTGAGCATTCAACAGCTACTGGCCACCCAATTGCAGAGCTACATGGACACCAAGACACGTCCCTGCGAAAATTTCTATCAGTACGCCTGTGGCAACTGGCAGATTCAGCAAAAGGGGCAGGAGCCGGACCGGCAGCGGGACCGCGAGAGGGAGCCCGAGCACCTCCTGCCGAGCGACACACTGGGGGTCATCGAGTCGTCTCTGAATCAGCGGCTGGAACGGCTACTCCGTCGCGGCAACAACAGCTCCTCCGCTGAGGAGAGCTGCACCTTTGTAGAGCAGATGCGTCGCTACTACCGTTCCTGCAAGCGCCTGAAGCCCTACAACCTGAAGAAGTATTTGCTACAGCTACCACCCAGCAATCTCACCTACTGGCCGCTAGTGGGTCGCGGATGGCGGCGGGAAAACTTCGACTGGATCACAGCCCTCGGCCGTTTGCGTCTTTACGGATTAAATGGCGTCCTGTTGCGGGAGGATGTCATGCCGCGGTGGGATGACTCTCTCGCCTTTAGCATATATATTAATAAGCCGAGTCGCCAGGAGACGCAGCCCATGGGCGAGGGCGCCATCATCGAGCTTCTGCTGGACATCGGACAGACAAAGCGGGCGGCCAATGCCCTGGCGCGTTTGGTGGACGGCTTCGAGCATCAGTTGCACCGCCTGCAGGACATAGAAGACGACGAGGGACCGCGGGAGATGCAACTGGGCTACCTAGACACCTTTCTGCCTCAGTTCCGGTGGCTGGCGTTTATGCAACAGATTCGCGTGGATGTGGAAATCGATCTGCGCTCTACGCTGATCATCGAGAACATCCCCTATCTGAGAGCTCTTAGCGTCCTGGTCGATAGTCACATGCCCGATACCATCTGTAGTTACATCATGATCCGGTGGCTGGCCTTCCTCAAGCAGCAGGGTCCCGGCGAGATTGCGAGGGGGGAGTGCGTCGCCAGTATGAGGAGAGCCATGCCCCTGGCCAGCAGTTGGCTGATTGGACAGCACTTCTATGACCCGGACTCGGAACCCGAAATTACTTCTCTATTTGCCCGCCTAAAGCGACGCTTCAGCCAGATCCTGTCGGAGAACCGACTCAGACTGTCGCCCCCATTGGTTCACATCCTGCAACAAAAACTCCATGCCATGAGGGTGCAAATAGGGTTTATCCAACCAGATGAAATCGAGAAGGTGGAGCAGTACTACGAGGGGCTCGACCTGAACGACCACAACTTTTATGGGAACCAGTTGAACCTTCTGAGACTTCGTGTGGAAGCAACACACCGGCTGCTATCCGTGGAGGCGACAGGAAACTCCACGGACAGCAACTTGGATTACATGGCGGAGGTTTTAGATGGCAGCAGCTCTTCGCCGTTGTACGTGAGACCAAGAAACCTTGTCATGATACCCCATGGACTGCTCCAACTGCCGGTGTGGCACCGCAATATTTCGTCCTTGCAACAGCATGCCGTGCTGGGTTTCGCGCTGGCCCACGAGATGGCACACGGGTTCGACGTATCTGGAATCGACTACGACGCCCAGGGCAACATCATGGGTCCCGTGGAGGAGATCACCACCAGTAAGCAATTCCGCCACGGCATCCTTTGTATGCAGAAGCAAATGCCATCCGGTTCGCGGTGGCTCAACGAGAAGCTGGCCGACTACGAGGCTCTGCGACTGGTATACGAGTCCTTCTTTGGTCTTGGGGCAGGACGACGGGAGCCACGGGATCCCCTCTTGCCACAGTTTAGCCAAAGACAGCTATTCTTCATCAGCTTTGCGCAGTTCTTTTGCGGAAGGATACCAGTCCTGGGTCCACGAGGACAATTCCACTCACAGGTCAATTTGGAACACGCGGTCGACGAGCTGAGAGTTTTGGAAACATTGGCCAACTTTGAGGAGTTCTCCAGGGAATTTGGTTGCGAGAAAAGAACCAAGATGCAGGCCAGCCAACGATGTCGACTTTGGTGAGAAAGTATTTTAGTTTTTAAAGAATGAAATGATCTTGATCTGAACAAAATTATAAAACCTGACTAGACAATTTTGTAGAAAGTAAAACTTAAATAAATAAATGATACTGTTCTAAGAATATAGCTAAAATTCTATGGATTATTGAATGTGTTTTTCAAAGACTCAGACCCTAAAGGCCAATACTTACTTATACTTGGACGATTCTGTTATCATTTGTTCATTTTCGCGGGTCCAGTAGTTTAAGGAAGTCGGATTCGCCTCGATAAAGCATTCTAAGGTAATGTTGAAGCTAATTGGTATGCCCACCAGCTGATGGGGTATCCAGACCATGGGAGAAACTGAAAAGATACCTAATGGATACCCAACACCAAAAAAAAAAATCCAATGAGACTCACAATCAACGCTGACTTTGATCCTCTTGGAAACACTGGGTGGCACTCCATTGGAGGCGATGCAGAGGTAGGCCCCCATATGCAGACGCGATATCCTCTCCAGTTCCAGGGAGTCCGTCTCTAAATCACTCACTTTCGTAGAAAAAGTGGGATGTTGTAGGTCAAATTAAGACTATCTGGGGTCTTTTCTTACTCACCTTCGAGCGTTTTGTTGATTACGATTCTGTTCCCATCGTCTCGCTTCCATTTAATGCTTGGCTCGGGGCTGCCTTTCGCCTTGCAGCGCAGAGTCACGTTATCGCCCTCGCGAACTATTACGTCACTGGAGGTCAGGGCGTCATCTATATTGGGAGGTACTAGAAGCGAAAAAACACAGAGATTATCAGAAAAATGTAGTACCTTATTATTAAAGCTATTCTTTTAAATGTATGAAAAAAAATATCTTATCCCTGTCTATTTTTTGGCCATCTGCCCTTTGGCTGCTCTGAAAATAACTATTTCCCTCTATTTAGTTGAAAACTTAATGAATTGAAACATTTCACGGATTGTTGACTTCAAACCGCTGCAACCTTGCTACTTTTACTTTTACCAAGAGGTTAACTGGAAAACTTTGCTTTAAGGGGTTATATACAGTTGTACCGCGCAAAAATATGGATTTTTATCGATTTTTTTTTGACACCATAGAAAATATTTATGAAAAATGTTTTACCCACGTTGTTTAGTACATGTTTCTGGGTACTTAATTAAATTTTTTCATAATAAAATATTACATAACAAAAATGTTATAGCCGAATTCCCGAATCATCTGTTTTCGATGGTGTCTTGCGGTGGACATGATTTCTCGAAAACGGTTCATCCGAAATCCAAAATTCAAAAAAGTTTAGTTAGTATATTGTATTGTCTAGTCAATGAACGAGGGATTTTTAAAAATTTTGATTAAAAAAAATGGCGACGTTTTTAACAAAAATGTACTTTTTCAACGTATAAGATTTTCGTTTTTGTGCTTTAAAAAGGAGTTTTCAAAAATTGAAAATCCCTCGTTCACGGACTAGCTAATATCATAATAAATAAGTGGTCAAAATTTGGTGTTGATCGGATTAGTAGTTTTTAGTAATCGTGTCCACCGCAAAAGCAATTTCCCAAAAAAGATTCTGAGATAATCGCGTTTAAAGTTTCAAGTTTGTTCAAGTTTTATATGCAGATAGTGCGCTATAAATAGCTACAGCTTCTGTTCCAATGCTCCGATCGTTATGAATTTTTGTGAGAGTATTCCCAATAGAATATACTTAAAGAATATGCAATAAAAAAAAAATCGATTTTTTCATATATCACAACTGTATATAACCCCTTAAGGCTAATTAGCAATGCCACCTCTTCTTCAGTTAATGTCACCATTTCAATCGATAAGAAAAACTTGAATAAAACTATCATCTGTCTTTCGTTTCCCAGGCAGATTCTTTATTCGAGGAAATCATTAAACTGACAGAGAAAATCTTTTCATTTTGTCGCTAAAGCCGAGGGCAAATCTTTAATGAAAAATCTATGCAAATCACAAAAAAGGGACGAAAGGATATTGAAAAGGGAAGACATATGGAGTGATGACCTGACGGTCAAAGCTTCCTCGGTGACTGCAGTTACCTCAAAATCTGCCTCATTTCATATTCCTTACGCTTTCGGTAATCTAAACGCCTCGTCTGCGACTTTTTCAATGGACCTGGTCAAAATCCTGGCTAACTGCCGAGAGTCACGTATCCTGGGCGTTTAAAGCCACTGCCGACAGACATCCCCATACCTTCATGTCTTTGGGCAGACATTTAAGGCATTAGCTCTCACGTTGAAAATATTTTAAATTAATTGCAGTTTATTGAAGAACTGAATGAGCCGAATGAAATCTTGAGGTTCAGCGTAATTGGTAAGCTTTAACCTGTACGGTTGGCAGGTCCTTCTCGTTCTATCCTTTCCTTTGGACATCCCCGAAGTAAACTTTTTGCACGCCAGAGAAAAAAGTGTAATTAAAAGGCAAAACTGCTGTAAACTTTTGTCTTTATACTTTTTCTTTCTTATATACCCAATAATGACCAAAAAGTTTTCGCCCAAACGATATTTTTTTTCTATGCTATTAATAAACGCTTGATGTGCTAATCGCAGGACAAACTGGGAAGGACCCAACAAGAAAGGAAGCTCTATGGCCCTGGCTAGAGAACTAGCCCTTCAGCATATGTGTCCCTCTACTTCTGATATATTAGTTTTTCTTTATTGATGTTTACCACAGCTGGCCACTGTAATTGACAAAAGTTTTCCTCGGTTTTTATGTTTGTGTAAAATTTAATTATTTGTAATTATGGTTGGAGTTTTCAGCATAAATGGTTTTCTAAAATTTGGCTAAAAAAAGATAGAACTAAAAGATCCAACCTTATAACATTAGCGTAAAGAAAAGTCCATTAAAAAAATATGTAAACATATTATGTTGTTGATATTTATAGAGCACAAAAGAAAACTATTTACATTTTGGAATAATATCAAGAATATACAAAGATAATGTTTCTAGAAAGTCAATAAACTAAATCCTCCGTTGTGTCTTTACTTGATCTTTGGTTTACCAGAGCCTGCACGCATCGGGACTGGGTCTACGACAACCGAAGGCTCTGTCGAACGGACTGAAGCCGCTCAGCATTTGGGCCAATCTTAGCTTATCATCGTCATGTTCAAGAAACATTGTTGCGGGTCCATCGCCACAGAAGAACTGAGCCAGGCTAAGGAAAAATATCTTCTCCTGGGACATATGGTTGAATTCCCTGGGGCTGATCTGGAAGGGGCTGCCAGTTTCGTTGCTAAAGTAAGTGCCATACGCCAGATGAAGTCCGGTAATGTCCGCCAAACGCTCATTTATATACTCTGTCTTATTGCGATTCATGCACTCCATTTCCTCCTGGAACCGTGGGGATTCGAATATTTCCGTGGCCGATAGATCCGCGTTTCCTTGAATGTTGAAGAAAATGCCGTCCCCATCGATGGCGTGTGTGAGTTCGTGGGCAAGGACAAAGCCCATTAGGCTATATTTGAACACATTGTGACTTTCGGGTACAAACAGTGGCTCCTGGAATATGCCGAAGGGCATAATGACCTGGTTTTCGCGTATTATGTAGTATGGACCGGAGCTCATCACAGTGTCCGGGTCGCTTGTGTAAAAATATTCATCGACAGTTGGCGCCCGAGAGTTTAACTGTTCGATCGACTTGCGGGTTTTGAACGCCAAAAGATTGAGGTGCTCCCTAATGTAGTCCTTGTCGACTGCCGGCATCTCCAGGCTCTCAAAATACTTTTCAGCAAATGCTCGCAGGTCTGGGGTCTTGGGCACATTTCCGATATTGATCGATATAGCCTTTACTTTGTTGGAGACGGTTCGACGTTGTTGCGCTGTTAATCGAAGGCGATTATGATCTATAAGCTTGAGGAGCCTCCGGCGTAGATGATCAAAAAGAGTTTCAGTTTCATGGGTGTACCTCTGAAGGGTTTCGGGGCTAAAGAATCGATATTTATGAATGAAATTCGTAGCCAGACTCATGCTGCGGCGCACATCTTTAATGCACTCGATAGGATCGCTGTCCTCCATGCTGTTGCCCGTCAGGTGTATGATAAAACGGGTCATTATATAATTAGCCAACAACTCCTTATCGGTAGCATCTATTAGTCTCTTAAGAGCCCGAAAGTATCGTAAATTCTTAACTTGAACTTTAGTGCGTTGCGAAACCGGGTGGCCGACTATTATTTCATAAAACTTCCTCCATTCTAGTCTAGTTAAGGTTTCAAGTCGACTCAAAGCCATAAATTGAAGTTCCTCTTCGTCGTCGTCATTTTCTTCAGTGAGTTTCTGAATCGAGTTCTCTAGTTTCCTCATCTTGCGCATTAAAGGGAAGATAGAATATCGCTGGACACCTAAACTTAAAAGAGTGGCGAAGGTCTCCACAAATCCTTTTATGTGGTCATTTTCACCCGTAAAGGTGGGCATGCCGATATCCACAATAAACTCCCTGCTGTTTTCTAGGTTTTGTGTCACTATTGTGCTGATCAATACGTTGCTGAGGCCGTAGCGGTGTAAACGACCCAAGGTTTCCATCCAATTGAACTTCTCCTTGGGCCAGGGTCTTCCGGCAAGACGAAACTGGGGCCATGACAGGTCCTCATCTGGCGGCACCAGACTCAGATAACGTTGGAGTTTGCGCGTCGTCTCCGGAGCATCTCGGCAGTTGAGGTAGAAGCGCAAAACCTTTGCCTCCAAGCTGGAGCCATTAAATCCGGGTGCTTCAGAACTCTTCTCCAGCTCCCCCATCACCTGAACGAACTTTTGATTCAATTGATGGTCCAGCATCTGAGTGATTTCAGAGAACGGATCTTCAGCGTGCCTAGTAGGATACTTTCCGCAGGCATATTGGGGATAATCGTCGCAGGGATCGGCCTCCTCAAGAATGTAACCGCGAACGAAGTCCAGGAGTTTTGCATTTGGATTTGAATCTCTCGGCACTGTAGCTGATGCCACAATGGAAACAAGCAAAGAATACAGAATCCACATTATCGTGGAAAGACAACTGATCTGAACGCCTCGGTTTACGCGAATGTTTCCAATAAACATGTTCGCTTATACAAAAAAATAATATAATAAACACGAAGAAAAGCTTTAACTGATAACATATATACACATATACTACATAGAGTATTTTTTACTTTTAATTAACTGCGACCCAACAGTTCAAATCTTACCTATGTGTTGATGATTTATTATCATTATTTTGTTCTTTGGGTTTTCCGAATCTTAACACAATGAAATCCTATCTGACCCTACCAGGTATAGACATATAATCATGATGTGTGTGTCATGTTTCAGCGCTTTCCTGGCTTTTTCAACTACACAAGAGACAAAAGTTGCTACAACAAACTAAATTATTCGTTTAGACCTATACCATCCGACAAAAAAAATTGGATTTTATTAATTTGTGAGCCCAGGCGCGTCTCTATGTCCCCATACTGTCCAGCTCGGAACTGCCCGTGTAACTTTCCTCAGTGTCATTTCGTGTTTGTCTGCGCAATATGCGGTAATTGGTGGCTGGATGGGAGCGAGTGGGAGTCCTCGGTCCCTCGGGTGCAGCCTAAATTGTGAAATGGCCGTCGAGCGACAACACCAGGCAGCAGGCATCGCTGTGCACATTTAAATGCATTTTTGGTGCGTTGCCCATAAATTCAGGCGCATTTAATGTTTGTTTTTGCATACTCAAGCCGCAAAATCGTGTTTCCCTTCGTATTGTTTGTGCCATTTATTCCATTTGTTGGACTCTGTGCCTCGCATTTGAGTCAGCAAATTAAATTCACAAATGTTTAACCATCATTCCCCGAAATACATACATATATATTTATTTATTTACTCATTAGTCTGGCGACTCTCTAATTTTTATTCACATCATAGGTCATTTGTATACAAAATTTGAGAGTTTTTTGAGGATTTTTGTAGTTTGTATTCTAATCTCCTAATGGAAAATACGTTTTGGCGCCATCTTGAAATTAAAATGGCGCTGTGACAAAAAGTAAGCCTAAAACTAGGCAACAGAATATTATAAATGGTTTCAAAAGAAGCTGGATATTGTTCATACGCCCCGTTTCTATTCTGTAGTTTCTATAAATCATTTTTAAATAAATATGAAATAACATGTTTTCTATTGTTTCAAATACATATTTTATTTTTACCCCCTATCCTTATTCATATCTAGAAGAAAAATGCTTTTGGGCAACACTATAATACCCAACAAGAATATAAAAACTTTAGTTATATATAAGGCCTCAAAAGCATCACGCGTTCTGGCAATTTGATGCGGCGTGACCAAAAACGGCAGCAACTGTTTCCCGAATCCATTTTTTATAAGAGACGCCGGCATTTTTGCATTTTTTTCCAAACAAACATGTTATCTAGGAATATTAAGAGAGAATTTTTAACTTATATCTACTATATATTGCCTGAGATAAATAAAATTTAATTTAACTAACATTCAAAATCTATTTTTTAGACATATAATTACTTGCAACTGGCATTAGTCCTTCCACCATTGGCAGATTCTGTGCCTGATATGTAATTAAATGCATCTATATAAAATATATATATACCTCCTCCTTCAAGCCAAACTCAAAATTATATGGTTCAATGTATCGGGATATCCAAATGGTAATTATATTTAATACGTATGGGTTTTTAATGACAGAGGCAGTCTAGCTAATAATGGCTAAGATTGAGTAAAGCAATCCAAGACTTACCAACAACTTTAACGAATCCGTATTGGGTCTTGGCCGTCACCGTATTTATCTGGCACATGTACCGGCCCTTGTCCTCCTCCTGGACATTGTTGATATGCAGGAACCAGGTGCGATGCTTGTCGTGCTTATCGTGAGTTACACTAATCCTCGGATTACGGGTTATCACATGGTTGTGCACGGTGAGAATGGCCGATTGCTCGAAATGCATCCACGCCACCTGAAAAAAACCAAAAGAATCTTAATCTTTCAGCTCTACATACATGCATAGCTTTACATATATATACATATAAACGAATATGTGTAAAAATTTGATTGATATGGTAGAGTTACCACAAAAAGCCCATTTATTATTTGAGCTGATGACAGGATGTCATCGCTTTTATTGGCCAAACTTGGGGCCATCATCATAAATTCCTATGAAGGATTAACGAGCATACTGGCCAAAAGTTTGGCCGCATGTGTAACCAGATGTCGCAGAAACTTTCGACCATGTGCGTCATGGGCTAAACATTTTTCGCCTCTCCTCCGTTTATGCAACACAAGTATTTTCACATTTTTTCCTGCGGCTTGCAGAATGTGGGGTGCCGACATACAGAAGAAAAAAAAACCCAATTTATGCAAATTTAAGCCCCCAACGCATTGACGGAAACGTGCTAAATGTAAGACACAAAGAGCGAAAGAACCAAAATGGAAAATGTGTTGTTTTGATGCCATTTCAATGATAAATTTCATCAGAGTGGCAGGGTGAACGCCAAGTAGTATATTGCCCTAGCCGAAAAGGGCTCCGAGCTGAGCTAATGGAATCTACGAGGCGAGGAGCTGCAACTATCAAAATACAGAATATATCAGCCGGGACAGAGTGGGGGGATAGTGCTGGGCGAACGTGGACTGATATCGGATAATTTTTCAATGTCTTCCATTGAAAACGTGCAACCGGATAGTCGCGAAACGGAGACAAAGCCGAAAGGCAATCAAGTTTAGTTTATTTTACATTTGGATATTCTCTACTCTACTGCCATATTAAAATTCTACCCTTAAATTCAATAATGGGGAAGAAATTAATTCCAGGAAGCTAGACACAGCAATTAATTTCCAGTTTTTAATCAGGTACCTAGAAATTGAATAAAATTATAAAGCTTTGCCTAGGAACTGATATCCTTTTAAACCGCCTATCACCAAAGTCTCCATTAAAATTCTAAATGAAGTCATAAAATTCCAAAAACTCGAAAAAAAGAGGCTTTAAAAAAACTTGTACCCAAGAACAAAAATGTACACTTTTTATTATGCTTGAAAATGTTTATGCTTTTGTTTAGAGAGGCAGGGGAGGAGGACACAGAGGGTGCCATCAGAAAGGAGAAGGGGTCCTGTAAACAACAATATAAACAAACTATACTGCCAATGTTTTTAGTACGCCTCCCTCTGTCGTAGTCTTAAATGTTTTTGTAGGCGTTGAAAATTGAAACACAAACAAGGACACGACCATGATTTCAGGAAGTGTATCGTGGTAGAGCCCTGCCAAATGAAAAGCTGCTAGCTTAACATTTACAATTTAAGCGTAAACGTGGGAAAAAGTATGTCTAAGAACTACGCGAGTTAATTTCCACGCACCTCAAATATTTGTATAAACGCCCAGGGCAAAAAAAAGGACTCCAAGGCATTAACATGATAGACGAAGTCTAGATGCCCTCACCTCTCTACCTGGATTTCTAAGAAGGTCCTCCTCTAAAACCTGAGATCTTGATTCTATTAAGTATCCTTGACACTCTTCAATTAAATGCTTTAATAGGAAATTTTAATTGTGAAAAAGACAAGCTAGTTGGCTGGTAAAGTTGGCCATGCTCCTGAGAGGGCTATAAAAATCAATTCCAATCTGGTGGTTTGGATGGGAAATTGCGGTGGTGGCTTGCAGGGCTGGGGAAAGTATGTGGAGTCCCACCCGTCGGCTACGCAACTATTTTGCATGCAAAGTCACGTTTTATTGTAGCTACGAGCTCTTCCCGTCGGTGGTGCTGGTTAACTTTTAAGCTTACCTGAGGCCAATGAGGAGAAAAACGGCAGATGAATGAACGAGCGACGGCATACAGCGGGATATATAGAGTTCGAGGGGCCGAAGGGCCGGACATGCCGAACTTAAGGGTCATAAAAATTATTACGAGCACCACATAACATGCGACAGGGCAGAATAAAGAGTCGACTACGTATAATACACCAGGAAAAACGGCTCCAAAGAAATGACGAAAGGCGTGTCAACATCAAAATTTATTCACGTTTCGGTCTCACGAACATTAGGGAAATTCAATTGCATGCAAATTTAAATTGCTGGCATTCCCATAGAGCGTCCAGAATGGATCCCAAAGTGTCAGTGGGTGGGACTGTCTCGGCATATCATCCTCAGAAAATATGCACCAAGGCAATGAATATTGAGAAAATCTTTCTGTTGACACTTCCAGGAACCCTTTTGAAATAAACTTACCTTATAAGAGCCTAGATTCTTGACGGAACAAGCCAGTTTAACATTGCGACCCGCGGGAACCGTAATATTCTCGATGACATCCGTAAATTCTGGGTCCTCGCTAATGGCTGTAATGAAAATAATAAAAAGTGATTAGTTCTTCGTATGAAATTGATCCTGTGAGGACTATGTAGTTTTTAACCAAAAATCCTTTGACCTCGATTCAAATACAAGCCTCAGAATGAGCGCTCGATCCATAAATCATAATTAAACTGGTATACGAATGAATATTCAGAATGGATTCGTAGTCGAGCCCACTTTTGGATCTCAGTTTAGCCTTCTGTGAAATTGCATTTCCTTGCATTGTTGCAGATACTTTTGGGTCGTTTGTAAAAGTGCCCTGTTATTGCTTTTGTCCACGGGGGTGCCACCAGTTCCCGCCGGAGGCTGTTCACTTCGGTTCTGTTCTGCTTCAAAGGTGATAAACGTTGTGCGAAAAGTTTTCAGAAATCGACGAATTTTAAACAAATGGAGAGCTATTCAAGGGATTTTTTTCCAAAAAATTATTAACAAAAGATAGAGTACAACAGAAATGCCTGAAAGCCAACATTTTTCCACAGCTATGCCTGAAGCGCGTGTTTAACTTTAAGCGCGACTTTACCCTGATTTTTTTAAAACAATTTTGCAATAATTTTTTTCTTAAAACAGGGACCATTTCGTAAAAAATCAATATACGTAAAAAAAACCTACGTGACTCTTTTGGTGCTGGTTGTGTTGGTCATTTATATTTTAAAAGAAATGCTCCCATTTTGGTTAAAAAAAAACGGTTTAAATTTTCTTTTTTTTATACATTTTATAAATTTTATTTGTAGTTCTCTTCACATCAGTTCCTGGCACTTGGCCTTTATCATATTGAAGGTAACACTGCCAACATTTTGTGCTGCATTGCTGAGGAGTTCGAATATGTGGTGGCTGCGTTCCCCTTCCTCCATGGTGCGCTCGTGCAGACGTCGCAGGGAGTCGGAGTAGGCCTGGTACTTGGCCTCGCTCTCCGTGTCCAGAATAAAGTTCTGGTATAGCTGTTGCACGTCGTAGAGTTGGCGGGAAGTGCCATCGTACAGCAGGTTAGGCAACTGTGGCAGCATCTGAGCCCAGTGCATGTGCACCAGCTCTAAGAACTCAAAGTTGCTGAAGAGGAAAATGACGAATAGATCCAGTCCCTTGGCCTGCAGTTTGGCCATCAGCTGCTCTGTGAGATGGTGCTCCGGGTTGGAGGACTCCTGGAGCTGTTCGTAGTCGGTGTCTAGATGGAGTTTCAGATACGCGTACACCTTCTGCCGCTTCTCGAAGAAGTCCTGAGTGGCCAGCATAGTATCCAAATGGTTCAGTACATTCCTCAGCCGGGAGCTGCTGTTAGACAGATCGGCGTGGTCCCCATCCATGATATCCTGAATCAGACCGCGTAGTATTTGTAGATAATTGTTGATGATTTCGGCACCAGAAACCTTGACCTTCTCGTACAATTGCAATCCAAACTGGTTGAGGTCCATGTCGGTGGAGTTGGCATCGCTTCCCCTTGTCAAGTTCAACTGCTCCAGTGCTGCTCCAATGGTTTGCTCGTTGATGTACCGACTCCTGCTCAAGGGCACTGGACGCTGGAATTGCTGGCACAGTCGGTGGAGTCGGAGCTGACGGATCTCCTGGGCACTGGCATCCCTGGCCGCTCTCAGAGTGGATTTAAGGCGGTTGAGGAATATCAAACTCCTGAGCACGGATGTGTGCTCCAGATCCGTGTCCAGATGATGCTCAGCGTCCAGCAGCTGCTTAACAAGTGTCATTTTTGTCTGCAAGTTCTGTGAGGAGCGGGCAGCTTTCAAATCTTTAGTGTAGTTTTCATTCTTCGGATTGTGCTCCAGTTGGGTCAGGTAATCGTTGAGGCTTTGCTCGGCCCGCTGCTCGACAAAGTCGGTCACTTCGCGCAGAAAATCAAGTTGAAAGTCCTTGGCCCCAAGGGACAGCAATAAAGTTGCAGCATTCAGCCGCGCAAGACACAAGAAAATAAAAATCAGACACTTCTCAAACATCTTCGGGGTGAAACTGGACTGAGGCCGGAGATGTCTGATTGAGAGACTGCTACTTACGAACTATATACTATATATACTATAGTGAGTATAAACAACGATGTCTGATTAGACGCGTAGGATGGGTAGGCGTATCGTCGGGGGTCAGGCTTTGAGTCGCAGAACCTCCTGATATGGCAGTTTCAATTCAGTTCTCTTCCACTTTTAGTTTCGCTCGGCGATTAATGCAACTTTTTCATAAAATTATTAAAAGCTGCAGCAATTTTTCAAATTGAAATGTGTCGTAATAAATAATTTTATGAAACTGCAATTGAATCAAGTCGTTGGGAAACATATTCCAGGCGAATATAGGCAATATCACGTAAAAACCCTTTTTCCCCATGAAAAAATGAAAGTAAGTTACGAATTCAATTAGTGTTGGCTTTGAGCAGAGGCTTTAATAATTTTTTTCAGAAAAAATATGAATAACCAAAAGTTCTGAAAGGTAAACTGTAGGAAACCGTTTCAATTGTGTTGAAAAATAATAAATAATAGTTTTAAAGCAGTACTTTTCATCCATCATGAAGCAATTTGAATTAAATGATAAATTAATTGAAATTCAATATTCACTTTTACTGCCACACCATTTCGTATAATTTACTCCATTTAAAAGAGCTTGAGAAGTGGATTGATAATAAACTCCCACTTTCAAATGAAACAATCTATTTTTCTTCCTTCAAGCAAAGAGCCTCCATTTTTTATACAATTTTTTCAGGTCATTCAGAGCACTCTGCTTGAAGTGAAGCCATCCTTTCATGTATAGACACTAGAAGGAACCGTATTAAAGTGGATACTAGATTTTAAGACACAAGGCCAGGTGCATGGGGAAAGTTCAATCAAGCAAATGCAATGCCAATTGCAGGCAAAAGCACAAAATACAAAGATTGAAACGGGCATTGGCAGTCTGACTGAGTGACATGCATGTGTTTTTGTTGCAGTTGCTGTTCAGTTCTTTGTCACTCCTGGTTATAGGCAGGCAATTGCCTATGCAAGTGGGTTGTTTATAAAGTTTTATTATTATTATACAGAAAACACTCGAAATAAAACTTCAAAATCAATGAAATAAATAGTAAAAAAATACAGACAACAATGATTGAGTTTCTATTCTTGTAAAGTACGAGATATTAATGTATCTCGGTTAAGAATTTTCTACACAACCCTCGCCAACTGCCTGCTCATGAAGTATGGTGTGCCTTGTGTTTGTTCTGGAGTATTTGTAAGCAAAAGCAAAGTCAGAAACTACTCAGGCGGAAATGCGCATAACTGCATCTCAGCCGCAACACTCACCACTCAACCCAACACCACCCACACCCACGCTCACACCCACAGGCACCTCCAGCCATCCACATGTGCACAAAAGCAGCCTAACTCACACAAACGGAAGAGTCTAAGAAGCCGTCCACTGACCAAAAGGCTGGGTACATGGGACTCCATCAAACACTAAGTGCTGCTTTATTAACTAAGAGTCAACAACAGCTGATGACGCTTCTATGCGCTGCACATGGACACTGGCCAGACCACCAAGGACATTTACCTCCTCAGATGCCTCCTCTTAATTATGCACTTTGTGAGGCAAGTTTCCGGTATGTATAGACCCGATTTTGCTATGCGTACTAGATAATTACGATGTCCTAATGGCATTAGGTACTACACTTCATAGACTAGCTTTAAAGATTGATTTACGATTGATCTACGACAGTGGGAGAATTTAAAAGAAATAGTAATAACAAACTTAGTCTGTTAATATTGATATTTTATAAAACATTAACCATTCAAGTCACAAAACCCCAATCAAACGCTATAAAATATATACTTAAAGGAAAAAACCTGATTATATAAATCGTGCCTGACTCTGGCCCTTCTCCTTTTTTTCCCCAACATGCTTAGTAGCATGAGGCCCAGATACAAAGCACAAAAGTAAACTGTCTGTGAAATCTCAGACTCTGTTGGTTGCATTCAACTTGCACCAGAACAGCACACAACACAATGGGAAATGTGAAAAGTGGAAAATTCATTTTCGCTGGCTAGCCCAGAAGCATGGTAGCACACCCAGGGCAAAACGCATATGTACAGGAAAAAATAGCGATAACTCAAATTGAATGCCAATAAAGTAACATATGCGACCCCTCAGGCATCAGGAATGATTCAGCCCGGCATAGTTAAACACACACTCGGATCTGGACATTTTTGTGAGCTAGGACCCTAACAAGGCTTGACTACTTGAAGGACACTCACCCCCAGGTCCCCCCAAATATGCCACCATGGCCCGGAAACAAGTCGAATCGAAACGCCAGGAGCTAAACTAACGAACTTCTTTTATTTATCTGCCAACGAGGCGGCATCGAAAGTAATGCCAATCCGAATAATAAACCATATGAGGGGTATTTTTTGCCACCCCAGGCTGATCTGTCAACTGTATTGGGCACAGACTTGTATCTAGGACATGGTCAAAAATTATTTGTTTATTTTAAAAGAAGCTAAATATTAAATGTAGAAGGAAACTACTTGAGAAAGCATAAATCTTGAAAGGTATCTCGTTTGGTCCAAAAAGTATCACCATGGTTCCCAGCACCTTTTTCTTTTTATTTTTCTTTAAGGAAATCTATCCCATTTCACATGCAAGGCTACGTATTTGTTTATGCAACTTGGAAATCGACCTATGGACATTTTTTCGGAATAATATTTGGTTTGCTGAGCACATCATTCGACAGTTTCTCCCAATTTTATTCAAATATTTTATTTTTATCTTGCCATCCAACTGTTTACTCTACGTGTTTAATTACACAAAAAAGCATTTTGTTTGCAGCAAGTTGCAAGTTGCAAGTGCAGCAGTAGCAGAAGCAGCATCATGGAGTACCACAGTGCTTGTGGCATAATTCACAGAGACAGGCACTTGCAGCAGCCAGAGCATACTTTTCGGCGCCCGAAGGGCAGAGAATAGCCCGGATCGGGCCAAAAGTTGCCGGAGTAAGCGTGTGCCGTATGATTAGCGCGATTTAGCGTGCGAACTTAAAGATTCCGGACTACGCTCCGTAGCAACGTAATGGCTAATTAGCGTCGGAGCTGAAAAGTTTTCATTGCTATTGCTAACCCCGGGGCCCGGGCAGACAAAACCATCAGCAAACAAACAGACACAAGGCCAACTCAATGGGCAACTTAAAGCTAGAAATTTGTTATGCTTTCTGGGTTCTCTTTTTTCTCAGCGATTTTAGCATCAGGTGCGGGTTGCCGGTTGCTGGTTTCAGGTTGCAGTTTTGAAGGGGCACCCACCCAGAGGGCTAGGATAAGGGGACAGGATGCCGTATGGACGACAACTGTTCGTGGCATGCAAAGCGCGATAATTGACCCGCAAGCGAACAAGTGAGAAGGATCTCCCTTTCAGAGTGTCCGCCTGTGTGAGTTGGCCATGCAACTGTGCCATAACTTTTGCTTTGATAAAGGACCTTGGCGCTCAGTTGATTCAAGTCCTTTAAGCGGCAGCCGGGCGTGCTCCCAGCTATATGGCACAGAAACCCACAAAAATAACACAACATTTTTGGATCAAGGCACTAGCACCCTGCCACATATTCCAGGCCATGTGTTGGGTTCCCCTTCACTTTAAACCACTTGTGAATATTTAAGACTACTTGTTTATTTAATTTGCATTTAAAATATAATTAATTTAATAATTAATTAGAAGAAGGGCAACATAGGTATATTAAGTCGGCTAGACGATCAGCAAAATAACACTGATGATAGATATTTCATGACAACTATTTAGAGAGCAGATCTGGAAGTTTATTACTCATACGCAGTGTTGCTCAAGTTCGTGTCAAGTTCGTCAGAAAGTGTTCATCGCCATGAAACAGACACCTCCAATCTAGTGAAGGTATTCAAATTCATGGTCATCAACCACACCTGAGTAGATTTCACCAAGTTTGTCTATCCAGGTGTCTGTCTGTCTGCTTTATATAAACTAGAGCTTTGTTTTTGGAGCTGTGGAGTTAAAAACTTTACTCATTCCTGCTCCATTCAAAATGGAAGCTAAAAATATAGACCTTGGGGAATCAGACACACTAGCTTCAGTACACAATTTCTCATAAAATACGTGTATGATGCCATTTACTCAAAAACTCAACAACATAAAATAAATCCTTCCTACATAACATAACATAATTATATAACAACAAAAATGAATAAAATTCAAAACAAAAAAGTTTGCAAACCGAGCAAAATGTTTTGCACAGCGGTAGAGGATTATAAATCCCAAATAATTTCCATTACTGGTTAAATATCAAAACATTTCCGTTTCGTTTATTGGTGTGGATCCATTTTATTAGGCGTAAAAAATACATTTAAATGTTAACACGCCATTTAAGCACAAATTTGCACCGAGCAGTTGCTTACAGACTGGCGTCGGGAAAACGGAACAAAAAAAGGGAAAACCAGAAAACTGTGGCCTGCCAACAGGCGCCCGGCGTGCGTTTTTTCCGGCTCTTGGCTGGCAATGGCAGCCATGGCCGGCGAGGGGATGGGCTGGCTGCACAGAAGTATGCTACTCGACTATAAGATACCCGATACTCTTGATTTACTCAAATAAACAAAAAGGACAAAGTAGCTGGGCTTTTAAAAAGTACGATGCCCGAAGCGTTGATACAAATTGTGATAAACACCTTATCTTCTTTCTTTCAGTTTACAATCCGACAAATTCCTTTCAGGAAAATATTTTGTTTAGACCGCTCTTTGGAAGAAAAGTTACATACTTTCGCACTAATACAATATATCCTTGGCTGAACCAAGTATCGTGGCAACAAGAAAGTAGGAAGCACAGGAAAAAAAATTTGTCTGAAATTTATTGACGAAAACAAAGTCAAGTGCTGAGTGCTGAACGCCCGAGTCCCAGACGCAGATTGCGGCCACAGAGCCGAAGGATGAGGATGCTGTTGGAGGATGGGGTTCATCCATGTGGGAACTAGTCCAGTCTCCATGTGTTTACGAGCTGAGATAAGCTTAAGCAGCCCTGGACCCAACCCCCAAGAACGCCATTAAGTACGCCACACGTTTCTCACTGCAATGTCGCCGAAGACCATCTGACCGGGAAGCAGAACCAACTATAAATCTATCATGTTTACGTCTGGCTTGATGAGCGTGGGCCAAAACCAAGAGGGAATCCCCACGCCCACTCCCACTTCATGGCTTCTATGTTCGGGATGCTTATACGCTCGAGCACAATTTGTTTATGCAAGTCGAGTGCGGCTGCTAGTTGGCAAAACGTTGCTTGAATTATGGCTTTGTTTATCCCGAGTCGCCCAAGACGGAAAATACAAATACTCGTACTATTCCGTTCCAGAAAGAAGGGTTCGAAGTTTTCCGTATCGCAGACAAAACAAAGCCAAGGGGAAAATTTTGGAAAGCACTGCATCGAGTATGACACAGCAGTTATTTTATTCTCAGCAGGCGTGATATGATACGGTATCGTAACATTTTATTTTATTTGGCCTTCTCTTATTGATATTGGTTGTCGTTCAGATTTTATCATAATAAAGATTAAGGAGCTGGGACCATTTTTTTTATCCCACAGACATTTACATTTTATTATCAGTCTTTTATGAAACTCTTCTTTTTGGGCTTATTTAGAATTAGAATCCTAGTCTTAGACAAAGTCCTAGTTGTTTTTTAATGCCTGTTGCATTATTTACTTTAAAATTAGTTACATAGTTACAAGAAAATACATTTTGTAGCTTATTGATTTAGTTGCCTTGGCCCCAACGAGTTTGACACTTTTGTTTTGGCACTTTGACAAGCCACCCAGTAAAAAGTTGCACCTGAAATATTTATGAAAATGTTTCTGACACGTTTTTAATAAGCTTCACCAACTTCATGATGCTGTTCGGCTGGCACTTTTTAGACTGGCTTGCCTGCACTGACTGCGTTTGACAATTCGTGTTGTTAATTTAATTAAAGTCGTCGATTGTGGTCGTGAAGAACTCCGTCAGGCCAGCCACAAAGGTTCCTGTGTGTGGCAGGCTTCACCAGAAAATTTCCAAGAAAAATATTTCAGACGACGAACGTCGAATGAACAACGGCAAACGTCACCGCCGAACTTTGTGCGGTTGAGAAAGGTCAGCCGAGATGCCAGTAACAGGTTGTGTTAATTAACCGATGGCGTCAGGGGGAAGGGGGTTTATTTTTGGTCAATAGAAAATGTCATAAATATTAAAGGTTTCCGAATATCAATAAATTTCATGCACCCTAAAATTAAATCAACAAATAACTTAAAGTAGCAATAAGTCTGGGGTCCTGTAAACCTTTTCTTTTTGGACAGAAGAGTCGTAAAACACTTTGGTGCTTTCCCATAAATTAATTTGGCGCCAACTTCGCATTAAGCCGCTTATTCTTTTTATCCCCTGCACTTAACTTCATAAAGAGCAGAGGACCCGTACATAAGCAAGGCAAATAAAAAGCAATGGCGATGTCGAAATGTCTGTCAGAAAAAATTCAATTTATCAAGTGTCTGTCTGAAAGGTTGAATGTGTGTATTATAAGCTCAATAAAAATTACACTTAATTTTGGTTTTCCTCCTGAACGCGAAAAGTGACACTAACAACACTAATTGAAGAAAATACAACTTTTCTTGTGTGTAAGAATAATCTGTTTCGTTACTACTCTAGTATTAAAGGTTTCTATGGTTTCGTCACCCTGCCCAAAGGTTTTTAAGCTTTAAATACCTTATTTTTAGAGATACGAAAATTTTTCCAAGAAAACTCTCACTAAGCATAAAAATAAAATGAATTTTGGAAACATTAAGTGGGTATCTCGAATACCCAACGAGCGCAGTTCTTATCTACCTTGATTAGCAATTAGCACGCGTTCGTGTCTTCTGTGGGTCAGCGAACATTGAGTTATTGGATGAAGGTCAGTCAGATGTGGGCAATATTCTGTATCCAATGGCCAAAAGGGGGCGGGTTGGGGCGGTCCAGTCTGCGCATCCCGCATGGATGTCAGGCCGAGATTAATAATGTGCCTCCAGAGTCGACCTGGCCATCCTTATTATTTTGGAATGGGTTCAGCTTGTGGCCCTTTACCTTTCGATGAGGGCGTGATGCTACCACCACTTTGTGCACTCACATAAATCAAGGAGATTATCAGTTGGCCATAGCCGTTTCGGGGATTTCCATATAATATGTAGATGACATGAGTCTTATTTTCCCTGCGATGGAAATTCTATGAAAAGGACAGCTCTTTAAAGCTACCCGATTGATATTTCCCTTTAACAAAAGCGACCAATTTGTTGACAATTCATTATGTCACGTAAACAATGTATAAAGAAACAATATTTATGGTTATATTCAATTATTGGACTTCCCATATTGGACAACCATTTTTCCTTTGAAACAATATTTTCTCATAAATATCTCTTTTAAGCTTCTTTCCTTTTTAACATACTCATGAGTGGTACTTATGATATAGTTGGGGTTCTTAACCACGTTAATATATTATATTTAACATTTTTTTTCAGGTCCATAAAAGGTTTACCTTAAACGGTTCGCATATGGATTATCTTTCATTTTGAATCGAATCTAAAAATAAATTATTTTTTTTTATTTTTTGTCAAATTTTTCCTTCGAAAAGATGAAAATGCATGGGAGGACACTTCGACCCCTAGCAAACGCCATATCTTTGGCAATACCCACCAGATTCTTAAGCGGGATACCTTATACGATTTGTACACTGATTCTCCGTCATTCTGCATCAAAATCCAGACACAAAATATTTTTGAGATTTTTTGTCAAATTTTCTGGAGGGTCCCCTTCGAAAATGATGAAAATGCATGGGAAGACACTTCGACCCCTAGCGAATGCCATATCTTTGGCAATACCTATCAGACTCTTAAGCAGAATACCTTATACGATTTGTACACTGATTCTCTATCATTCTGCATCAAAATCTAGACACAAAATATTTTTTCGATTTTTTGTCAAACTTTTTGGGGGGTCCCCCTTAAAAACGCATTGGGGCACAATTTGGCCTCTAGGGATGTCTTTACTTTTTCAAATAATAATCCGATTCTGAAGTAAAATACATTAAACGACAATTATTTTTATTTTATTTTTATTTTTCTAAAGTTATTAGATTTTTTCCCACTTTTCATTGACAAATTAGCATGAGCTCGTTTATTAAACGTCCTTTAAAAATACGTTTTTTTGTAAAATTAATCACAATTGTTGTTTGACTGAACTTTATTAGTCAGCTTCCTTCCCCATAATACCCCACCCAAAATGGTTTAAGTTGGACGCTTGCCCCAAAGCTAAATCAAAATCGCACCAAGCATAAAAACTTTCCGAGCTAATAAATGGCAGGAAAAGTTTTCGATCTGCTCGTTTGTCATTTTTCTGGTTAACTGCCGAATGGGAGGACGGGCAACACCACACGGAGGGTCAAGAAATAATTGTCAATTTTTGTTGTGAGGCGCGCCCAGAACATTATGAAGGAAATAATAAAAGCTGACAGCAATAAAATTTATGTAAGTGGCCTCATAATTGTACCTACAAAAGCAAAATAAATATTGCAAATAAAAAAACGGCAGAAGGCAGCTGCAAGTGAAATGAGCAATTATTAAACCATGAAAATTTAAAACAACATCATAATAAAGATGTTATTACGGCGACAGCCTCGATGGGAGGCGAGGATTGGGGGAGCATTGACGTTAATGAATTTAAGTTATTAATGAAACTAAAGGCTGAGAAGGGCTATTATGGTAATGAATAAGACATAAAGGTATTAAGTCGTTTGTTAACGTTATGATTAAGTTTGACTTGATTAACTAGTTGATTGAATGCCTCTTTTAAGGCTAAGGACCCGAAAGGACTTAGTCTTATTTTTTATTTTGTATATGTATATCGGAAGATTATTTTTAAACTTACCATTATTAAGAGTTGAGCCGCCAACACTCACAGCATTTCCATCACTTCCGACATCGGTTGTTAGAGCCACCGCAAAGGAAAATAGGCAACCAAGGGTCACAAAAAAAGTGGTAACAATCCTTTCGCAATTGCCTATCATTTTGGCCGGCTTTTCAGTTAGTTTTTAAGAAGTGTACAATAGTGATCTATGACCATTAAATTGTTTTCATCATTATCAGCAGAAATTAATCACTTTATGTTGATTAATTTTTTGTTTGTCTAACATTTGCTGTGTTTTTCGGCATGTCCCATTTAAATACTTGTGTCCTGAAATGTAAATAAAATATTACATTAATAACGCAAACCTTATTTTATGGCTTAGTTATGATATGATTTTCTATTCAATTTCTACAAATGGTATTTGGTTCGACACACAAACTAACTGTGAACAATATTAATGTATTGTGGGCCCAGCACTGATTTAAAGGCAATTCCAACTGATTTATTTGCTGTTCAGCCCCCACCGGCAACCCAACATAAGAAAGACCCTGACAATTTCAAAAAGATACAACAAAGGAAGGAATATCTTAAACGGAAGTCCGCATGCCCTCGCCAGTTACCTTAAAATGCATAATGTAGTCCTTGGAGTTTCAACCAAACGGACATGCTGAGAGTAAAAAAAATAAAAACTTGGTATTTTTAATAAGCTTGCATTGGCATATTAAAATTACACTGAGGTGTAACAGGTAATAGATTTTAAATAATATTTTTTAATGATAATATATTCAGTCTATCCATTTATTGCATGGACTTGAATGAAACTATAGACGTTGTACGAATACAATTCTTCATAGCTTTGTTAACTTTTGCAAGTGTATCGAAATACTGTGCAAATTCTTGATTGAGTTTCGCCTGACGTAAGCGGATTAAAAATAAACTCCATGGGAAAGCATAAACAATGTAACAACGAGGACAAAAATAAGAAGTGTGGTCTTGCCCTCACTAGACATCAGACCACTTGGAGTCTACAATTACGATTTCTCATCTCGAACTAGGATCTATTCTTTAAACTTTAAATTTTCAATTTTATATTTTTATTAAAAATTTACTGGTTTTTAAGCTAAGGCTAGAATGATAATTAAAACCTCAAAATCAGATTCTTCCATAATGCTGCCGGATGGGACAATATTCGAAACCAATGAAACCAATCTCCATCTAGTTACCGCGCTTAGGGGCAGGGCCAATTCAAATGCCATGGCCAGAGTAACTGGTGAAACCACTACCATGATCATCCGGCTTTCATTTGCTGGATGTTCCTATTTGTGACGCAAGTGTAAAGCTATTTTCCCCTCTTTTGTGGTTTTTAAAGCCAGCCAATGGCATGACCAGTGGAAGATTGTTTCAATCATGATTGCATTCTAAGCACCATCCTGAGATGGGGAATGAGTTTGAGATTCTCCATTTAAAACCTAATACTTTTATTCTCTTCTAAATAAGCCTATCTAATCGATTACATTTTTTTATATTGTACACAAATTAAATCCCAAATTCTTAATTAGATTTTGACCATCATGCAATTTTAGTGGTTTTCCTTTTTTGCTAAAAATACCAAAGCTATGTGGTAATTCACCATTTCAATCCCAATATTTCAATCAGTTCAATCTTAATTAATTTAATTTTCACTTTGCAGATAATCCATCCAATTCATTTGTCTAGTCTAAAAATATTTATCTTTTAGGACGGTCTATCCTTAAGTGTCCCTTGATTTAGGGAGAGATAAAAATAGAAGTTTTAACTTAAGAGTCAGAAACGAGGAAATCATAGCATCTATTAAAAGGCTTAGTCCAGACGTCTTATTTAGATAGGGAGCACTATGGAGCAAAGTTTCAAAATCAAGAAAGTCTGATATTGTTTACAATTTATTTTTAATCATTTGAAATGTTATTGTTTATGACTTTGTCTGAATTGCAATCTTGACTTTATGATGCGGACTATTGCTAAATCTAAAAATAAATATATTTATAAATAAACACAAATGGTGACCATTGGCAATTGATATTTATTCTTCTAATTATTTTAGGAAGTACCTAGACATACCTTATGTATATATATATTATTTTCCCCCTTTTAGTATCAGACAATCATGCAAAAATAAGAATGGCAAATAAATTCACACTAATAGAAAAGATTGCTTACTTTATTCCTCGAACTTGTATTCACGGAGTTATTGCAGCTAGGGGACAATTGTTGGAGGGGATCTAAAAGGAGGAGTTATAAATATAGCCACGAGACGTCAGAAGAACGGATTTTCATGTTTCGTTCAGCCTTCCTCGGCTTTTGCAACATAATTTAATTAGGAGGGGTGGCGGAGGCGGCGTCGTAGACGGAGATGGAGACTGGAGGCGAGTGATAGACTGAGAGACGCCGGCCGACCGACCGACCAACCGACCGTCAGACCAACCGAAAAAAAGGACACGACCAACAAACTTTGAGCCCGCCAGCGGGCAACGGAGGTGCATAAACGGTAAACACTCTAGCACAGCAAATTGATTAAAAACAACAATTGCAATTAAAGGCCTGCAATAGCTATTGAAAATATTATTATTAACTATTCGCAGCAGGGTAAACAGTACCGAGGCTCTTCGAAGTTCGAACACGCTGACACCGCTCAGACGGCGAAGACGGCGTTTACGGATACGGATGCGAGAACCGATACGGATGCGGATTCAGATGCTCAGATACTCGCGTCTCAGATACACCGGACTAACGGCAATCGAACAGAACGCCAGCCGAATTAACACTGACACGAGACGGGCCGCCGAGCTCCCAGCATCCGCCACCGAAGCACTTTGGGGCCGGCGTGCTCGGTCGTCGGGTGTGCTGGCGCTTCGGCTCCATCGGCATGTTAAAAAGATAAACAAATGTTGCGGTTGGCCGTGATTTATGTTAGCTTGCATCTGCTTGCAGGCCATCTGCACAGGCTTTACAGCATTACATGATGACGCTGTTACAGCCTCCATCAAGTGTCTAGAACTAATGCGTCAAAACGAACTCTGTGCCCTTCATCACATGGCCCCAAAATCGTGGGAATTTGAAGATCATAAAAGAGACATGTTACAAATATTAAAATCCTTGTCTGGTTAGGGGGGGTTTTTCATTAGGAACTACATGCGTATGGTAATAGCTTTTAATATTGAGAGAAAACATGCATTTAAAGGCTTTTAGTCTTACCACATTGTTGACATTTGTTAGATGTCAGGACTTAGAGAATCTAACATAGTTTATTAAATGAAGAAATATACATATATCAATGATATTAGTACCATAGAATCATTGGTATTACCGGATTCTCTTAACTATTGTTGGTAATATTATTATTACATTTGCTTTTAATATGATTTTTAAAAGTATCTCTAACATATTTTACTCCTCCTCCACACTTTAACAGAAAAGTAAAAGCTGATTTTAAGAGAACTCTCACCAGCCCCTTAATCCTATAACAAAAGTCCTACACATTTACATTTCCCGTTATTACCCCATTTTGAGAAGTTAACCGCTAGAAAAAGCTTTCCTCCTAAAGCCCACGAAAACTTTTATGAAGTTTTTGAAAGCTCGGAATGGGAGTCCTTTTTTTTTGACAGCACAGGAATCAAAGTTCATAACACCGAGGCGGAACAGCTGACGCTGACTGTCAAAAGTCACCGTCGCAACAACCGCTGCTGCCCCCGCCCTGCAACCCCAACCTCGCAACGATACCGTCAGCTGCAGTGCAAAACAGAAACTCTGTCGCTAAGCTTCCTCCCAACAACCATCGGCCATGGACGCGGAGTGCGTCACCCAGTGACGTCGACTGAGGGCGCATGCAAAACAGTTGGTGTCCGGAGTTGTGTCTGAAAATACTTGAAATTCAAAACAAAGTTGTGGAAAAAGCTAAACGCGTACTACCTGGTCAGGGGGGACTTGACCCAGTGCAGCCGGATTAACGAATAATGTGAAACTCCCGTAAGACTGTACGAGAGTGGGTGTACCACCGGAGCATGGGTTCATGCCTTGGCAACTGCGCCACTTCCGCCACATCCGCCGCCAGCGCCTCCTTCGCAAGCACCCAACCTCGTTCAACCTCCGAATCCTCCGCAGCGTCGTCCTCCACCACCTCATCCACGTCGTGTGTGGGCACGAGCTGGTTCTGGTAAGTTGTCCGTATGGTAGGATCCCCATCGTTATAAAGTAATTAAATCTGTAACCCATAAGCTGTCACCTGAATCAATACCAGAACCTTCTTCAAAGGTTTGGGCGGGAAACTGTCTTTCCATACATGTCGGTTATATTGGCGGTTCAAATTGCATAAGCAAACACCAACTGACCGCATCGACCGCTCGCCACTCGCCGGCGGGGGTCAACAGACTGAAAGCCAGCGGAGAAGCCAACCCTTACTGGCCAATGGGTGGTAATAGCACCGTGGCTGCTAACGAAACAATTAAGGCTAAGAAAGCTTTGTGGGGAGTGGCGTGTTGGCTTGTTTAAAGAGCATTGTGTTTCAAAGAAAAAAAAAAACAGTTTTAAAACACACTTGGGAAAAACTCCATTTAAATTAATTAGCTTAAAGTATGTTTAAATAAAATTTAATTTTTAAATATTTCTTAATCTGAAGGCAACATCGCAGAAACCAAGACCGATTTGGCGAAGAAGGACAAGGAGTCGAGGCGGAGCTCATATCAAATATCAGTGGACGTCGTCGGGAGCGTCGCAGTTTTATCTTTCGGATACTGAGGTTCAAGCGCAGCCAACAGTGCCCCCAGTTCTTTGATGAGTACTGGCAGCAGCCATCCAACTATGCCAAGCTGCAGAACGAAAGGTGAGTTGAGTCCATTGAGAGGTGCTTAATTATCTCCACTCTTGACACCACGTAGCAGCACGATGCCGGATATTCAGCTTCAGAACCTGGACGCCTTCAAGTTGCTCAACGCTCAGATTGCACCGAGGAGGGAGACGGAAATCGGCCAGGGGATCTACCATCGCACCAACAGTTCCCGGGCTAGCTCATCCCTCGATCTCGAGTGGGAGCACGAGTACTCGCAGCTACGACAGTACCAGCACCACCAGGCCCAGACGGAGTCCCAGCCCACGCCGTCGAAGCCGTGCTATGCTTCCCTGGATCAGCTGACCACGACGACCACGGTCGCCACCAATGGCCGGCACACAGGACGGCATCTACGAATGGGTCAGCGTTTGGGGGGTTCCTTCACGCACACCTCCTGCTGCTCATCCACACAGAACTCGTGGTCGCACATCTCGACTCCGGAGTCCTTAGAGTGGGACGTCGACGAGGAGCGCAGGCAGCAGGGCCAGCTGAGAACGGAGGACGACAATCTGGACGAGGAGACTCTGAAGCTGCTGGATCAAATTGAGCAGCTGAAGCACCATGTTCTGCTGGAGACGGGCGAGGCCCTGGGCTTGGAAGCCAGTGGCTGTTGAGGAACTGATCAGTGGTCCATAACTATGAGTCTCCAAAGGAGGCTGCAGATTAAATTAAAGTCCAAAACTGTAAATAGAATTATTCTCGGTGGAGAAATCCTGACAGTCCGATCCTATTGTTCCAATCAATTATATAAATGGCCTCTAATATTTTGTTGTAAATTATTTGAAATAAAAATATAATTTATAACCGCCTTCCTAAAAGGCAATATAATATAAATATTAATGATTTAAATCTGTAGAATTTTGTGGGAGGATCGGCCATGACTGGCAGTCATATAAAAATCATCTTCATCAATGGGTGAGTATCGGATGTTACCTTCATCCCGATATAAACCTATCCTCCATCAGAAGTATCGGATTCAAGTCTCGGCCAGTTCTGAAGTTCAAAAATCAATTTAATATTTTGTAACCACATTTATTTTTATTAACTTAAGATTAAATGTTAAAAAAACATTGCAAAATTTATTAGGATTCGTTGTCAGTTTGGCTTATGTTTTAGCTTTTTAAATGTATTAAAGAAATTTAACAACATAAGTGAAAATCTGAATTAGGGCAGTTGTTAAATGGCAGTTTCTTCGGATGGCTTATCCAAGTTTTCCTTTAAGTTTGTCCCAGAATGAGGGCTCTTCCTTGGCCACCACCTCCACCTGCTGAAAGATCAAACTTTAATAATCAATGGATCAAAATGGTAGTGATTTGGACTTACAGGTTGCTGTTGGAGTTGGCCACTCCTGGTGACTTGGCTCTTCGGCTGACCAAAGTTCTGGTCACTCAAGTCCTCGATCTGAACCTGTTGCTGACCCAGGTCCTCCTGGTTTTGGGACTGTAACTGCGTCCAGTCCAATTCCTCCTCCTGTTGCTGCTGCTGACCAAGGTCCTCCAAGTTACTGTTCCAACCAGTTTCCACCTGCTGTTGTTGTTGTCCTAGATCCTCTACTTGGGGCTCCTCGCCAGCTGCCCTGCTCCATTTACCACCCAATGTAGCACTAGCACTGGCCGACGATCCGGTGGGGCCTCCACTTGCCGACGCCGAGGCAGTTCCCACGGGCACGTTGAAGGTGTAGTCTCGACGACGATACTCGTAGCCGCCAACCGGCGATTCGCGGTTGTAGGGCAGCGGAGGAGGTGTGGATATGATGGGAGACGGAGAAGGACGCCTAACTGGTGGAGACCTGGTTTCACCCTCCAGACCTGGCTCTTCGCTCTCGTCGTAGGTCTCTTCGTACGTGTGCGGGGGCTGGTCACCACGATCCTTGGAGAAGATCGGCTTGTAGACGGCGGTGGCATTGGTGCTGCCAGGATCCACAATGTAGCCTCCGTTGGCTCCGCCACCAGAGGGCAGGTCAATGAGTCCCTGGCTCAGGAGGAAGAGGGTTCTGCGCCAGATCACCAGCTCTTCGCCGAACTTGCCGTAACGATTTTGCAGGCGACCCAAGTTCCACTTGTGGCGGTCCTCCCAGCTCTGCTCCTCCACTGTGACACCCACCTGCTGATGATTCACGTAGTTCAGATGGTGCAGTTCACTCTCGCGGAACTGCTGGAGATCGCTTTGTGTCATTCCGTAGTAACGGGCCACTTTATTGATGCGTTCCAGCTCCTGTTTCTGCCACTCCTTCAGCTGCTGCAGCGTGATCTCGTACTTCTGAGCAAACTCCTGCAGCAATTTGGCGTCCTGGCTCTGCCAGCTCTTCAACTGCTCCTGGGTCATGTTCTGGGTGCCAATGAACTTGTAGAGACGATCGCGCTCCTTCTGCTGCCAAGTGGTCAGGTGGTTGAGGCGACGCTTCTCCAGCAACGCCCCACGAGCCAAGTTGCTGATAGTGATTCTCTGCACGGGAGCCAGTTGGCCCAGACCAACGTTGTAGTGCTCAGCTAGTCGCTTCTGGAAGGCGGTGTCCTGGGAGATAAACTCCAGCAACTCCTGCTCCGTGATCTTGATGCTCGAAGCCACGCCGTTCAATCGAATTCGTTCCTGTTCGGCCCAGTTGTTCTCCCGCTGAGCATTGTCCACAATGAGTCCCATGTTCGAGAAGCGGCGCAGTACTTCCCGGTCGAAGGCGCGCAGCTCCTCGATGGTGATGCGGTACTGAGGAGCCAGGACGTAAACGTCTTGGTCCACGAGTTTTTCGAGGGCTTCCTGCCTAATGCCGGCGTTGCTGATCACCAAGAGATAAATACGCTCCAGTTCAAGGGTCTGCCAGGAAATACCGGATCCCCGATCGATCCTGCGTTGGTTCAGCAGTCGGTTGAGCTCCTCGTTATACCAAGTCTTGAGCTCTTCGATGGTCACATGGTACTGCTGGATCACGTCTTGGATGTGCTTTTGGTCGTTGTTCAAGCGGATCCTCAGCTCGTCGATGGTCCACTTCTGTTGCTTCCGCTTCAGCTGATTGATGAGGTCCTCGATGTGAAGTTTTTCCTTTGTCTGCCACTCGGACACAACGAGTCCTTCGTTTTTGGCGGCTTGGTTCAGCCACAGATGGATATCCTCGATGGTGACGTGGTACTGCCTGACAATCTGGTCAAAGATGGGCCTGTTGCGGACCAAGTAGCTCTCGAACTCCTGGCGAGTGAAGGGACGCGTGGAGGTGACAGTGCGAAGGCGGGCCAGCAGATCGTTCTTCCAGTTGGCAGGTTGCTCGTCCCAAATATTCACAATCTCCTCATACTTTACGTTGTTCTGGGGGCGATCAATTACGCCGATAACCGTCAGACGAGCTGCTTCCTTCTGGACCTGAATTTGGAGGATATAATGTCAACATTAATATATAATCTTATTTGGATTTGATAGCCTTATGGAAACTGCAAAGACTTACCCACTGCTCCACCTGCTCGACAGTCACATGGTAGTCGGTGGCAATGCCGTCCAACCTCTGCTTGTCGCGCTTCAGGAAGTCTACGAACTCCTGGTATGTGGCCCCGTTGCGCTGCTGCTGGAGCCAGTTGTTGAAGCCGCTGCTGATCTGCTGCTGCCACTGGGTCTGCTTTTCGATTTGGACGAGTCCGGAGCTCTGGAGACGACGCGCCTCCTCACGCAGCCACGCCTCCACCTCGTCGATGCCAACGTGGTGGGTCTGCGAGAGACTCTCCAGGCGGGCGTGGTCCTTGGAAAGCTCCCGTTCAACCTGCTCATAGGGCAGCTCCTGCTGTTTCTTGAGCAGAAGCTCAATGAGGCGCTGTTGCTCCTCCACCTGCCATTTGCTCAAGTTCTGGACCTTGGCCTGGCCAGTTGTTCGAAGGTTGATAAGCTGCTGGCGCAGCCACTCTTCAATCTCGGCGACGTTCACAGAGTACTGGTTGGCCAGCTTTTGTAGGCGTTCATGCTCCTGGTTCAGCTCCATCTCGAACTCGACGAAAGTCAGGTGGTTCTGTTGCTTCACCAAGCTCTGGAGACGTTCCAGCTCTGACACCTGCCAGGCGCTGAGGCTCTTGAGAGAGTCCTCTGTGCTGCCGCGCAAGCGCTTCAGTTCCGCGATCATCCACTCCTCGATCTGTTCCACGTTGATGCGGTACTGGTCGGCCAGTTGATGGAGATGGGCGCGGTCTGCCAGCAGCTTCTGCTCGTACTCATCGGTGGACAGGCCATTCTTGTACTCGGCAATCAGGCTCTTGATATAATCCCGTTCCACCAGCTGCCAGGTTTGCAGCTGCTCGATCTCGAACTGTCCCTTTTTGCGGAGGTCCTCCAAGACCTGCTTCACATATCTCTCCACCTCGACAACACTGACATGGTGCTGCTCGGCCAGCTTAACCAGGAAACGATGGTCGTTGTTAACCTGAAAGAGAGGAAATATTAGCTTTATCCTTTCGAGATGTATAGATAATACCCACCTTAGTCTCAAACTGCTCCAGGGTGATGTTAGAGTGTTGCTGGAGGAGCGAAAGGATGCGTTGCTGCTCGGTGCGCTGCCAGGCCGTCAACTGCTCAATGTTCAGTTTTCCTTGCTGCTTGAGCCTCTCGATTTCGGATTGGAGCCACTTTTCGATCTCCTCGACGGAGGTGTGATACTGGAAGGCCATCGTTTGCATGTGTTCGCGGTCCTTCTCGAGTTCCTCCCTCAGCTCTTCGGCGCTCCACTGCTTGTTCTGCTTGATGAGAGCCTCGAGGCGCTCACGCTCAGCCAGTTGCCAGGAGGTGAGGTTGTCGATCTGCAACTGACCCTCGTCACGCATGCGGGCCAGCTCCTGCTTCATCCAGCTCTCGATCTCCTCCACCTGGACGCTGTACTGGCGGGCCAGGCGCTCCAACAGCTCCCGATCCTGGCGCAAACGGGCCTCCAGCTGCTCGGTAGATTTGTATTGCTGTTGGGCCAGGTTCTTCAGATGGAGGCGCTCCACCTCCTGCCAGTTGGTCAGCTTCTCGCTGGGCTTCAACAAACCCATGCCGATGAAACGCTGCTCCTCCTTTTTGACGAACTGCTCGATTTCCTCGATCTGGACATTGTGCTGCATGGCCAGGCTTTGGAGCTGGGCTCGATCCTTCAGCAACCACTTGTGGAACTCCTCGACGGTGAAGTCACGGTCCTGCACCATGTTGGTCAGATTTCCACGCCACTCCAGCTGCCAGTTCTTCAGTTTCTGCATTTCGATCAGACCCTGATCCTGGAGTTTCTGGATCTGCTGCTTTATCCACTGCTCGATCTCCTCGACGCGCACCTGGTGCTGCTGGGCGAGACTGTACAGGTGAGTCTGATCCTTGCTAATCTTGGCCTCGATCTCCTCGATGGAGTAATCGTTCTTGTTGACCAGGTCCAGCAGTCGCTGGCGCTCAATCTTCTGCCAGTTTTCGAGTTGGGTTTCCATGTTCAACTGGCCCTCTCGCTGGAGGCGATCGCCCTCGGACTTGATCCATTGCTCGATTTCGGAAACCTTGACGTTGTAGGTACTGGACAGATCCTGCAAACGAGCCCGATCCGCCAGTAACTTGCGCTCGAACTCATCAAGCGAGTACTTGTTGTTCTGGACTAGCAGGGCGATCTGGTTACGCTCAGCCTGCTGCCAATCCTTGAGGGTTTCTGCCTTGACCAGACCCTGGCTCTGCAGACGCAACAACTCCTTCTTCAGCCACTCTTGGATGTCCTCGACACGCACCTTGTAGGTGTTGGCCAACTCGAAGAAGTGGGTCTGATCGCCCTTGATTTTGGTCTCCAGCTGCTCCAGGGTCAGGGAGTTGTGCTGGACAATATTCTGCAGGCGTTCCCGCTCCTTCTGCTGCCACTGTGCCAGTTCCTGTTCCACCTCCTTGAGCAGACCCTCCGACTGGAACTTCTTCAGCTCGCTCTTGATCCACTGCTCGATCTCCTCGACCCTCACCTTGTAGTTGAGCGCCATCTGTTCCAGGTGGCTGCGATCGTTAATGAGCGAGTTCTGGAACTCCTCAATGGTGACCTGATTCTTGCCGACGATGTCGCGCAGGTGGTTGCTGACACTGATTTGCCAATCCTTGATTTGGTTTTCCAGCTGCTGCTGGCCGTGGACCTGCAGCCGCTGCAGTTCCTCGCGCTGCCACTTCTCGAGCTCCTCCACGCTAACGCGGTACTTTGTGGCCAGGTTCTGGACATAGTTGCGATCCTGGTTCATCTGCTGTTGCAGTTCGCCCACCGAGCCGCGATGCTGGCGCAGAATGCTCTCCAGACGAGCCCGTTCCGAGCTCTGCCACGCGGTAATCTTGGACATCTGCTCATTTTGGTCCTTAATCAGGCCTCCGATGCGAGATACTTCCCCGCGAAGCCACTGGGTCTGACTCTGCATATCGCCCTGGTATTTCAGGGAAAGATCCTTGAGTCGCTGTTGGTCTGTCCTGATCGAGTTCTGGAGAGCAACCATCGTGGCATTGTGCTGACGAATTAGTTCCTCCAAACGTTGCTTCTCCTTGGTGTCGTCCTCAGTCAGGGAGCTGGAGTAGGTCTCGTGGAAAGTGACCTGTGGCACTGAAGGGATCTGGGGAAGGAGGGACTCGTTCACTTGGTTAAATTTATAGTGAAGCCGCCGCAACTCCTCGCGCTGGAAGTTCTGAAGCTCACTCTGGCTGATGCCATGTTGCCGGGCTACCTTGGCCAGCTTCTGGCCGTTTTCCCTTTGCCAGCGATCAATGTCATCGACGGTGAAGCCATTCTGGTGGATCAGCCAGTCCAGACGGGCGCGCTCCTGCTTCTGCCAAGCGCTAGAATCCTGCACGGCACTCTGGTACTGATTGGCCAGAGCCTGGTACCGGGCCAGTTCACGGCGATGGAATTCCTCAAGAATGGGCAGGGTGATGTGGTAAGTGCTTGCCACCCCGAGCAGACGTTCCTCCTGCTGACTCTCCCAGTCCTGGAACGATTGTGGGGAAGTCAAGTACCAGAAGAGGTGCTCCCTTTCGGCGCGCTTCCACTGCTCGTCCCGCGACACTGAGGCCTGTCCAAATGGAGTATGTTGGTCGTAGACCAGCTTACCGTCTTGCCAACGTCGCTGCGACTCGGAACCGTCAACGGAGGTTGTTCCATCCGGGTGCGTTGTAATGGTCTTATTGAAACGCCTGATTTCAACCGATGAGCTGGAACCTGGAGCAGTGATCTGGCTAAGAGAACTAGGACCGGACCACGGGGAGTTCACATTCACCACCGAGTTGTAGCCCACAACTTTAGGCTCATCCAGCCAATCCCTGGACGATACAGTCTTTTTCCGGGTAACAGTCGTGATAGAGCTAGAAAGTGGCAGCGACACCTGGGACTGGCCGTAATGGGCCTGATTCAACTGCTGCGAGGCGCCGTATCCGGTTAGTTTGGTAACCTCAGTGCAGTTCCTGTGCACTGAGTAGGGCTTACCATCGATAACCTTCACCTCGACGGGATAGGCATAGTTCTTGATCGTATCATACTGACTCAAGTCTGTGGGCTGATACGGATTCAGGTCCAAAGTCTGCTGCACTTGGCCACTCTCGGTATCGGCGTACTGTTCCAGCAGCTCAGCGGCCTTGGCCTCAAAGAAGTTTGGCTGGGCTATGGTGTTATAGTGGATGCGGGACTGTTTCATATCAGTTACCAACTGCTGGCTGGTTTTCGAGCAAATCTCATCCAGTTCGGCAGAGGTCTTTCCGGTCAATTCCAAGACTGAATCTGGAAAGATAGAAAGTGTTACTGGCTTACAGAATTTAAGAGTGAGGTAGTCTATCTTCTGGCTTCTAAAAGTATAATATTTAAGTACTTATCTTTCTGAAAATAATCTTTTAAGGTCAATAACTTATATTTATTGTAAAGACACTAGGGGATTCACAGAATTCTTGGTAATCCGAATTTACGTGGGAAGCAATATGAAAACTATTGTGGCTCACTTTCTCATGATCTCTAAAGTCAAGATCGCCCCAGGCCATCTTATGATAAACAAATTTTGAACCTTTTTGTAAAAAATAAAACATTACTTACTCGTCCAGGGCAGTGCGAATCCAAAGGAACTTGAACTTTGAGACAGACTGTTGAATTTCTGCTTCAATTGATTGGCAAACTCGCGAACTTCGTTGAAGTGAGCGGTTCCCCAGGAACTGATGTGGGGAGGATTTAATCTGGGGGCCGACTGAAGGTCCGCCGAGGTGGGTCCATTGCCATAGGATGACGAGGATCGGGAACTGTATCTGCTCTGGTAGGTGGTGTAGCTTTGGCAACTAGCCACCGCTAGGAGCAGAGCGCAAACACCCAAGGCCCTCATGCCGGAAAAGCTGCAAACCAACAAACAACAATATAGTTTAGAATAGTGTCATTCATAAATTATTAAAATAAAACTAGAGTAGTACAAAACGATGTCGCAGAAAATCAAATTTATTCTAAGGCCCCTGATTGAGCATTTTTGGAGCTGATAGCAAGTGGAAGTCGAATCTAGTTCAGGCTGTGGTTGGGATTATCGCATCAGCCTGGACTGGGGGGGTCGCCAAAGGTTAATCGCGAGATAATGGCATCATGCCTGGGCTCGGCCCATGAAAAAAATCACTTCAAGTTGGGACATACTGTTAAATTTTGTTCTTATTTGTTTTTCTGTTTTTTTTTTTATTATTTTTTGTTCAACCATTAAACCTTTGTGGCCTCCAAATTCCCTTTCCATCCGGTGTCTGTTGATAAGTCGAATCCCCTTGACTTGGCGACGTGTTACTTTCCTGGCACCCCCTAAAAATCACACAGTTTCTTCAGATGGAATAATGCAACACCTTGGGGAGTCAGAGAGTCGTCTCCTCAAATAGGTCACACACATGCATTTTCCCAATAAAGTTTTATTTATTTCTGGAACATATGTTTGGGGCCACTTCAGTCTGTCTTCTGGTTATTTTTAAATTTATGTTTCTTTTGGGGTTTTTGGGGTGTTCTTATCGCAACAAAGCTTTCGTAGTTAACTCACAGATGGCTCTATTCCGCAAAGCACTTAAATTTATCGGATTTGTGATAATATTCACTTAATTAGAGCAAAAGGGAAACTTTCAGGACCCTTGACCGATAGTTCACTATCCGTTATTACCGCTAGATCGAGAGGAAACCGTTGCGCCTCGTGGCGCTGCCGAAACAAAACTGGCAGCCGATCGACGATCCGGAATCTTATATGTGATGATCTCTCCCAGCAGCTACATAGATGCTGTGTAGGAGCCAACAAATTAATTGAGAGGGACGGCTCTCTAGAGAAACTGTTATCACTATTTATAATAGAATTAAGCATACTCTGGTTTTAGGGGATTTGCCAAATTATCAATGACCGAATATTTACGTATGACACAAAGGGTGACCGGTGACCGGTTCTCCAAACGACCTTAAAAATACGTGGAATCCGCAAGTGATTCACAAGCCGGTCTCCGGATGCAATAGATCAAAATAATTCTAATGCGTGATCTCATGTATTGTTGCGGAGTTCGGGTGGCTGTTACATTACAAATTGCAACGACGAGTGTGGGTTCAAATTTGAATATTCCTAATTAATGACAAAACACAAGATTTGTATAACACTTGAGGTGAAAAACAAAATAACTGATTTTGAGTACAACAAAGTATATATTTTTTAAAAGTGATTAATCATTACCATATTGAACAACATAATTAAAACAAACAAAATAGATAAATAAGTTAAGAAATTCTGCAAAACCACAAGTGATTCTTAAGAAATTTTTGAATTAATTCGGAAGAAAAAGAAGCTATATCCGTGTTATTCAGACCTACTAAACTAATTTAAAAGTGTGGTTTTTCATATGATCGGTAAAACCTCTTTTAAACAAAATTATTAAGAATACTTTAACTACAAGTTAGTCTTAAAAATAAAGACTTCAAAAAGATTTTTTTTGCTTTTATTGTCCTTGTTTCATTATTATAAATAAATTATTATTATAAATTAAGTAATCTTTCCATAAATTCGGTTAACAGTTAAAAACCCATATACAAATTTTCGAATAAACACCTTAGTAAAAAATTCCATTAATAATTCATAAGCCTATCATATTAAATTTATTTATTTTGTATTCACCCTTACATAACATTTTCCTTTTATTTCCCTTTATTTTCCTTTATTGTCCTTTTTTTTAAGCTTTAATTTTCAAGCTTCAATATAGGATTAGAAAAATTGACATAGTTGGCAACGCGGCTAGGCTGCTCTACACTTCGATAACAGACTCTTTTGATTTAAATCGATTATTATTTATAAAACCGATTGCAATGATAATCGAATTATTGCTCATCTCTTTGCCAATTTCTGAACTTGTGGATATGTGGACTTTTTTGGATTGTTATTTATAAAATGAGGATTAAACTGATCAGCTTTTTCCCTTGACGAAATTTTTGAAGAATCGACTGGTAAGCCATTTAACACCTTCTATAAGGTTGACATTATAAACAAAGGAAAATAGGTTTTAGAGCTCTTCCATTGCACCTGAACGAGGTTGAGCTCGAATCTTTCAGATTCCATTTACCATGTACCTGAGGAGCAGAAATATACAAATTCCAGTAGCCCCTAGACTGAACTAAACACAAAGAAACAATAATGGGTGCTACCGACCAGGCACTTGAGGCTCAAAGCAACGCCACAGAACCCCCAAAGACTCCTCCAGTGCCAGAGCAACGTGAGCGCTTTTTCCTTGGACGACAGGCCAACCTCTGCCACCTGATTGTGTTACTGTTTAGCGGAGGATTGGCTGCCATTACGTTACACATCTTTACGTCTTCAAATCTGGGCTGGCGGCTACGCCAGTTGCACCACCTGCCCACCGCCCACTACCTGCAAACACGAGACGAGTTCGCCGTCTACTCCGTGGATGAACTAAATGCGTTTAAGGAGTTCTATGACCGCAGTATCAGCGACAGTGTTGGGAGCAGCTATACGGAAGCGGAAGAAACTAACATTAAAGAGGCTCTGGGTGCTCTTCGGCTGGCCCAAGACATGTACCTGGCGGGTAAAGACGATAAGGCAGCTCGACTGTTCCAACACTCTCTGGCCCTGGCGCCACGTCATCCCACAGTGCTGCTGCGTTACGGCGAGTTTCTGGAACATAGCCAGCGGAATATCGTACTGGCGGATCAGTACTATTTTCAAGCATTGTCCATCAGTCCAAGCAATTCCGAGGCTCTAGCCAATCGTCAGAGGACGGCCGATGTTGTCCAGTCTTTAGATGAGCGTCGCTTGGAGTCGTTGGATTCAAAGCGTGATGCCCTCTCTGCCATTCACGAGTCAAGCGCTGCTCTGCGACGAGCCAAAAAAGAGGCGTACTTTCAACACATTTACCACACAGTGGGTATCGAAGGCAACACCATGACATTGGCCCAGACACGTTCCATTCTGGAGACCCGCATGGCCGTAGATGGCAAATCAATTGACGAGCACAATGAGATTCTAGGCATGGATCTTGCGATGAAGTACATCAATGCCAGTCTTGTGCAAAAGTGAGTTGGAATGTTAGTTAACTATCTTAGACTTTAAATGATTAGCTTTTAATATTTTTTTTAGAATGGAAATCACCATTAAAGATATTCTGGAGCTGCATCGCCGCGTCCTGGGCCACGTAGACCCCATTGAGGGTGGCGAGTTCCGCCGGAATCAGGTGTATGTCGGAGGCCACGTACCCCCTGGACCAGGAGACTTAGCACTCTTAATGCAGCGCTTCGAGAGGTGGCTCAACTCCGAGCACAGTAGCTCTCTACATCCTGTGAAGTGAGTAGCAGGCGGGACTGCTGAGAAACAAATCTATAACTTGATTATTTCTTTACCAGCTATGCTGCCCTAGCACACTACAAGTTGGTTCATATTCACCCATTCATCGATGGGAATGGACGCACCTCCCGTCTTCTGATGAACACGTTGCTGATGCGAGCTGGCTACCCGCCCGTGATTATTCCCAAACAGCAACGCAGCAAATACTACCACTTCCTGAAGCTGGCCAACGAGGGCGACATTCGGCCTTTTGTGCGTTTCATCGCCGACTGCACAGAGAAGACGCTCGACTTGTATCTCTGGGCCACCAGTGACCTACCTCACCAGATCCCCATGCTGATCCAGTCAACGAGCGAGGCGGGCGAAGGAGGGCCCCAATTGCAAAAGTCCCAAATGGGTGAGGGGGCGTCGCTACCAGAATTCTACGAGTCCGGCTCTGGATCATTACCCTAACACATGTCCCAACGTTCGATAACTAGCAAAATGTTGTATTTATTAACTTTTTTGTTGTACATACTTGTATATTTATCTATAAGTTCGAAATTCCCTAGATAATTCCCTTTTTTATTTAATACAATGTGTATCAGACTGTGATCGTATATAAGCTTAAAGAACGCACCAAAAATCGATCGTAAGAATCAAATATCATAGGTACTTTGGCTTACAAAACCAAAGTAAAGGAAATATTAAGTAAAATATAAAGCTTGTAATGATTGTGTGAAAAGTGCAATAAAAAATATTCCAAAATTGAACGAAATAGTAGGTATTATATTAGAATGTCCAGCTTTTAAAGATCTGAGTCTTAAAAACAGAGAGACTAAGTCGAGTGATTCTACGAATTCACTATTCTCTATTTTTAAGGAAAAATATTACTATAATTGTTTAAAATCTTATAATTTAGTAAAATTGCACGTGTGAGTCCCTTGGAAAAGACAAAGCTCTCCCTTTATAGCTTGGCTCGCTGAAGATAGGGCTTGTAAGTAACGTCACGCCACCAATGAGGACGCTCATAGACTCCAGGAGTAGAGACGATAGTCCGCTGCAGATGTTGGTAAACCTGCAGAAACAAAACATACATATATTACCCATCAATGCTATAATTTCCAGAACTCACATTGCCATCGCTCATGCCGAGGGGCGAGTTAAGAATAAAGTCGGTGGGCGCTATAGCATCCACAAGGGCGATGGCCTCATCCTTCAGCACAGGCAGCAGCTTCAGAATTCCCTGCTCGAACAATTGGATTTGGGAACTGTCTTGGAAGTAGCCGCCTTGGTAGAAGATGCCAGCGTACTTTGTGACCAAATGTGCCCCGTAGAACGAAAGCACCTGTTGCAGAACCTTCTTCTCGGCCGAATCGGGCAGGCCAACCACAAACTTGTAGAACTCGTAGTAGATAGTGCGCTCTCCGTAGATTATGGACAGCTTCTGGGCAGCAAAGACTTGGATATTGTTACGCGTTTCAAATGCATCTTTGCCCTCGCGTTGCAGCTGCTCCACCCGCTTCACGGTGGTCTCCAACTGCCAAGAGGTCAGCCAATTCAGAGCCTTCAAAAGATCTGAAAGGGATACCAGGAATGAATATAAAGAAACAGTTTCCCAGCATGGAACTTACTCTGCGGATTCAAAGCATCCTCTGGAGTACGCTCCAGACCCTTTTGGGTCAGAATCTTGTCAATGTCCTTTAGGAAAGCAACTGTCTCCAAGGGAGACACTGCCTCAAAGTTGGCGTTGTTGCGACGGAGATTAACCAGCCAGTTGGAGGCCTGCTGGATCAGAGTATTGTTTTCGCCCTCGTAGGTGCAGTTTGCGTCGTTGTCGTTACGCAGGTCGCCCAAGCCAGAAGCCCTAAGGTATCCATGACCACCACACGCTTCGCGACATTCCTGGATTCCGTCTCGGGCAGCCCAGGTGGCTACTGGCTTCAGAGCCGAGGAGATGGCGTGAATCTCCATGCCCGCCTGCGAGGTGTCCTCGCCGGTGAGGCTCTTCATGGACAGGTCCATGTTTTTCTTGCCAATCCAGAGAGTGGCCACGCGGAGGGCGATCGTTGTGGCGAGATGGGGGATAAGCCGGTACTGCTGCGACTGGTACTCGATCACCGGCCACTCAGCCGGGCTGTTGGGTGGACCGAACTGCCGGCGACTGGCAGCGTACCGAGTGGCAATGGTAACCGCCTTGCTCAGTGCCACGTAGGTGATGGCGGTGATGTTGACGCGACCCACAGAAAGGGCTCCCAAAGAGGCGCCCAGTCTCTTGCGCTCGTCCTTGATTTGGCTGGTGTAGTTGCCCTGGTCGTCGATATCGCCAGTCTTGGAAAGCAGGTTCGCCTTCGGAATGCGGTACTGGTTGAACATGACAAATCTGAAACGAAAGACCATGACGGCATTATTATTTTACGATCCCTTCCGTTGATAAACAGAGCTACTTACCCGTTGTCGATGCCGTTGAGGCCAATCTTCTCACCCAAATCACCGACAGTGACTCCGGGGAAGGGGAGCAGCGTACGCTCGTCGCGGATGGGCACCAAGAACGCCTGCAGGCCCTGGTGCTTTTCATCCGGAACGTACAGCTGGGCGTAGACAATAGCATGAGTGCAGGTCTTGCCCAGATTTCCCACCCAGCACTTGGCTGCCTCAAAGTCCGGAGTGTGAAGGATAAACTCCTGCCTTTTCAGGTCATAGGTGGCACGGGTGCGCATGCCGAGGGCGTTGGTGCCGTGGGAAATCTCAGTGAGAGCATAGGCGCCCAGGATCCGGTTGTCGGCTACCTTGGCCACATACTTGCCCAGTCGTCCCGATCCGTTGGACACCAGTGTGCTGGGGAACATGCCAGTGGACAGTCCAAACTTCACCGACGTGCTGAAGTCGTAGCTGAAGATGGCCTGCCCAAAGGCCAGCAGCAAATACGGACTGTTTATGTACTGGAAAAATGGATAATATCAGTCGAAGGTACTCTCCAATCAAGGTATTAGTCTTTCAAACCTCATTAACGCCATAGAACTGTTGTTCCCACAGGAGGTGCTGCCGCTTGTTGGCCAGCTCCCGGGTGCGTTCCAGGCTGGGCGCCTCCGGCTCCCGCTGGTAGTCGGGGTGGCGCTCCATCCACTGCCATACTTTGTGCTGCAAGCAAGGGTGCATTGGAAAACTAGTTACTTAAAGCACAAGCCAGATAAGGAGCGCGGGGCGATTAGATGAGGGCGGGGTGCAGCCCCGATAGCGAGCCGCTGGGAGCGAAACACAAAGAAGTTTGTACTTTGACCCCATTCTCCTACGACCTGTGCTCCACAAACCCAATTGCCAGTTACCTTTAGACGGATATGCTCCTCTCCCTCCAGCAGAACGTTCATGCGCTTGTAGCAGAAGCTCGCCCTTTGGCGGTACTCGTCCAAAGGTCCACCTCGGAACTCGGGGAAAATCCGCTTGTCATCCAGGATGTTTTCGGGGGTCTTGTCCTTCCCGCGGTCGCTGTAATGAGCACCAAGGGCGGTCAGTAGCTGGCTAAGATGACTCTGCCCTCCACCAAGATCTGCGCCATCCTCTCCACTCGCCATCGCAATAGCTTCTGGCTGAAGAGGCACTGGCGGAGGTGGTGGGGGGCCAGGGGGCGAAATACTCACTTGGTGGAACTCAATGCAACCATGTCTGCTTAACTTTTGGCGATGATCGGTGGAGGGACTGGTGTGTACGTTAAGGCCGTCAGGCACAAACTACCCAAACGTCCAGATGGTCATAACTATTATTGAGAAAACAAGTGGTTACCACCGATAAGCTCCACCGGCTTATCCGCACGACATGGCACCAATTTTAACTTGGTTTTCACAGGTTCCCATTCGCCGGATAAGATATGGGGCCATCGAAATTCCAGGGGGCCTTCGGATTTCTTCGGTTTTCGAAAGATTTCGTTAATTTTTTACCAATCTCATAAATTTAATTTCCTATCAACGGAAACGAGTACTTTCCGTTGGCAAAGTATCGATAGCCAGGGCTGGCAAAGATTCAAAAAAAGGGCGCCAAATTTTGAATTTTAGTTTAGCAGCATTTACTTGCTTTCTAAATTGCTGTGTTTTAAAGCTTTCTTAATTTAAGATAAAAGCGCATTATATTTTTTGTTAAATTTTACTCTTTATTTTGGTAGACTTCTCCCTGGAAATGTCCATTTTATTAATTTTACGTATAGATATGAACTTAAAACAATTTTCACATTACTGTATGTATTAGAAAACATCGATGGTGTTGTGAGATTTAATTTAAAACATACACCGCTAATAGGATAACAACCACACATCTTAAAAATAAATCTCTAAACATGATAATCTTTTTATTTTTTAAAATTTTAATATTTTTCTCTGGAGAATGTGATCACAACACACATCGATGCTTTCTTAGTTCTACGACTTACATGCATCAAGTATCTAACTAAATAAAATTTGATCGCTATAGTATTAGGATAGTTTCAAAGTCATTTAAAATGTATATTTTGTTGTTTGTCAATAATTAAACTAATTAGGTAACACGTAGTCATTACTAAATACTCGTATATCGATCGTTTTTCGTTACAATTTCTTTTCACTACAAGAGCAGAAGCATTGTTACGCTATAAAAACATTACGTCATATGTTTATAAGCTCTGTTGATATATATACTTGCTAAAATGGACTAATTGACGGCTCCAAATAAATGTAAAAATTGCGTGATTTGTCTATTAGATACAACCGATTACTGCTCTCAACTTTGCTCAAGTTTCATACGTGTACGTCATACATATAATGTATTGCTAAATAATATTCTTGTGCTAATAAAAGTTAAAACCAAACTATTTTAATACTAAATAAATCTAAATCAACTAAGTTAAGCGATATTGCCACTTTCGATCTTAGAAGAATATATCCGGAGTGTCAAACAGGTTGAGACTCTTCTCCATAAGCGTGCCGGTCAGCAGGCTCGATTCCATTGCCTCTATCGGTTCCTTTGTCGTCCAGGAGTCCCTGTTGGTGCAGGTAGCGCCCTCCTGTTTGGTTTCATATAATCAACTGTGCACCGAGCTGGCCGCCGATGAGTTTGAGGAAAAGGCCGACTGCAGGCTGGTCATCGAACCTCTGTAGTTGACGGAGCTGAGGACCTCGTAGAAGAAGTTCAGCTGCGCTCCCGAGGGGCTGAACCAATGCATCAAGTAGCTGTCGTTGTGGTGCATCACGTGAGAACCCTGCACACTCTCCTTGTGCCGGCAGATGAGGGTCGGCTCCTCTCGGAAGTAGTTCACGCCCTCGACAAACTCCGTCAGATCAAAGTAGGACACGGCGGAATCTATTAAAAAACATTAGGAACCTGGTTTTGAATCGTATTCTGAATCGATATACTCACCACTCTTTTCTGGTAGTTCTTGGGTGACCCGGTAAAGGGTAAAGTGCAAGTCGTTCCGCATCACATCGAAATCCCAAGTGAGGACACTCTTGGGATCGTCGTTCCTTATGAGCAGCTCGTGGGTGAAGCCCGCCTTCAGCTCTATGGTCTTGTACAGGTTTCGGTGTTCGTGCTGATGAACGGCTGAGAGGCGCTTCAATGGCATAGATGCTTCATCCGAGGATTGGGCGGGTCCATCGCCGTTCGGTTCGTCTTCGTGGTCTTCCAGGGAGCTCATCTTGTAGAGGGTTTTCGGTACCAGTCCGCCTTCGTGTATCATAGTCTGATAAAAAGTGATCCGGGGATTAGAAATATTGTTAAAGATCTAGGGGGTCGATTAGGACTAGGCTTGCCTCTGAATTGACATATTTGGAGGACCTGGACAAAAAACGCGGCATGGACATGGACGCTGGACGCACAATGGGGAACGGGGGAATTGGGTTTTTGTGGATGCCGTGGCTAAGCAGAACTTAAACTCTTAAGCAACAAAGACAAAAATGCAAAAACAAATGCGGACAAAATACAATTAAATACAATTTGAACTGATGGATGGTGAGAAACGGGATCGAAGGCAGGCGCAATTGAACATGAATCGAGAAGGTATAGAAAGATATGCTTACACAATGGCATTTAGCTAAATAACAATACTTAAAATATTTCTGACTGACTTGCTCCGCACGCGACCCTGGCTGGGTCTCTGTCTGAGCAGTCCCCGGAGCAGAACCGGAGCCAACAGGTGGAAGAGAAAAATTGGGCAAAGTAAATAAAATAACAATATAGTAAGTACGTTGTCTAGACTCTGAAATCATATCGCCTTACATTTCAGAAATGAAGAAATAAATGGCTGTGCGAATAAAATCTTTCATACCAAAATAATACCTATTTAAAATAGTAATTATTGTCTTAGGAACCCAGACCTTAGAAACCGATAAATTATATTTTATTCTTTAATACTTCGATCTTAAGATCTTCATAGTCATCTCTTCTTAACCGCGTTGCACACCACCTCTTAAAATTATAAACACCTTTTAAAAATCGGAAGAAGCAAAGTTATAAACCTATTAAATAAGAAATAAACAATATTAAACCAACTTAACCAATAAATTTAAAAACAAGGGGACCGCTAATAACGTCTATAATTATTTTTAATTATAGGGGGATTGTCTAAACGCCGGCTATTTCAGTTAAGAGCGTCTATAATATATTAATTATCAGACAGTTGAGCTGGGCAGGGCCGGCATTTGCTTACCTTACAGGGTCCGCCCAAAAAGTCGGGTATTATTTCCTCATCTAGGTACTGGGAGAGACCTTCTTTCATGTGAGCACAGTCCGGGCCGTAGAACAGAAACTTGGAACGCGTATGCTCATCTTTAAATTAATAATTATTTTATTTAAAATAAGAATAAGTTTAGATTAAGACTCACCTATAAAGGCGCTAACAATTGTCCAGGCAATGGGGAACACTCTGGGCGCTCGCACCACCAGAACACGGCCCATGGTCTCTGGATAATTACGCTCAACCGTCTCAATGATATAGAGCAGGGCCTTGATGCCAGGTCGCCAAAGGTGCCGCATGGAAAGCCCTTCCAGATCCACCAGCAGAGACCAGTTAAGTATGGGTTTCTCCAGCCGTTCGGCAGACTCGTTAATCTTCTGAATGCCCTCCTCGCAGATATGGAGAGCCTGATTCGAGAGTAGGATTAATATAAGGTTTCAAGAAGCATAGGTCAAGTCGTCTTACCAATCGCAGCAGACCCTCCATACCCAGCGACTTCAGAAGCCCCTTGACATCCATATGACCCAGCCGAAGTATATAGACTGGGCGGCCGTCCTTGTCCTGGTGATGCCAGCCGCCCGGAAAGTGCTCCACCACCACGGCCGGCTTTGAGTACTCCGCCAGCAGGGAATCGATGCGATGTTCGCGTCGCCAGCGAAGCGAGTCACACAGCATAGAAAAGGCCTGGCTCACGTGCCAGTCTCTAGCTGCCAAGAAACGCAGAATGGTCTGATAACTGGGCACACGCTCCAGGTCATCGACACCATCCAGCATTTTTCGCAGCTCCAGCAGCTTGGACTCCTGCATGGGCGACAGTTGACCCAGACTCCGGGCAATAAAGTCGCCGTCCAGCAGAATATCGTGATGCTGTTCGGCCGATGGTTCCAGTATCGGTGACTTGGGAGCATCGGGCGGAGGGGTCCAACGATCCACGTGTGTAATTCCTTCTTCGCGCAGCTGGCTTATGAAGAACTCGATGATTTCCTTGCCCTTGAGCGTGGTCTGGGTGTACTGCTTCATGCCCATTTTCTCCATGGAGTGCTCGAAGCCGAAGAAGTTCTTGATGTCCAGCGTGGCTGTCTGGTCGAAGCATGTCCACTCCGCGTTGTCCGGATGAGCATAGTATCGGCATCGTTCAAAGATCTCGATGCGGGACGAGAAGCTCTCGTTCACGGCCTCTATGCACAACGTTCGGCTGTTCATGTCCAGGTAGTTGTGTTGGACGAAGAACACATGGTCCACGCCGATCAGCTTCTTGAAGATGTACGGCGCCTCCACTGCCAACTTGCACCGCCGACTCGTGTTCCTCTTGGCCCCATTCTCCAGTGTCTCATCCTTAATGATCTGGCAGTCGAGCACAATGGGCATTTGGGGACAAGTGGGGAAGCGGCGTTCATAGGCCTGGAACAAGATTATTAATGGATGCGTCATAAAAATGATCAATATTTGTGACTGAAAAAATTCCCACTAAACTCCAGGGCCAGGGTAGTGTTTATCTATTTTAAAATATCGCGCTCCATCGCATGACAATTAAATTCCATTCTCTAAATAATTGAAAAGTTCAAGGCAGGCCCTAAAACTGTAAAGGAGGAGGGATTAGGGACAACTTTCCCAGCAGGGCTTTGTGACATTGACTCCCACATTTATTTAATTATTGAGTTGCCTTGAGTTGGAAACGTGAGAATACGCATATGAGCAACGGACAGGGTCTTGGAAAAAGCATAGAATTTCTTTGGTTTCTAAAATATTTATATGCCCAGTAACAGGGACTATTTACTTTAGGAAAAGTTATCTAAGGCAGTGATAGAAGCCATCCCTTAGATTATGTTGAATTGGTTTTATTAGATAAATATATAATTATAATTTATTCATATCAATTGAAACTGCCCCCAATAGCAAATCTAGACGGAAGCTTTTTAAAAGATAAATTGCCAGTTTGGTTCTCTGTCCCCTTTCCATTATTTTGTAGCCTTTGTACTTAGGCTCTATAGTCCGCTAAAGAGACATCCGCGACTTGTACCATATATAGTATATATATTTTTCTTATCAGCATCACAAAGAAAGCTATATACTATAGCATTCTGAATGAACAAAAAGATTATTCGAATTTAGTAAAGAATTCAGTCAAGAGTTTCAAGATTTTGAAAAGATTAGATTCTCCATTTTCTTCTCTGGGAATATATATTTGAGTATAATTATCAGTTCTTAATAAATTCTTGTAAAATTATACAATTATTTGACTATAAATAGTAATAATTTCCTTACATAAGCCAGTTATGCGACATTATATTCGCAAACAAGCCAAAATCAGCTATTTCCTGTTTTAATTTTCAGTATTCTCTCATTGATGGGAACACCATTCATAAAAGCAGAGATAGAGATAGAGAAAAACATGGGACTTGGGAGCTCTCAGAGAGAGCGCAACAGTGGGCCACCAGTGCATGGGGCTTGGGGAATGGGGGCGAAATTGGGGGGCCGCCCAAGGTTAATTTTATTTATCTTCTGCACAAGTGTTAAAAAGCGGAACTGCTGTTGGCCGAGCGACTGACGACTGCCGTTTTAGCAGCTGCAGGCCTTTGCGAAGGCTTTCCACAACTGCACTCTCAAAAATTAAGGTAAAACTCTAAAAAAAAAAAAGTGGGTGGGGGGGAACGCCCGCTGACAGACGCCTACGCCTACCGCAAATAAAATACACACCTTCATCACCAACTCGAATGGATATTTGTAGACCCGAACGGGCGACTGAAACTTTTGCACCATCTCGTTGCTTTCCCGTGATAATTGTTTATTGATCCGTAATCGACACTTTTCGCAAGTTTATTTTGTTTTTGTTATTGTTTTTGTTTGCCTTTTGTTGTTGTTATTGTTTGGACGCAGAAAGTCGGAGGCGACTCCGATTAGTAGATAGATATTGAGCAGAGTGTAGATTCGAATATTGACAGTGACAGCTTGCTGGGTTTTACTGTATCTGACATGCGTTGCTCCAGGTGTGTGGGTGTTGGGCACAGCCAGAGCGTGCTAGGCGTAGCAATACTGTCTTGGAAAACAGGGAAAGCCTTTCTCCAACAAGCAAACGTTAGTGTTACCGTGCATCAGGACGATATAGATACCGCAAGAATCATTTTATGGTATTTTGCTCAAAATCTGGTATTAATCGATCATACGGTCATACGGATTAACGGTAGAAAAGTATATTCGAAATTAAAATTTCTTTAAGACACTCTTTTAAATGAAAAGTTGGCTAATATTAAAATATAACCTTATAACCCTTAACAATACTATGGTGTACTTTTCGCCAATTGGTCCATCTTAAAAAAAAGAATCGTTTTTAGTCGATTAAACAATTTATTAAAACAAAACAAAAACAATAAGATTTAAACCCCTCTGAAAAGAAAACTCGGCTTAGCTTCATCATAGCTTTAGTTTTCCTTAAACTGCAGAACTGCAAATAAAAGAGGTTAGGTAAAAGAAATAATAGATTTTTATTTTCTTACCGATAGACAGGTTCGTGGCGTTCGGACCATGATTTGATTTTTGAAGACATAGACTAGTTTCTTGATATTACTTGATATTACAGCAAAGTTTAACAAATAGTTCCAATTTATGGCAATCTTCTTGTAGTATAATAATGGGTATAAAAATATAGATTCAAGATCGCTTGGATCAAGGCTTGAACGCGTCATATTAATTGGTGGATTAGCATAAAACTCCAGTCCCAGCACATTCTTTGTGGTGACTCTTTACTAAGTACTTTGTACTAAATTAATTAAACTAAACAAATTGAAACAAAAACAAACAAATAAAACTATATCGCGGCACTAGTTAAGTTTTCCAAAAACTTCAACGCTGAAAATAAAATAAAATTTAGATAAAATTAAAAAAAAAAAGCGTTATTATTTTTACCGATAGACACATGTGGCATTCGCACCATGGTTTGAGTTGAAGACAAAGACTAGTTTACGGAAAGAGAACTTGGCCTTGACATTGTAGCTTTGGGTGCGTTTCTTAGCATCGTTGTCGTACTTCCAGTGACCAAGAAGCTCCCTCTTTTGGCAATCCTCTCGTAGACCCTGGTAAGATAAATATTCATTATAGAGTCTAAAGATTAAGTTCTAGTTCCCCTTACATAAACATCAAAATCCTTTGGAGCACTATTGCTGCACAGACGAGGAGTCATTTCTTTGGCCACGTGCGACATGGCAATGGCCTCCACTCTAATCGATTTGGCCAGCTGAAGGGTCAGGGTGGCCCGACTTCCTTTGAATCCAAAACAGGCGCCTGGAGCCAGACTTGGACGCAGCATATTGATGGGTGGATTAGCATTGAACTCCAGTCCCAGCAGTTTCTTTATGATGTTGGTGCTACCAATGGGTGTGGCCACCACACTCAAGACTCTGGCGCCGAGCTCCTCAGAAGCGTAGTTGATGCGGACTTTTGCCTCGGAACCCGAATCACCAGCAGCCCCCGATGGACCGGCCCTGGAAGCGCAGTCAGAGTTCATGACCGTCTTTTTCAAGTTGTATACATCGTCCATTAGGTGTCCTAGCTTGCGCTTCACCAGGGCATCCACATAAGCATTCAAGTCCCGATTGTCGCATTTCCCAGATCCGCTCAGTTTGGATTCGGACGCCCCGGAACCGAACGAGCAAGAAGGACCGTAATGGATCTGAGAATCCTTGCAATCTTCCTGCTGCTGGGTCATCATGTGCTGTAGATAGCGATTGAGTAATTGTTTTTTTTAAAAGCCCTTATATATCCTTACTGATATATCCTCAATCTCGTCACGAAGGCGTATAATATCTTGGGTATTTCTGCTACTGCCGGTCATCAAGACGTAGAAAAAGGCTGAAAGCACCAAAAATGATAAAATATAAGTAAGGCAAACGCGCTTATTGGCAAAACGACAGCGATCCATTATGAATTAGAAATTGAAAACTTTTTTTGAAATAAATATTTTTGATTTTTAATATTTTTCAGAGGGAATTTCAAAATTCAAAAAGTTGTAACCGGTTCAGAGAAGTGAGACACAATCACTGAGCTTAGTTGAAAAGTTTCAGTATCTGGAGATACATATTTTTTCAAAGCTACTAGATTAAAAAAAATTGAAAATATTTAAATCTCCGATACACTGTGCTACAGAAAGTAAAACATACTCCGACCAGTAATCGTAATACCAAAAATTTGGTATAAAAAATACCAAATCCGATGGGCAATCGTTGCAGTTGCCGGATACTGGTTGTAGACCTGGTAACACTGGGAAAGACGATTCCATGGATTTTCGTGAAATAAATAAATTTAACTGGCGTTTGAATCTGAATAACAATAACAACCTCGTCGAGCTTAGCTTAGTGGGCAAATACAACAGTCCCGATGCGGCGGACGGACACCAACCGGAGCTCGTACTCAGACAAATCGATTGTTCGACGGGGGCAGCAACAATGGGCACGAAACAAAAACAGGGAGCAACAACACCCGCACATGCCGAAGGCGTAGGTGACGAGGGAATCGGGAATGGAGCTAGCGGCGGCGGCGGCGGGGACGGTCTAGAAGACGGCGCTGCAGGGGTGCTGCTAGAATGCGAAGACTTTGATAAGGCGAGTGTTTATTGTTTTCATCCAGCCGTGAGGCCAGCCAGCTGATGTGCGACCCATTTATTTGCTTATTGCAGGAAATCGGAGCCGCTGCCTATTGTGACATGGATATGGGCGTGGCTGGGTATAGCCTGGCGGCAGCAGTGCTTCCATCTGCCGAAGCTGCCAGCGGGGGAGGCCTAAGTTCCAATCGCACATCCATGAACAACTCCACGGAGAACTTAAGCTATGCCAGCGACAACTTCTACGGCGACGACCTCATCCTGCTGGACGACGATGACGTCGACGCTGAGGAAATTTCTCTAAATTCTGACGACTGCGTCTACGCTTACCGTGGCGATGGCACGGACTTTGATCTTGCGCTTGATGCTTCTGCTATGGGCCGGGGGGCACGCCACCATCTCGATATCGGTTTGGGATCGGGTAGCACTGGAAAGGGGGCTGGTGGCAGCTTGATATGCGGAGACGATGAGACAGAGTTTCTCGAAATGGACTTCGAACCGGATCCTCCTTCGGAGCTGGAATTCGCCGGCGGCACTCAGAACCTAGCAGCCGTGCCGCAAGCCAATCTTCTGCTAATGCAGCGCGACTACAGCCAGATGAGCGGCAAGGGAGGCTCTACCCCAACACAGGGCAGGCAGCTGTACAGTTCGCCGATAGACGACTTCTCCCCCGAGGACGTGCTCCAACAGCAGAAGCAGCGCCTCAGCAATAAGTTTGCCCGCATCAGTCTCAACCTTGACCAGATCAAAGACGGAGCTGGGGCGGCTGCTGGTGCAGGCATAGATTTGGATGAACCGATCGGCGGCAGGACGGAGGAAAGTGTGGACTCCAGCGATATCGGTCAGTCGATGGACTCGGCTCAAGCTCACTCCTTGCCCAGCACTCTAGGCACGGGAGTCAACTTCGGGCGGAGCACCAGTGTGCCGAACGACCACCCAGAGCCCAACCGGACAGGCGCTAAGCCCAAACGACTTTCCCACTCCTCGTCCGTTATGTCCAAGAGCAGCTCCACTTCAAAATCGCGGCGCTCCCAGCCGTCTGAGAGCTTCGATGAGCGTTGTTATAGTTGCACGGATTTCCGGGCAGCTTCTACTTCCTCCTCGTCCGGCCAGCAGCGGCATGGACAGGTGGCACCTATGCTTGTGGCCGCTGCTGCTGTGGTGGCTCTGGCCTCGTCTTCGTCCTCTATGGCCCACTTTGAACTAGCCAGCAACGAGGAAAACTGCCTGGACTGTCTGGAGAAGGAGTTTCTGGCAAACACAATCGGAAAGGCGTTGGACCTGAGCACATGTGCCAAGTGCCGAAGACGTGCCGGGGGTCGGGCCGGCAGTAGCCTCTCTCTCTACGCCCGCCCGGATCAGACGCGATGCCGAAGCGGATCCCCGGGATATTTTGAAGAAGCCGGCGGTCTATTCGCTGGCTGGTACAGTACTTCAGCGGCTGGGAACGTGCCTGGACCGAGCTTGGGTTCCCCCGGCAACCAAAGGTTTATTTCATGTGATAATAATTTCCGCGGCGTGCAGGTAAGCCTAAGAGGAAGTATTGTGGGCAGACATATAGACTGGTTCCATTTCAGCTGCTCAAGCAAAGCTTTCCGACCGAGTCGATAATTGCGCGTCTGTCTACCGAAAAGGAGTGCGACGAGGAGCATGTGGCGAAGGCGCTAGACAAGCTTCACGTCTCCTACGATCAAGCTCTTCTTCACGCCTACTTCGAGCAGCTGGCTACGCGGCCAAGTGCCCATAATCTCAATATTAAGCAGCTGCTCCTAAAAGCCTCAAAACAGCAGGGAAATTATCGCAAGCTCAAGCGTCTCATCGAGTTGGTGACTCAGGATCAGCTCATTGTGCAATTTGAACGGGTATGTTGGATGCACTACTTACATATTTGATCTATTCTTATGGAATCATTAAATCCATAGGGTAAGGATGCCCAAACAGCCCTGGTTCCTGTTAGAATCGCTGACATACTGGATGCCTGGTCGCACCACCGGGATCTCTCAATTCTCCGGCAACTGGATGCACGATTTCATCGTTCCAACGTGATTGGTAGGATTTGTTTTTGGTTTTAAAAGACTCATCCTTTAAAGCTCTCCTCGTTTTCCAGGCAAGGTTGGTCATATTGTGCGACAGGCTGCAGCAGCCACGTCCTCCCAAGTCCAGGCCGCTTCCTCATCCTCCTCCTCGAAACGCACCCTGCCCGAATATCTGATGATCCCACAGTATTACGAGAGTGGGGAGCTAACACTAAGGCGCAAATGTTAGGGTGTCCACCACCACCAGTTCCCCACCCAACCACACCATGAATCATCACCGACCGGCTAATGCTTAGTTGCGCTTGACGTGGGATTTTATGAGGAGGAGGGGGCACGTTCTTTTGGAGATTACACTATCTACATAGGCCAGAGCCCACCGAGTGGGTCCTATTAGCTTCGAAAATGGCCTCTCACGTCAAACTAAATATACTATTAAGAGGATAAATCAACGTTGTGTGTTTAAATGTGTAAAACGTTATTCGATTAGCCGTTAAAAATGTTTGCAATATTTATAAAGTATCCATAGAAAGCATCGAATACAGACAGATCCAGGATTCGGACAAGGACTTTGAACGAGAAATGAGCAAGGGCTCATGCGAAGCATGGCTCAGGATCCGTGGAAGAATCCGAATTAATACGCCTCCATTGTCATTATCTATGTATATTCCACTGCATTGAACTGTATCACATTATTACCAGTAACCAGTAATATATAGCATTACATACTTACACACCCACACATTAGCGCATCTGGTACATATTGTAGCTTAGCTTGTATACAATAAAGTGAAATCTGAATAACTATAAGTAGCCAAGTAACTTACATCCCGTGTAGTAAGTCTGCGTGGTCTCTAGTGCCCGATTACAGCCCGGGTAGCCCAGCTGTATCCTCGTCTATATGATTTCGAATGCGAATGTTGTTTTTCAATAAAATTACGCTTTATTATTATTATTATAAAAGTGCATTTGGGATCTGGATCTAACAAAGGTGACCCTATCCATTCGCATTATTGGTATCGCTGTTGCGGCTGGCGGCCAGCGTTGAAGTAGCTGCCGCCCGGTCCGGGTGCCATGTTTGGGGGCATCGGCGGTGGCTGGGCCACGTTAGCCGGATATTGCGAGCCCGGTGCCGGCTGGACACCCCAGCCCGGTCCGGGGTACGGCATAGGCACAATGGGCGGTGGCGGCGGGGGTGGTGCATGGTACATGTGGTATCCGGCGGGCGGTCCGGCTGGCACTGAACCGGGTGGCATTGGCAGGGGTTCGCCAGGGCCCATGCTGGGCACTGGATTGGACAGCGACTTGATGGGTTGAATTTTGCTAGGATCGCCAAGGTTGCCATTGTTGCTAATGGGCGGCGGAGGTGGCAGTTGCTGGGCAGCTGGTGGAAGGAGCACCGAAGGATTCGGCGCTTTAGCTGGCGTGGGACTGTCCGCGCGACTGGGTGGCTTCTGAGGCGGGCTGTTCGGCTGGAGAGCTTCCTTCTGGGTTGACTGGTACAGGTCCAGCACCTGGTGGCAGATGTCCTCGAGGATCTCCATGGTAACGTCCGAGACGAACATGTCCCACCAGCGCTGGTGCTGTGGCTGCCGACCTTCCCAGTCCTGCACCGTGAACTTGCTCAGCTTGCTGGCCAGGTGTATGAGGGCTACGGCGATTATCTCCGGTTCCCACTGCAGGCAGACCACCGTGCTGAGCGAGTCGTTGACGAAATTCCATGCCATCTGGACCATCTTCTGCAGCTTCTGCTGGTCCCCCTTGAAGCACTTGGCGTACTTCAGTAGGAAGGTGTACGGGTGCTCCACCTGCAAGTCGAATTTGATCGTCTGCAGCAGTATCCGCTCCAGCGTCATCACCTCCTCCTTGGGGTCTTCGCCGAACGAATAGAAGTAGTTGTCGCTCAGGATGCCACGTGCCGTTTTGATGATGTCCCTGCACTTCTTGGGTGTCTCCTCCACTTTACCGGCAAAGAACAGACAACAGCAGGCGGTTACGTATCGTGGAAAGCTGCGGAACGAGTGACACATGTAGAAGCGATGGAAGTACACAACGCCGGTGGCCATTGTGTTGTGTCCCAGGCCCATCTTGGTGCCGCATTCCATGATGAAGCGGGCACCCTCTTTCCGATACCGGCGCTCCGTCTCAAAGCTAATGCCATCGAGAATCGAAGGTGTTTCCCGCAGATCTTTTTTGTCGTAGTACCAGCACGGCATCGCGTTCAGCTTCGAGACCCAGTACGGGTTATCTTACTCCGGGGTCGTTTCAGGGCAATGCCGACTTTTGCGCTTTACGCATGGCAGGTGGTGGTGCCTTTTCCGGACACGTTGTCCAGGTTGTGGTCAGGCTTTGATTTTTATTACGGCTGGCTTAAAAAATTTCTAATTCGGTCTAAGATATAGAGGTGGCGAAATATCGATTAAATTATCGATTGTTTTCGAATGGTTATCACTATCGATGTTTCATCTCTAATATTGCCAGCGCTTCATAAACATTCGTTTACTAACACTGCTTTGCTTAGTACATCTTCCGTATGACAGAGGGCGCTGTTGTTGCTTATTAGAAATAACGATACTTTTCTTTAAAACTGAACTGAAACTCTTGATAACTATGTTTCATTTGAAGAAACTCTATAGTTCATAAAACCTTAATATTTGTTTTCTGTTAAAATATAGAAAACCGTGTCTCTTACTCTTCAAATCTGTATTGTAATGCGTGTCCTCGCTAAACTTTCCGTATCGTCCACACATGAATAAATTTACTTTTAAATTTACACAAAAGGTGAAGAAAAAGAACAAACCCGGAGAATATCTGTCTACTAGATGTATATTCAGATAAAAGTGCGTAATGCGGCAGTTGTAGTAAAATTCATGAGGCTGGTCGAGTACATTGACTTTTGGCAGCAAGGAGACACCGTCTCAGTCAGTGGATTTGGGTTCTGGGTTCAGTTTGGATGGATGATCTCAATGCTTCGTTCGCAGACTGTTTTCTTTTTGCTTTGCTTTTATTGCGGAAGAATTTCAGCAATTTGTAAATTAATAGAGTGCGGGCGATGACACTATTCAAGGATTTTCTAGCCCCATTACGAAAACAAAACATTGAACTCGATCGATCGCTTTTGGTTTCGTTTTCAGTTTCGATTTCATTATGCGCCGCATCCCAAATTGAGGTAAACAAGATAGGTGGAAAAACAAGAGTTGTCGCAATTTTTTGTACTCCGCTCGCCTCTAATTGAGTTGGAAACTCTCCAGGTCTCCAGGTCCGGCTGATGAGTCTAAAAATGCAAAATGCCAACGCGTTCCCCGGCAAGCTATTGGGACAGATCTGCAGCATCGATATGCAAATGATTGCCAAATTGTCGTTGCCAGAGATGCCAAAAATCTCGCGGGGTCGCTCAAACAGCAGCCATCTAAAGTGGGTGCTACTGTCAGGGCTAGGGCCCTTTGAGCCAAAAGCCCAGAAACCGGGTCACGCCATTCTGCCAAACTGCCAGCCACCAGCCACATCTACCATCGAACACCCAGCAACCGGCAACCAGCCACCAGCCACCAGCATCCAGCGATTGGCAATCGAAGTTGGCGGCACCCTAAAAGCAAAAATGTGAAATTAAATTTACAAGAATTTGTATACACTTTCAAGAAGTTTTTTAAAAATTAAATATACTATTCTTGAAAAAAAGAAAGGAAGAGGTTTACACATGATACATATATCTTAAGGAGAAATGATACAAGGAGATATTTTAATAAAACTATGAAAATATATGCATGGAAAGTTCTTATCCCTTGAATAGTTTGCTGGATATTTTGTTTCATGAATATGGTACATAAAGATGTAATCCTTATCTTTAGTTATTCTTCCAAAATTCGACTTAAATACTGTTAAAACTTCTTTTAATCTTAGAGCTTCTTTTGAATTCTATAGTACCTTTAGAAAAATTAAGATTATTGCCGAAAGTTAACCAATTTCTGTCAAAGATTCTTAGTGCTTATCTCCCAGATCAGATGGTGCAAATCGGTGCTGCTTATACTTTTGAATGCCACAAATCGTGTTACTGTCTGCTTTTTTGGGTTCCTAACTGCGATTGCGATTGCAAGTTGCAAGTTGCTGGGTGTTTTGGTGTTGCTGCTTGTTTGCGGTTTGCACTTTGGCTGTTGGCTGTTTATCTCGAGTGCGGAGTTCAAGTACACCCTAGAAGTAGAGTCGTAACTCGGTCTTGACAAATATTTGGCAATTTTGTAATCAAATTGGTGGATCAATTTTGATTTGTTGCCCTTTTTCTTGCAGCAACATCATCAGCAACATCTGCAACATATTGCCGTTGCTCAGGTCCCGATTTGCATAATTGCGACTTTCCGGGCTTAATAAATAAGAAAAGGTTCACATTTTCCAAAAGGTAGACACAGGCTTTGGTGTAACAAGCATAAAAAAGTGTATTTGCATTTGTATTCCTGCGTGCGTGGGTGGCTGTATCGCCGATGAATCACGCGTGATATGTCGCAGTTGCAGTCTGTGAACTATTGCGTCCCCCTGCTGCCGTATTATTCTCTTGTTTAATGGCCCCTCCCCCTTTTTCTTAAGCAGCAAGGAAAAAAATAAGATGTGGACTTTGCACTCCGCCAACGGGTTGACATTTTCATTATGGAAACATTTTTATTTTTTCCTTAGTGTGTGGACAAGTTTTCTGGCACTCACTCTTGTTGCCACCGGCGGAGTTGCACAGTAATTTAAGGATTTTTTATTAAAAAAATTAAAGTCTAGAAAAGGTTAAGAATGTTAAAAGTTCTTTAAAAGAAAGGTCAACAAATATGAATAATATTGAATAATATTTCTATTTTAATTTATTCTATTTATTTTTCTCACTGCATCAAAAGGGGAGTGGATTGGGGCGGGTGGGCGTGTCCAGCTCTCACAGTCACTCAACCGATTTTCAATGCGTTGACAGTTCAGGTTGTCAATCGTTTTGTGTTGGCCAGTGTAGGTGTTACAACTGCTGTTCGACTTGACTTGGAGTGTGGCTTAGAATTGAGCTGTGAAGTGCAGTTGAAGGAATTTCAATTGTTGATTGTCAAGAGCCAAAAAAAATTACCATATAGTATGCACAGCAAATTGCCATGGAAAATGCGTAGAACTGTTAAAGTAGAAAACAAACGAGGTAGACTTGTTTATTCATTTGTTTTACATTAATTTGTCAGGCATTAAAAATGATTAGATTTGAAGCCTAGAAAAGCCTGCAAATATTTGTATCTCTAGCGTGATTATCTTAAATGCAGTTTTTAAAATCCTCTAAAAAATCCTCTCAAGACCACAAACAACAGCCGCTACATTACCGCATACATTGCCACAAAAAAAAAGTGTCCAACATCAGATTTCAATTATCGAATTGGCAAAAGGAAGCTGTCGGAAAGCCAAAGGCGAAGACCCCAAAAAAAAAAAAACAGCAGACAAACAAAAAAATAAAATAAAAAACAAGCTTAACAAGTGTCTCAGAGTTTGGGGAAGCAGCAGCTGGAAAAAATGCAAATTCAGTTCAGACAGAAAAAGTAGCTCTGGGAAGGCGTGTTTGGAGGAGAAGTGATTTTCACATGGGCAATTAATGTTTCAATAAACGATATTCTAGCCACAACAAATTTGTTGCAACAGCAACACTGCTGCAACTGCCGATGCTGCAACATGAAACGGCGGCATCCGAACAGCCAGGCCCGGTCCAGGAGTGGAAAATGTTATTGAAATTGGCTTTTTATGTTTATGGAAACGGGCGGTGAACTGCTAGTTGGCTGGAAATCCCTGCTGCAGCTCGGATTCCCCATTTCCATTTCCATTACGAGTCCGATTTCGACTCTCGTTAATTACTGCCATTTTCCATCGTATTTATGCTCACGCCTTACTCACGTTTTGGCCATCAGCGGATACCCGCTAACAAGGGGCAGCGCGTGCAGTGCGTGAAAATGTTTGCTAATTGCCCGGCTTATGGCCAATTTTGCTAAATTTGTGGGCGGCCAGAACATGTGTGGGGGATGTTGCAACTCCAAAGCAAATTATGTTATTGTTTCTCTAAACTCTTGTTATCGAAGTCATTTAGGAGGAGGCAAGAAGTCTAGGAGTTGCCTTTTGATTTCTTAGAAATTGTGAATGAGTTTAGGTTTCTTTCGAAAGAAAAAAAAAAGGATTAAAAAATAGGATGGCCTATTTCTTAGATTTATTGGCCAAAGAGCCTCGAAAAAAATTACAGTCCCAGGGATATGGTGCCAAGGCTGCCAGAAAAAAAAAGAGTGCTACAATCTATAACTATTTATGTGGCCCCCACAACATTCCAAGATCTATGCTCTCAGCTTGCCACATGCAAATCCGCATCTGTAGACCCTTTTGCTTTGTGGGCCACAAACCGGCACTTAGCCCCGGCTTTGATTTGAAGTTCGTGTCCCTATGCGAACTCTGGCAGACTGACAAACTGACTGGCTAACACCTTGGACCGCTGCGAGTGGTTCCCCCAAAAAAGTGACACAGGAGATAAAATAAAGTGATTATCAAAAAATATTATCATAACAGGTAATCAAAGGTTAGACCTTTAAAGGTATTAAGCTGGAAAGACTATTAAGTTCTTTTTAAACTATTTTGATTATAATGTATATCTTTTTTCAAGTGCAGATCCCTCGGTTTGAGTGAGTGATTACAGTTGGCGGACAGACGGATCGGTCGCTCCAACAGGTTACCCATGGGAAATCTTACAAGAGCCGGGGAGAGGAGCCCAATTACCAGCCACAGGTCCAGGTTTCTGCCTCTGCCGCTGCTGCTGATTTTGATTTTGAAATTTGAACTTGGGGCTAAAGGTAAAAATTGTTTGTCGAGTAATTGCCGCATAACGAGCGGCAGTCGAAGAAAAGGCAGCTCTGGAGGTTTATTTTCTGTTTTTTTTTTTTTGCAAATGTCGAGAGACGAGCCTTGGGGGCAAAAACGGAGAATCGGGTTGGCGTTGCACTTTGCTCTGGCTCCGGTTGTTGCACTTGCACTGAAAATAATATTTAAATTAAACATAAGATACTTAAATTTAAAGATTAGTATTAAAGGAATATGATGTATTATCCTATAGATATCAAACTGATTTAGAAAGATAAACCCTTATGACTTAATATCCTTAACTTTCTTCCAGTGATGTGCCATTCCTGCTACCCACAACCTTAGCCGAGCTATAGTGCGTTAGAATGGACCAAGTGGGCTCAACCCTAGCTTTCAGTTCAGTTTTAGGTCCGTTGCGGTCGATTCAACTCGGTTTCAGTTCGGTTTCCATTTGGCTGAAAACCAACGCCCCAACTGAAGTCGTGCAAATACCACAAACTGCGGCACAAAACCTCCTGATAGCCAGCGTCAGGTGCATTTCCATCAGCGATAATGCCATGTTGCTGTTGCTCTTGTTGTTAGTGTTTCGATTGCGGA